TACGTCCACGTAATCGAGCTTTTCTTGTCGACTGTAGTGCGATGGCTGTCGGAGCAAGGCACTAAAGGCCAGGGCCTCGCGGACGGTCGAGGTATGTAGATGGAGGTCTTGTTGCTGAACGTAGCCGGTTTTCCGCTGAAAAGACTCGTCTCGGAGCTTGCCATTGACAAGCATATCGCCCGTGACAACACCCATTGTCACACGGCTAGCAAGCACGTCGAGAAGCGTCGTCTTTCCAGCTCCGGAAGAACCCTGTGTACTCGTTAGTCATGGGATACTTGATCATTAGAATATGTAGACTCTTACCATGAGCGCTGTGAGGGTGCCTGGCTTGACCCAGCCGTCAACCCGATCAAGAATCCGTCGAGGCTCCCCCTTGATCTTGATGTCGTAGCAAATATCCTTCCAATGAAACACAGAAGTTTGTTTCTCAACCTCGGTCCCCGAGGTACACCCGTCATACGTCTGCTGATGCGAGGAAGCCACCTGGCCGCTTTCAATGTCTCCAACTGACTTCTTGAGGTGCTTCATGGCTTTGCGGACATACACGAGCACCTCTCCCTTGGACCGCTCAGATGCAACGTACTCAGCGGCGACGAGGTGAAGTACCATGTAGAGGATCATGAAGGCGATCATGACTCCGAAGTTGCGCCATTTATGGGCGGTATCATACCCGTAGGCAATCTTGACGAAGGCAGTGCCGCTCACCGTGTCCTCCCCTGGAATAGAGCCTTGCGCGGAGCATGCTCTGCCTCCTGACGATACGTTGTCGTAGCCTGGGCCAAAGGGGATATAGGCGGAACACGGGAAGTCTCTGCCCGTAAACTCGTTGAGCATGATGGACTCGAGGCCATAGAAGAGTGGGTTGGCCCAACGACTCCAGCTAATCCAGCTTCGCATATACTGAAGGGGAATGGTAAAGCCGGTATATAAGATCAAGCCAAGCAGGATGATCGCAGACGGCGCCATGGCCTGATCAATGGACTTGGTGACAGAGCCGATCAGCCGGAAGAGCATAGACATGGTCAGAGTGGTCGTGAAGATGAGCAACAAGAAGAAGAAGAAGGGTCCTGGTTCGCGGCGTAGATTCCCCATAAAGTATAGGGCGATATTCGTAATTATGCAATTGACGACCTTGTATGGCAAATCCACGACGATTGAAGATAAAGCTTCGGCGCTTGGGTGATATAAGGCGTATCGGGCATGCTTCTCAATGATCTTGCGCTTAGCATAGAGGTTGATGATCTCTAGGATACTAGCGAAGGCGTTCATGAGGATGAGGAAGAATAGTAGGACGCCGCGCTGCTGGAAGGACTCCGTCGTGTCGGGCAAGTTGTAGAAAATACTGCTGACAATGATAGCTTGCAGGAAGTTGGTGACTAGCATGGTGATGAGCAGGCTAGGGTCAGTCCTGAGGAGGACAAAGCTTCGCCGCATGGTCAGCCTTATCTGTTGGAGATAGGACAAGGTGAATGGCGATTTGGCGCGTTGAGCGGATGACTGGTCCATGCGCCTCGATTCGAGGAACTTGTCGTAGTGTTCGCCGTGAAAGGGGTGTCGTTCGACATAGTCTTCAATCTCCTCAAGCAGAAGAGCGCGGTCTCGGCTCTGTTTCCAGACCTGGGAGAACTCCTCGGGGCTTCGAGGAGTCTTGTCCTCCCAGCCTGGACGAACGATGCGTTCCGAGGGACTCGTCATGGACGTCAGGAAGTCAGCCGTGGTTTGCTGTTCTGAACAAACAAACCCAAGCTCCTCGAAATACCCCTTTGCCCTGTCTGCTTTGCCAAAGAAGATTTGACGACCCTTGTAGAGGACCAGAACCTTTTCAAAGACCTTTCAACATGTCAGTGTGGTTCCTAGATTCCGGAAAGATTTTGCAGAGACTCACGTCGTAGGCATCCTGAGGAGCCTGATAGATGGCGACACACGAAGTACAACCCATAACATCAGACTGGGTCCTCAAGGTGCGGCAGAATTCTACCGCGTTTGCACTATCGAGACCCCGTGTGCTATTGTCCCAACATTGCAGAGGGGAGTAGCTGAGGGATGCCTCAGCGATTGTGACCCTTTTCCTCTCGCCGCCGCTCACACCTCGAATAAAATCGTTACCCACGCGGGTATTCTTAGTATGTGATATACCAAACATCGCCATCGTCACATCGCGAAGATGCTCGATATACTCGTCTCGCGTGACTCCAGAAGGGATGGTCTTTGGGCAGCGGGCAGCAGCGGCAAAAGCCAGGGTTTCACCCACGGAGAGTTGCGGAAAGTGGTGGTCAACCTCTGCGGTGTATATAGCTTCGCCACGGAATGCTGTTTTGATCTGGTCGGGGTGTATGCCTTGGTAATTGAGGCAGGACGATTCTTCGATGTGGAAGCCGTGGGTGTCGCCGGCGATGGTCTTGAGGAACGTCGAGCAGCCGGATCCGGGGGGGCCTAGGACGCAGAGCATCTCCCCGCTGTGGACAACACCCTCTAGGTCGTGTAGGATATCAACTCGTTGCTCCTTTCCGCGGAGAAGCTTGCTGTGGAACAGCTTCTTCACCATCGTGCCAGCTTCCAGCAGGACGTTTCCAACCGTCTTCTGGAAATCGGTATCGGAGCCGAACCCGTACACGTTGAGGTTCTTGAAGGCGACTCCTGTTGTCTTGGGTGGGTTACCCTCGAGCGACTGGGTTCTGGCTTTGAAGAATGCTTTGGCCCATTGCTTTGCATTGAATTGCGGGCTGTTGGGGTCGAGAGGCCCTTCCTGGTGGAGGGGGAAGAGGGGGGGTAAACCGCCGCCGTGTTGAGATTGGGTCGTCAGCCTCCTGGCGAGCTGGAGCACCTCATCGTGGACATGCTCTTCTCCCTCGTCGTAGTTGTTACTGTTCGCGACATCGGTGATGGAAGTGTTGAACGAAGATGGTCTCTTGTCCGTCGTGGGCGGTGGTGTGTCGGCCCCGAGGCCGGGAGGTTTCTCGGAAGTCATGGTGCTACTCAAAGAGATGAGTTCAAAAAGACAAGTTTAAAGAAGATGAAACGCAAGAAAAAGTGAATAGGAATTAACCAAGGTTGAAGAATAGGTAAGGAAAGAGGGTGGAATCACACATCAAAGTTTGCTTTGAAGGTGGTCAGTGATTATCCAGACCTTGGACGCATTGGTGACTTTAATAAAGCGAAAGAAACTTGCTTAAAATATTTACATCTCGACGCCCCTGGCATACTGACTTTGATATCTACAAAGCATCAGTTCGGCACTCCGAGAACTCCCCCCTGGAGCTTTGGCAGCTCTTGGCAGTAACTAACTATGTGGGACGGGGTTAAAGGTGTGGGACGGGCTTTCAAGAGTGGGACGGGCTTTTAAATAGTGGGACGGGCTTTCGGGCTCGATGGCTTCCCACCCAACGTCAGCCCGTCATGATCAAACATGTCGTATCAAAACACAGCAATCTCCCCCAGAAGCGACTCCCCAGTAGAACTCGCTAGCTTACTGAGGCTCATGCGTTTAAACTTTTCATCGCAGGTCCACTCACTAGTAGGGGTCCGCGGTATTAGCGAGAGCGAGCCGCCGTTGTGATTCTAGTCTCAACCCCTGCACCTCAAATGTCAAGATCGCCTCGGCTTTAGATGGCTTGCTTTGTCCGAGATCAAAAACCCTTGCAGCCAAGACAAAGAAAATTCCAAATTCTTCGAAGGGTCCAACGGTGGTTTGATTGGCTAGCTAATTCCAAATTCTTATCATCGTTTCAGCGTTGAGGTAGGCTAGCTATCCGGTGATCCGAAAAGTCATCTCGCAGTGTATTTTTTGTTACTGCCGAAGCCCGGTCCTCGATGGGATAACTGGGATAGAAGACCCCTACAGTTCCATCCGGGTCCTGTTAGTCTCTGCAAAGTAATTCTAAAGAGAAGCTTAATCTAGTAGTAAGTGCTTAGTAGATATGCATACCACTCACTCCAAGCCCCGTTGCCTGCTCATAAGATACCCAAACCTCAGTTCTGAAACATGAGGTCAAACAATCATGGCATCATTCAAGTAATCGACGTTACTCTGAGTATGAGGTATTCGATAACGTTGCCAAAGTTCTACAGAAATCGGGCGAAAACGCTGTGAGCATGAATGAATGAATGAAGGGGTTTTTTTTTTGCGTCCGGGAGGACCATGTCTCGTGGGACACAGCCCAAGGATGAGGCGAAATACTTCCGAAACTGGCAAGGGCGACTGCCAGATATGAGTTTGGCTGTTTTCTCCAAGGACTCCAAGTCCTAAACAGGCGACGTCGGACGAGTTGACGTGATCTAATCAGCGAGGTGGAGGGATAAACAGATAAAGGCGACTTAGACCCAGTGGCCATGGAAGTACATCTTTCGTCTCTTTAACTCCTACAGCACTAAAAAGGCCGGCCTATCTGCCTATTCACAGCGTGTGGTCAACTGTCCCGTGACTGGAAATTTAGCAGAATCTGAATGTTGATATCCTCAATGTTTTGTGAGATTCTCGCCGCCCATTCCACGTCTGTGCGGGTGATGGTCATTGAGACTCCTTACCATTACTTTGCCAACATAAGTTGACAGATTAGTGACACTTAGAATACACTATTTTCTCTTTGTCGCGTTAAGTCCAGCTTTTTTAGGATTTAGCCATCTCAAGTGCGTCGCATCGCTGTACCCAATCTGAGAGAGCTGAGTGGCAAGATAGCATTAATAGTTTTTTCAGTTTCCGCGACTCTCCAGGATACCAACACATGTCCTTCAAAAGTCCAGAAGCACCGTTTGAAAGAAAACATAGGCTCTGATATAGTCCTTTCCTTCATTGCCTATCCATACAGGTCAGTTTGAGTATGTGCCCAGTTCTCATCCCATCAACTACAGGGTAGGCTACATGCTTGGTAATCACATTCCGAACGCACGGATAAACTATAAGCCGGGCATGAAGGCACCCGAGGTTGACATCACCCTCGTCAGATCAACCAGGGACTTTGGCATTCTCTTCTGGCCAATTCCCCAATTCATTAAGAATCATGGCGAACCCGGAGGTGGGATTGAAGGTCATCTTCTACCTCTATCCTTGTCTCCTTTTTGTGACTTTATTGGGTTCGCAATGCCTCCAATTCTACCTCTGTCGCGGTCGGGAACCGCGTCGCATCGCGCTAGATAACGACCAGAAGCAAAAGGCCGAGAGTATCCGACGAGTTCACACCAGAGTCATCTGGCTTCTGCAACTTGTCTTATCTCTCTTGTTTGTGGCTAGTGTAGCTATTACTGCACGCGAAGCAGTTAGTGGCCACCATGACTCGGACGGCACTGTCGACTTCTCCTTCAGCGCGTATCTGGTTAGTTCTTGATCCCTTGCCACCAATGCTATTGTGCTTACTGAGTATGAATGTAGGCATCTCATGTCGGTGTATTGCTTTACTTCTTCGCAGGGCTGCTGCCAGATCCGGAAGGGCCGTGGTCTCCGGGCAGTGCGCATTGCTATGCATGGCTCGCCGGTGCCCTCCTGGAGACTGTCATTGCTGGCATCTTTTACTCCGAGAAGTCGTTGCTGCGACCTCCTTCTACCTTTCTTGACATTCTTATCATTCTAGGATTATCTAGAATCGCCGTCTTCATACTCATGATGGGTAGTCTCGTCCTGAGAGAGTTTAAGCTGAGACCACCTCAACCTAAGTCGGCACCGGAGGAACGCCAGTCTCTTCTTGAGAATGGCAATGGCTCATCTAGCAACTACGGCAGCGTGCCTGCACCCGCAACGCCAGCCAAGAGAACCCAAGTTTCAGGAACCGGCTGGCTCGACTACTTTGCTGGATTTCGGGTCTTGTTCCCTTACCTATGGTACGTAGACACAGGCGCCTGTTGATTCTCTAAGCTGACCCTGTCTAGGCCCAAAGACTCGCCCATGTATCAGGTTATCGTTGTCGTTTGCCTGGTTCTCTTGGTTTGCCAGCGAACCGTCAACGTCTTGGCTCCTGTGCAGCTTGGTGTGTTGGTCGACAACTTGGGCGAAGGCCGTCTACCGTACAAGGAAATTGCTCTCTACGTCGTGTACCGCGCCCTCCAGGGCAATCAGGGAGCTCTCGGTGCCGCAAGATCTGTCCTTTGGATCCCCGTCTCACAATCACTCTTTAGAAGACTCTCCTCGGCGGCATTCGAACATGTCTTGGGTCTTTCGCTCGAGTTCCACCTCAACAAGAAGATCGGTGAAGTCACTAGCGCACTGAGTCGAGGTGCATCCATGAACACATTCCTGGAGAACTTCTGCTTCCAAGTGTTTCCCATGGTCTTTGACATCTTCGTCGCCGGTGTCTTCTTCTTCGTCAAGTACGATCCTTTCTACACCATTATCATCTTTTTCATCATGTGGTCCTACATCTTCCTCACTATTTACGTTGCCAAATACCGTGGTAAGCAGCGGAGAGATATGACGATCAAGGCACGCGAGATGGAAGCCATCAAGACGGATGCTCTCCTCGCATACGAGACAGTGCAGCACAACTGCGCCGTCTCCCGTGAAACCCAGCGATTCAAGGATCATGTGGTTGTCTACCAATATGCGGAGCGCCTAGTGCAGTGGTCGCTCAATGGCCTCAACCTTACCCAGAGCTCAATCTTTACCCTCGGAACTGCTCTTCTTGTCGCTGTTTCTGCCTACAAGATCTCCATCGGCGAGCAAACGGTCGGCGAGTTTGTCAGCTTGATCAACTACTTTGTCCAGCTTCAGGGTCCTCTCAACTTCTTTGGAACTTACTACACCATGCTGCAGAACAATCTCATCGAGGCCGAACGCTTGCTTGATATTGTACGTCCTTGCTGATGTCCTGTGGATGGTAATCACAGTTGCTAACCATTACCAGTTCAAGGAGACGTCTGGCGTCGCGGAAAAGGAGGATGCCATCAAGATGCCCTCGCCACGAGGAGAGGTAGCCTTCAACAACGTAAAGTTCTCTTACCAGAGCAACAAAGGCGAGCCCGTGATCAACGACATCAGCTTCACTGTCGCCCCTGGCACCAAGACGGCCATCGTGGGAGAGTCCGGTAGTGGCAAGTCGACTTGTCTGAAGCTTCTCTTCCGCTTCTACGATGTCTCTGATGGCTCCATTACCATCGACGGTCATGACCTGAGAGACGTTACGCTGGACAGCCTCCGCAAAAATATTGGTGTTGTGCCGCAAGACACGGTCTTGTTCAATGCAACTATCATGTACAACTTGCTTTACGCTAGCCCTCATGCCTCGGAGACTGATGTCTTTGCGGCTTGTAAGGCTGCTAACATCCATGACCGTATCCTCGGCTTCCCTGATGGATATGAGACCAAGGTTGGAGAGCGAGGCCTGAAGTTGTCTGGAGGTGAACGCCAGCGTGTAGGTGGCCCATTTTAGCCCGCTTACTCTACTGTGCTGTATCAGTTGACTGACCATTGTTGACCCATAGATCGCTATTGCTCGAGCTATTCTTAAGGATGCCCGCATCTTGCTCCTGGACGAGGCCACTGCGTCCCTCGATTCCCATACTGAGAGGCAGATTCAAGATGCCCTCGAGCGTGTTACCGCTGGCCGAACCACAATTACTATCGCGTAAGTAAAAGACTCGCACTGTTTTCACGATTTCTTTTTATGAGGCATTTTCTGACAATTTTTGCAGACATCGTCTTTCCACCATCACCACTTCTGACCAGATTGTGGTGCTTCACAAGGGCGTCATCGTTGAGCGTGGCACTCACAACGAATTGCTTGCCCTTCAAGGCCGGTACCACGCTATGTGGGAGAAGCAGACGACCATTGAGAAGAGAGAAAAGGAGAAGCTGGACCGTGAAAATGAGTCAGAGACTACAGAGTAAAGCCTCCAATCCCTCGGCGTATAGTCATGACATAGGGACAGGGTAAGTGGTCTTGTAGACTGTGTAGTAACATGCGTGGATTATATGTACTTTGTGATAATGTATTCAAATCTGGCATTGGCCCTGACTTAGTTCCATCTTTGCATGTACTATCACTAAGGACCAGACGGGGATGATGCTATGAGGGAACTAGGTACGCTCACCTCTAGAGAAGCTCATGGCGGAAACGGTCAAACTGCTCATTCCTCTCGTGGATCTCAAATGTTCGGTCTCCTGGGTTAGATGTCCTAGCTCAAGAGCCAAGTTTGAAACCGATGAAGCCACGTAATAACACATCCCCTGTGGCTTAGTTGGCTAAAGCGTCCGACTGTTACTTGCAGACAATCGGGAGATCGGAAGTTCGAGCCTTCCCGGGGGAGCACCCTCTTCTTTTTGCCTTCCTTTCCTTTTTGACTAACTCTTTTGCCTTTATACTTGGGCCGTATTCGTGTCCTCGAGACATAATTCATTGTTATAAATACGAGTCAGGCGTTGCGTCATTGACCAATGCACGCGTCGCTATTCCGGAATGGGCCCAAGCCCCGGCCGGACTTTACGCAGCCGGGCCCGGATGGCTTGTTGACTCCGCCTTTCAACTACCGAGACCCATCTCCTCCAAGTTGACCTCTCTACTTCGATCCTGTCTCATTCTCTATCATGGAGTCTCAAGATACGGCCCCCAAGCAAAGAGTGATACCAAGAGCTGTCAGTCACCGACACACACTACATGTTGACGCGACACGGTAATGCTAACGACACGTTCCTAGTGCCACAATTGCCGAGCACGCAAGGCAAGATCTACCTGCAGCCAATGGATCGACCGGTAGATGGATGACCAACAAACTCATGCTTCTTCTGTGATAGGTTCGATGCAATCGTCTTGTACCTTGCTCCAACTGCACCATCTCTGGGCTGGACTGCCCAAGGGGTGGCAATACTCGCAGTGCCCGACCGCCTGAGGACGCACAGGTCAGGTATGCCACACAGGCCACGTATCAATACCTAGTCCAAAGTTGATCTTTTTGAAGCAGCCTACCAAGTCAGGATACGCTTTCCTACTTTGCGCGCTTTGAAGCCAAACTCGCAGATCTTCAGCTCGAAGTCGACGGCCTGAAGGAGCAGCTGCAAAATCGGGACTCTACAGACAACACGGTGCCTTCACCGCACTGCTCGAACAGTAGCAACCCTGTAGTTCGACAGAATGATGTCTTTGGAGATCACACCCAAGAAGAGGGCGACTCCTCGTTTGGGCGACAGGCTTTGAACGCCATCCAAGTCGCAGAGTTGACGTCGTCTGAGTCTTCGCACTCACCTGCTGTTGCCCAACATCTGGCGAGCCTGCGTGATATGGCCCGCGAGCATGAGGCTTCGGGCCTGAATAGGGATGACTACATATCGGCCCCAGTGCCAGTGACTGATAATCTCAAGATGCGCTTGCCACCATCAACGTTTGTGTTGGCGATTCTGAGGGTGCTCCGAGAACGAAAAGGTTTGCTCCAGCTCTGCTTGTTAGTTCCGGAAACTAAACGTCAAAGGTGTCCAACCCATTCTTTATTACTTCCATGGCGTCTATGATCGTCTTCAGATCGAAAAGCTATGCCGGCGTATCTACTTTCCGCTGGATTCAGTCTCGGCTGCGGATGTAACTCTCCTCAACGGCATGCTCAGTGTTGTCTTGCGAGAACTTGACAACATTGAAGATTCTGAAATAACCTCTGAGGAAATCACACGCTACCAAAGTATTTGCGAGAGCCAGTTCCAAACGGGACTTGAGGTATACGAGGTGATGGCTATGCCGACGAGAGAAAACGTCATGATCCTTGTTATAGGGGTAACAAGCTTCCTGGGTCTAACGTGACGACAAAACTAACACGGTAGTAGATGGTGCATGCTCAGATTAGAGCCAAATTGCCTCTGCAATGGAGCCTGACATCCACCGCAGCCAGACACTGCCTTGCCCTTGGCTACCATCGCGAACACCGCATTTCACGACTCCCATCGGCTGAGGCGTCATCGGTAAGACGGTTATTCTGGCACATCTATATCGCTGATAAGAATCTCTCCTCTCGCCTCGGACGAACTTCGATCATCCAAGACCTGGATGCCGATACTGGCCTCAATGCAGTTTCTGATGAACCCGAGAGGACACCTTGGGACCAGGCCTTTGTCTCGTTTGTCGAATTTGCCAGGATTCAGGGCAAGATATATGATTCGCTATATTCTCCAGCTGCCAAGAAGTCGCAGCCAGAAAGTCGCGTTGTTGTTGCTTTTGATCTCGAGTCACAGCTCAGTGCGTGGCATGCTAACTGGACCAAAATCGACTTCTCCGAAGCCTTCGATTACGAGTCGTTTGCAGTTACATTCGGGCCCGCGGATATTATTTACTACTCTTCTCTCACCCTTATTCACCGTGGTACGGCTTCATCAGGCTCTGCTCAAGATATCTCCCCGGCGTGCTATGAGGCTGCGCATCAGGGACTTCAGGCTCACCTCAACTACTATCCTCGCTTGAGCTGTTCCGCAGACCATGTCTTGTCTAATTACGCATTCTGGTCAGATCATCAACCTTCCCAAACAAACTGTCTGACTGACCGTATGAATAGGATATTTTACTACACTTCCTTTACGCCATTCGTTGTCACTTTCTTGCACTGCATCGCCCACTCCGATCACGACGATCTACGACTTCTCCAGAATGTTCTTAATAGTCTGGAGCAAGTCGGAAGTGCTCTAGATTATGCCGAAAAGCAACTGTTTCTCTGCAAAGCTCTCTTTCGAATCGCCGAGGCTTTCTTGAGCAGCCACACAACTGCGCAAAATGACCAGGCTGTTGCCGGGAGCACTGCTACTTTTTGCATACCATTGCAGAACCCATTCTCTGACGAATGGGCAGGACTGGACAGGTTCTTGGAGGGGACTGAGGATTGGGATATGACGACAATTGACCCGGCCTCTTTTCTTCTGGATGATGCCATGTAAATGCAAGATGAATTAATGTCAGGGGTTACAGGACTTCTTATCAGTTCAAGTTCAGAGAGGATGGAAAACTAGACACCCTTGCTGGCATCTTTGCTCATTTCCACATCGTGTACAATCCACATGACTGACTATTGATATGGCTAACTAGTCTCTCCATGCCAAGGTCCCTCCTATTCCTGCTTCTCCTTAATGATGGCCCGTATGGCTTTACCGATGGGTGTCCAGATAGGCTCTGGGTCAATAGAGACACCAGCATCCATATTGTTATGACAGATACTAACCGCAATCCGGTCACGAATATCTGCCCACGCAATAGAGCCGCCTGCTCCAGGACTATAAATAACATCGCGATGATCTCCAACCAGAGGGTCCGAGGCACCCTTTTCTCCTCCAAGCCAAAACCCGGCTGCACCAAACCACACAGGAATTGGAAGCACCTTGTCCTGATCATAGGGGTTTTGGCGGAACCGTGTCATCCCCCTGACATAGTTCTCAGAAAGAAGCCTGACACCATCAAGCTCACCACCTTCGGCTACCATGGCGAACACTCGAGCTATGGCTGGGGCATTGCCGATGGCTCCTGCGCCAGGATCGCAAGCTTGTCGAACGACTTTGAGGTTGTGCACGTCAGAGCCAGGGAAGACGGCAATAGGACTGGTGTTGTACGTGTCTTCTAGGAACATTTCGTTACCGCCAGACAAGGTAGCTACTCTGGAGAGCTCGGAGTCGGGAACGCCGAGGTATAGATCCCTAACGCTCAGAGGCTCGCATATCTCCTCAGCGACAAACTGGCCAAAGGGTCGGTTCTTGGGATCAGTGCGGCGGACCACCTCTCCAACAATCCAGCCCCAGATAAGGACATGGTAGGCATTGGCAGTGCCTGGTGTAAACTTTGGTGTGAAGGCGGCAACTTGTTCAATCATCCAATCCCAGTCTGCCATCAGTTCAGGCGTGATACCGTCTGGCATCTGTGGGATACCGGCTCTATGAGACAAGGCATCCTCAACAGTGATGTTCTCTTTTCCATTAACCGCAAATTCGGGCCAATACTTGGAAATTGGATCTTGGAGGTTCAGAAGGCCACGATCCGCTTGTATGTGAGCTGCCAAAGCGGTGATGCCCTTGGTGACGGAAAAGACGGGAAATAGCGTCTTCTCATCAACGGGGCGTTTCTTAGACACATCGGCGTATCCTGCGGTACCATGGGCAATGAGCTTGCCACGATAATAGGCAGCGACAGAAACACCAGTTTCTCCCCGGTCGAGCACAGCCTGCAAGGCTGCTTCGAGATGAGGGCTTGTAGCGCTGATGTTTGATGGCATGATGACAGAAGATTTGAGATATACTGAATTCAAGTTAATGAAAAATAAGACTTATTGCGAGAGTCTCAACATGCTGTCGGCAATGTTCATTGACATAAATACACCACCTTCTCTCTGAGATAGCCGAGCCGACCCTCGCGTCCTGGGCCGCTACTGTACTCCGCGTATTCCGTGGAGTTCGGACTCGGTGAATATCAAGCCCCCGGACTAGTCCTTATTAACTCGGCATCACGAGGATAGGTAATTACTAGCCCGGCGTTACGGGAACGAGAGATGTCAAATTGGTCAAGTTCCTCTCCCGAGACGCTTCTTCAGATTGTTCAAACTCTTCATTATCGCCCTCTTCCCTCTTCCCTTACGACCGACTCTACACATAAAACGCCCTCTTATTCTTTGAGAAAAGTTCAAAATGGCTTACACTGTCGTAATGCTCGTCTACCGCAACCCCAAGATGACACCTGGTCAATTCAAAGATCATTACGAAAACAAACACATTCCCCTGATGAAGAAGCTTCTCGGGGCCAGCTTCCCCCTCTCACATTCTCGAAGATATATCCTTCGCTCTGACGCAGATGGACATACGGCAACCGTTCTCGCAGGAACTCAAGTCGACTTTGAGTTTGACTGCGTGTCCGAGCTCAAGTTCGAGAGTGAAGCCGGCTTCCACAGCATGTCTACTTTGCTTTCTAGCGCCGAGAACTCCGAGGCGGTGGGAGAGGACTGCATGGCATTCATGGACCCCGGAAAGACGAAGATGGTTGTGCTTGGGGAGGTTAACACTACTTCTGGCTGATCTGGATCTGATGCTGGGCAAAAGGCTGGGAGAGCTGGGAGAGAGAGACGATTGAGGCTATTCGGAATCATCAGAAATTTAGAATAGACGTGCTGTACAGGAGTTCATGGATGACAATCTCCCTGAATTCTGTCTTGAATTAGAGTGTTGTTTTCTGAGCAAGGGCGAACTATTGTGTGTTTCTGACAGTATTCACAAGGAGATGAAGCATCGAGCATAGCTTTGGGCTTCTCCTGATGGATATTCAACGGGACCTCGGGCTAAACTGGGAATTTAGAAAAATGATGTTTGCTGTCATTACAGCGCTGGTTCCTTTTTCCAATCGCCGGCTTTGGATAGGGAGGTCTCGCAAGGTTGCTGACGCACGGTTGCCCTAATTAGCTTGAAGATGATAATGGTAGTGTGAAGTTAGATTTGAGCATAGAAAAGCTTTCTCGATAGTCTGTCTTAGCTGTAATCTTATCCGTACACAAACATAACTCTTCAAATCACCTCCCAAAAACTTGACTCCGGTCCTGAATAGATCATTCCTCCGCGATGCCTACATCCAGGTCAATCTCAGCCTCTCTCCTCCTGACCATGACCTTGACAGTGGGATCTGTAAGGAACCCAGCGTCCACCTGAAGGTTCTTGGGCCTCTCGGTCTGGCCATCACACAGCTTCCAGTCATACTTGAGGATGAGATGGCACAGAGCAATCTTCATCTCGTTACTGGCAAAGAATCGTCCGGGGCAGGCATGAGTGCCATGGCCAAACAGCATGTGCTGAGGAGACGTAGTGACAAACTGATGGGCGTTCTCCTGGCCAGGCTGCGATCTGAGATTCAGGAAGCGGTACACATCGTACTTTTCAGGCTCAGGATAGACCTTGGGGTCAATGAATGGCTCAGCAGTGACACACATTCGGCTTCCCTTTCTAATCACGTTACCGTCGGACAACTTGATATCCTCGTCCGCATGGCGATGGATAGAAGCTATTACAATTAGCGTCGTGACTTTACGAATTGTGACTGATTCAGACTTACTCATGCCCATGTAGTGACGACGCTGGCTCTCCTTCATGAAACTGTCCATAAGCTTCAGCTTGTAAAGAGACGTCTTGGCCCAGCCGTGTTCGCCAATGACACTGATGATCTCCTCACGCAGCGGTTGCACAATCTCGGGATAAGAGCTGATATCCAAGACACAACCGGTGATGGTCTCCGTGGTGGTATGAATGGCTGCAAAGCTCAGGAAAAGTTGACCATAGACATAGTTGACGTCGCGACCACGAGAGATCTCAAACATCCAGCCAATAGTATCCGAAGTTCGAGGTGGCTTCTCACCAGATGCTTGAGCCTTCAGGACAGCCTCCTTGCGTCTGTTTACCTCGGGCATGATCAAAGCATCGGCGTCCTTGACTTCCTGGCGTAGCTTCCGGCACAGGGGAAGGAACCAGTAGACAAAAGGTCGAAGGAAGAAAGGCCATTGGCGGAGCTCAGCGGCCGCAGAGTAAGAATCATGTGTGTAGTGCATGGCGATGTGCAACCAGCGGTCGTTTCGAGCGAGATTCTTTCCCAAAAAGACACGAGACGAAAGTCTTGCCACCATCAGTGAGATGACTTCCTTGAGCGTGACTGCCTTGAACTCCTTGTCTTCTCCAATGAGATCGTGTGCAGAAGCGGTCATCTCATCAACGAGATCATCAGTAACCAAACCCAATGACTGGGTGAGCTTGGTTCGGACGACTTCCTGGATAAAGGTGCCATCTTGGTATCCAGTCTTGTACGCCTCGAAGCCGGGGTATTTAACAAAGAAGTCCTTGTCGAAGAAGCGATTGAAGCTCAGGTGGGGGTTGTTCCGGACTTCGTTGGCATAATTGTTGGGCAAGACGAGAATGGGACCAGTGCCAGTCATGACCTGGAAGGGGCCAGATACCGTCTTCAGTCCCCTCAAGACCATCTGATACCCTTCAAGAAACCATCTTGTTGCCGGAGTCCCCTTGGCCTCGGAGGAGACGATGGGAAAACCCGAGTAGTACTTGGGCTTGGAGAAGTAGAAGAAGGCAAGCCAGGAGACAACGCCGAGGAGCAAGGTCTGGAGGTACAAAGAAAGAGTGTTTGTTTCTCCAGAAGGAGAACGCTGGAAAAAGTCAAACATGGTTGATAGCAACATGATGCTTGTTGCTAGTAATTGAAATTGCGTGGTTGGTTGCTTGTCATTCTGGGCTCTTGTCTCTATTTATTGACGATATCTACAACCACACCGGCCCCGGATTCTCCACGATTTGACTAGCTATGCAAGTACCGAAAGAAACGGGCCGAGATCTACCCCATTCCTACTGTACTAGGTAAAAGCCTATGTTTCTGACAGCCGTGGAGGCTTCGGGTGTTCTAGGCTTTGCGTGGAGACCGTGTAGACCGCGGAATCCGCGGAGACGCCCGTCGTGGACCTCGATTACGTTAGCATAACTATGTGTAAAGCTATAGGTTCGGAATTCTGATCGCTCCCAGCTTACCGATTGTTTTGAATGGTTCTATATAAAGCAATTGCGAGATTATTCGTCGGTGTCTCTCAATCACATCCACGGCTTGCATACACACATCTCATATCCCTCCATTTCTGCCTACTTTCGGGCTTGATCTTCGCACCCTTCATCTTGTGCAGCAAAACCTTCGTCTTCTCGCTTATAGTGTCATCATGGCTTACTCATCAACTCTCCTCACCAACAAAGTCGGCATCGTCACCGGTGCTGGATCGCCTTTTGGCATCGGGCGATCGCTTGTCATGTCTCTTGCCCTAGCGGGAGCCAAGGCCGTGTATGCCACCGACCTGACACTGGTCAATATCCCTTCTCTGCAGCAGGAAGTTAAGGACGCTGGCTCCTCGTGTCAGGTTCACGGAGCCATCCTTGATGTCACATCCGAGGACCAGACCGTCTCTGTGCTGAAGAAGATTATTGCCATGTATGGACGACTGGATTTTTTCTTTGCCAATGCAGGATTTGGTAACTACAAGTGCGGGATTGGGCGCCCTTCATCTAGAGTTCACCATGTTAACTGGAACATAGGACACTGGAGGATACAGATGCCAAGTACTACGATTTTGCCATCAACGTCATGCAAAGATCTTTCTTCCTGGCTCTTAAATATGGTGGCAATGCCATGTGCAACACTTCTGACGAAAAGCCCCGTCCCTCCGGCTCTATTATTGTCACAAGCTCTATGGCTGGAGTTTCTGGAGCCATTTCAGACATTTCATACTGTAAGACCGAGTCCCGATATCTCTGGTCATCAATACTGACCAAACCTTACCAGCTACCGCCAAGGCTGCTGTTGCTGGCATGCTCAAGTCTGCCTCGGTTCAGCTCTCAGCCTCGCACATTCGTGTCAACTCGATCGCTCCTGGCTTCGTCAAGTCGAGTATCGCTGTGACATCCGCCAACACAGTCTCTGGCGCTGCCTTTGACGAGAGCCTGAATAAGGAAAACGCCAAGGAAGTGTTTGACAGTGTTCTGGGCCGCCACGCAGAGGAGAAGTACTACTACAACCGTATTCCCGAACCCATCGAGATCGCCAACATTGGTGTCTTTCTTGCGTCGGACTTGTCAGCCTCTGTCAACGCCCAAAATATCGTGGCTGACAGTGGAAAGACGGCTGCGGCTTTCGGAGAGACCATCATCGCTCCTGTTGAGCCTATGAAGCCTCTGGAGCCTTGAAGTTGGTAGAAGTAGTAGCTAAGGTCGGGTAGGTATGGAGGATGAATGGGGTTTAGATACTCTAATAAAGTGCCAGTAGTGCATGCATGAAAATAATTGAACCTGAATGAGCCGCCCCGGTCAACTTCTATAGTTTGTAAATATCCCCATCCACAGTTGAAACAGACACCTCCTCCTAACCCTTGAGTCCCATTTGGCTGACGTCATAACCGTTCTCCTCCAAGTAGGCCCGGAAGCGGGCATCCTCCTCCTCCAATGTTTTAGGGTGCTTTGAGAATGTTAGTTGGGATATCGCCTCCTTGACAGAGAAAACTCACGTTGGGAATCAAGAACCACACGCACAAAGTTCCGACGACAGAAATACCACTGCCGATGAGGAACACTACCTGCTGACCCTTGAGTCTATCGTCAAAGCTAGTAAGGGCCTTGCTCAGCGCCTCTGTGCCAACGGCAGCACCAGCCTTGCCTACAGCCGCAGCGAAGCCAAGGAAATGTCCTCTAAGCGGTGTAGGGAAACTCTCGCTGCTCACTAGGAAGTTGCAGTCACCGGGTCCCACAGAAAGGAACGTCTGGAATAGACCGTAAAGAGTCACGAAAGCGGGGAAAGCGGATGAGCTGCTCAAAGGGAACATTGTGCCTCCAATGACAAATCCGAAGACGCAGACAATGGCCCAACCTAGAGCATAAGTCTGTCGTCGACCGATGCGATCCATGAGCGTGGCGCCGATAAAGGCACCTGGAAGGGCAAAGAAGTTGATAAGAGCCGACCAACCGATTGACTCCTGCATAGTCTGGTTATCCGAGAAGCCGGCAACCAGAGTGGGAGCCAGGAGGTTGAATGGGTAGACAACAGCGTCGTAGAGGAACCAGGCAGAGCAGCATCCGAGCAGAGGCTTCCAGTAGAACTTGATGGCGAGCATGTATGGCACCTTGCGCTTGATAGCGTGCCTGTTGTACTGAGTGGAGTCGACAAGTCGGAGACGGAAGAGGAAGATGGCAAGAGGGAGCTTAACTGATTAACTTGAAGCGGAGGCGAAAATAGGGAGGGCCGACTTACAATGATACCGATGCCAAAGCAGATACGCCAGATGCCATCGCTTGGCTCACCCTTGTAGGCAGCGATGACGATTAGCGACACGATACTCGAGCCGACAAAGCCCGAGATGATGGCAGCGTTGGTTGCAACGGCAACGAGCATGCCGCGGCGCTTCTGCATGGCCTCAGTACTGTCAGCGCACTCAACAGCTTGTGCAGTGCACACGGCATACTCTCCGCCTATACTGTATGTGAGTCCATCTGCTGTCAGGTTGATCGAATGGGGACAAACCTGCTCCAACACCAGCAACACCTCGACCAATGACCATCATCCAAAACATTCCCTCGACGGTTGCACCATGAGAGGCAGTGGCAATAATGATACCCTGAAAACAGTGTGAGAGAGTTCAACTCATAAAGCTGGGATGTTCACGTACCAGAACCAAGAAAAAGGTCGTGAGGAAGATACCAATACGTCTTCCGAAACGATCGATGCAGAGACCAAAGAGAAGCATACCAAAAATGTCACCAATAAGGATCGAGTTGGAGAGTCTAGTCTTGACTTCAGGCGTCATCTCCTTTGGGTACCTGCTCGCGTGAGTTTAGGTTCTAATAACTCGCATTATCAACCTACAGCTTGGCAAGAACAGTGTTCATGTATCCAATAATCTGGATATTGTATCCATCAGAGAAGAGAGCGACACCTTGTACAAGGACATCCAGGACGCCAGGTGCACGCTGAGCCTGGCCCTTTGGCTCCAGTTCTGCAGAGACACTCTCGTCCGAAGCGACCACGAGGGTCTTTTCGGGAGGGACTTCGTTCTTGTTGGTTTGTTCCATTATATATCAGCGAGGTATGAAAGAATTTTGCATGGACGATGATGAGCTGAGTCGAGTTTGTCAGAAATCGTCACAATGAGCATCTTCACTGCCATTTATACATCCCCCTCACGCAAGACATTCGATCCGGACGAACGATTCCGACAGCTTGGAACGTCCAAAGTTTGTCCGTGATAAGCTACAAGGTCGCGATGCAACCTTGCCCTTGCTGAAGGATTGCTGAGCCTGATGTATTTTTCTCAATGTCACCTTTTGAATGTCCACCCAACGGCCGAACATGAACACGGCCGAGCGACTCGGGGACTATCACGACGCACGTGGTGCCGGTGACTGTGGAGGGACGGCATTTCCATGCCGGTTGACGTTAGGCCCAACGGCGTATCAGCATCTCCTCGGCGCCGGTTCGCGCTCTTGGCCCGGCTGCAGAGTCCGGTGTATTGCGGGCGTTGGATCCCACGTGGGCTTATCTATAAGACAGGAGAAACGTTCGGCTAAACGAGAAGCACCATGGAAGAGAGCGATGGATTCAGGGTCCACCACACTACAACAACCCTACTGGCATCGGCAAACAGACATCCCTGAACTCCACGTGTGAGAATTTTGTGGCTTCGGCCACTAGAATTGACAGGTAAAGAGAACGGCAGTTTTTCTAGGAAGCGAGACATCTCTGAACTCGAGACATGAGCAAATTTGACAAGTTCCAAAGATAATCATGAACGAGAAGACAGTGGTTGTGAGCGTTCTTGACGCCCTTATTGCGGTTTCGTCTCTCACTCTGCGCTACACGTCAATTCTTTTTGTCCGATTTGTAAGTTACACAAGCTCTCTCTTGTGGTGTCATACTGACCGTCTATTTCAAGCACCCACTGGGTAGACGATACCTCGACCGAATCTACTGGAGCTTTGCTATTTTTCTCTTCGCTTTTATTACCCAGCTTTTGTTTGTCAAACATGCCCGCTTGAGACTGAAGAGAAATCGAGGCTTCGCTCTACTATTGGCATTATTTGACGATGCAAGACCAATCTCTACGGCTGTGGGCTTCATAATCAACCTATGCTGCCTGACGGCGGTTCTTGACTTTCTCTTCCGTGGCCACATACTTCATCAAAGCCCCGACCTCTCATTCTCCCGGATTGGCTTCGTTGACTCTTCAACAGCCCGAGTAGTGATCCGCGTGCCCACCTCCGATTATGTGGACATAACTATTACTTCCAACTCGGACGGTTCGGTCGCATATGTTGATCCAATCTTGATAAGCCCCGTTTACGACTACACAGGAACTTTTCTGATCGACGGATTGGCTCCCAACACGTCATATACGTACTCAACCAATGCCAGCCATACCGGATCCTTTCGCACATCCGTCTTGCCCCAAGACCTGAAACGATGGAGTCTCATTTCATCGAGTTGCATCAAGCCATTCTACCCATATAGCCCCCTTGACCATGGCTTACGTATCAAGGGACTGGAGCACCTCGGAAGTTACATCTCCACTAATCCTGTCGAGATGATGCTTTTCCTCGGAGATTTCATCTACATCGACCTTCCAATACCATTGGGCTGGGATGCCAAGGCCTACTACACGGCCTACCGACAGGCTTATGCTTCCCCGTCATGGTTTTCCCAACTGCGAGCCATCCCATGGCTCCATGTGTATGATGACCATGAGATCATCAACGACTGGGCTGCCAACGAGACAGGGCTCTACGCAACTGCCATGCAGCCTTTCTGGAGCTACCAAGGACATGCTAACCCTCCATCTGAGTTTGGTGCCGGAGAAACCTACTACGTATTTCAGCGTGGAGGTGTTTCATTCTTCGTCTTGGACACCAGGCGGTATCGATCAGACAACGCCATGGCTGATGGACCAGAGAAGACCATGTTGGGCGAACAGCAGCGTGCGGCTCTTGTGCGATGGCTCGAATCTGAGACCGATTACAAGGTAGTCGTGAGCAGTGTGCCATTCACTAGAAACTGGAGAGGCCCAGACTCGGCGGATAGCTGGTCTGGATACCTCTGGGAACGCGAACAGATTCTTGACACTATGAAACGAAACGGCGGCACTATTATTCTGAGTGGCGTAAGTGATCAGACCTTTACTTTTCGATTGGAGATCTCTGGAAAGAGCACATCTTTTGTAAGAGGTGCTGACCATAATTCCAGGATCGTCACGAACATGCCACAACAAAGTTCCCACCAAAGAAGGAGGGCGAGATGCCAGTGATTGAGTTCTCGACCTCACCATTGAACCAGTTCTATGAGCCCTTTGACCGATTCCACAAAGAAATCGAGGACACTGACATCTCCATTCACTCCCACCCGTGGGGTACGTCAAAGTTCGGGGTAGTCTCCTTTGATACGACCAACAAGGATCGGCTGCTTCTCCACTATGATCTGGTTGTTGATGGGAGCACAGTGTGGCAGTACGATTGGGAAGTCCAGCGCAAATAGATGGTATAAGGGCAATGATGATGAGAAATAGGTTGCTAGAAGGTTGGTAGTGCTAGGAGACACCAAGGAAATGTTATGGTGATTGTCAAAAGAAGACCGGCTAAAAGGATGTAGTATGCTAGTGGTTATGATTGGGTATGGGTTTTAACATAAGTAACAAGATGGGGCTATCATTGGTGTGTACATCTGAAGGGATCCTATAGCAGAAGCTAATGCATCTCCCATAATAACCTTGTGACACAAGCAAGCATCCGATCTCCTTCCAGAGCCAGCTCGGCTTACATTAGTGAAGTAAAGTGGCGGTCGTATCTGAGGGCGTGACCACTTAACGTTCTTGTCTTGATTCGGGCTAAGCCGATTCAGGAATGTTTGGCGTGAACTGCGCTTAACATACCGAGTTAGGCATGTTTTCCTGACCAGTTCAACTGCCGCGATGTAATCAAGAGCTGTATTAAACTAAAGAGAGGCGGAGAGGAGGAATTTCTGTCGCTAGTATTGTACAGATGACCTGAACTGCGGTTGCCATACCAAATCAAGCAACGCGGCGTGGCCCAGATGCCCACTTCACGTCTACTGAGACGCCTCTCGGTGGTATCTTGATTGTCGACAGCAAGTTATAAAAAGGTGGCCGGGCTCGACCCAAGCTGAGCCAGAGGTTCAACACAAACCAGCATCATGGAGTCTTTCATCGTTTTCACTACGGCCCTTTTTCTTCTTTTCATCATCGAGCCTTTTGCTCGATACCTCTGGGACCCCCAGAACCTGCGCCGTTTCCCATCCCACAATCCTCTCTCCAGTATCACCAATCTTGGCTATATCATCGAGCGCTGCCGCGGTTTTCGTTCCAGGAATCTCCATGAGGCACACAAAAAGCACAGTGTTGTCCGCATCGGCCCCAACTCCCTATCATTCTCTTCTCCCAAAGCCATCCGATCCATCTATGGCCACTCCACCAACTGCATCAAGGGTGATATGTACGCTGCCTCTGCTGGTCCACACGACAGTCTTCTAGACGTCATAGACAAGGAAGCGCATGCTCGCAAGCGCCGCTACATGTCTCATGCACTTGCTACTCGCAATCTAGAGACATGGGAACACAAGGTTGCCGACAAGGTTAGGACGCTCGTCCGTCAGTTTGATCGCATCTGTGATGGAGCTGCATCGGCAACGAACACCAAGACTGGGACCCTGGACTTCCGTAAGTGGACCAATCTATTCACTATCGAGGCCATCGCAGATATTGCTTTGAGTCACAAGCTTGGATGCCTTGATCGCGGGGACGATCAAGTCACAGTCACGACCGCTGATGGCAATGAGAAGCGAGTTCACTACATCAAATGCCTCCACGCGGGCAAACGTGCAACCTCTACGCTCGTCTGGGCTAATTCCTGGTTTCGCTTCCTACGAACTGTTCTGACTCTTCTTCCCGGATGGTTCCGCTCTCAATGGCTAAAGGGGGCCCAGTTTGACGACATGGTTCATCATCTCACGAGAGTGCGTGTTGAGCGTCACCAAACTGGCGAGACCTTGGATGACATCGTCCACTGTCTCATTGAGGATAAGAATGGTGAACTTCGCGGCCTCGATATAGGCGAGATCGAAGCTGAAGTTGGTGTGCTACGTGAGTTTCTGATACCCCGTGTCAATCTCTTATGCGATTTACTAACAGGGTATATTTAGTTGACGCTGGCTCCGATACGACCGCGATCGCCTTGACTCATGTCATGCATAGTCTACTTCGCCACCCTAACGCGCTCCAGCGGTTGCGAGACGAGCTGAAAGAGACACTGGACGTTGATAACCCGGTTGCCTCGTATGACCAAGTCAAGAACTTACCATATCTACGCGCGTGTCTTGACGAGTCGTTGCGTCTCTTGCCCCCCGTCTCATTCGGTCTGAATCGCAAGACTGGCCCTGGAGGCCTAACCATCGACGGTCAATGGATCGACGAGGGCATCACCGTAGGGGTCCCGGCGTACACGGCTCATCGCAACCCCCAACTGTTCCCCGATCCAGAGCGTTACCATCCCGAGCGATGGCTGGAGGAGATGCACAAGGACGCCAAGGCATCTTTTATCCCGTTCAGTGCCGGCGCTCGAGGCTGCATAGGTCGCAACATCACATATATGGAGCAGATGATACTTATTGCCTCACTTGTTCAGCGCTACGATTTTGCACTACCCGATGATGGCTGGGAGTTGGACCACGAGGAGGCATTCAACCTCTGGCCAGGACCCATGCCCTTGAGCATTTCAAAGAGGTAAAGCTTGGATGATTAAGGAAAAGGACGACGAGAGCGAGGGGTATGCCACCATCCAATGATGCCACTCAATTCAAGTACTTTCACGTCTCGACACCCAATCACTCTGTAGTTGAGCCACCCTGTTCCGTGTATGAAACCCCAAGCGGCGTTCGATATCCTCGAGGAGCCCCCAAATTCTGGCCTCCAGTGACAGTGACCCAATGTATTTTGCGGCTATTCGTAGTTAGCATCCCATCAAGGTGTTGTTTCTAAGAAAAGGACCGAACCAACCATAGAACAAAGGATTTACTGCAACAACCAAGGCGCCATCAGATATACCCGGTGGGAGGCAGATAGAAGCAATTTCGAGGGCGTGGTTGCGGAGGCTGGCAGATAAAACATCTTTTGGGACTGTTCCAGCAGGGCGCTGTAGCCAGAATTCTAAACACAGAATCTTTGCCAAGTGATAGTATAGACAACCAGCCGCTGGAAATGTTTGTTAGTGCCTAACTTCCAGTGTCAGGGTGTGATCTCTGACCTGCTGAAGGGACGCAGAACCATGTTTGCTTGAGTCCGTCGGCCAGGTCACCTTGGATGTCAACTCCGCGAGCGTGCGGAGGAACGTTCTCTGGCCAATGGACGATTTCTGATACTATAATATCGAGATTATCCTCCAGTGTGTCGCCATCGACGTCGCTTAGTAGAGCAAATCTAATCTCGATTATCCTGGCGAGCAACCAGAGAATGCGTTTCCCGAGAGCGTCTTCCTGTGTCTCGTTCGAAAATGGAACAGCCGGCCATTCCCTTGGTGGAATCAGAGTTGGCCGTTCATTGACCAGCGCCAGGGAAACATCTTGCCGTGCGTAGATCCAAAAGCTGGCGCGACCCAGGTTGGTTGCCGACACGACGTTAACATCTGCCTCGATCAAGGTTCGGCCCCCAAACAGATGACGCTGATAATCCGCGCCAGGAAAGGCGAGCAGCTCATAGCTGCACAGAAGAATAGTGGCCGAGAGCATAGTGGCTCTCTTTGTTCCTTCAACAGTGACGTCATGAATAAGCAATCTGAGACTCTCGCCGTAGTGATGTGAGGAGATGGGCTCCCAAAGACCATTGTCTTGAGTAAGACTCATCTGCTTGGCTGACAAGGCACATATTGAGTGGAACAGCAGAGGTGACGAAAGTGCAGATGATAGGACTTGACGTTGGAAAGTGAGCGAGTGATCCAGAATGTCCATCCAAGTCCCAATACCCTCTTGATAAATTCGCAATAGCTTGGCCGTCTCGTTAGTCAAAAGCTCACTGCTGGGAGTAACATCAGTTGAGGGCAAGGCTGTTCCAGCGTGTTCGGCTGAATAAATTTGTCGAAATGTCTCGTATGATGTGGCCGGCTCACTGTTTGTACCCGTGGTCGCCGCAGCGGATTCCGACCATCCATGACGGACAATGAACTCTGGTTGGATGCACTCAAGTCCTCGTCGAGTGCAGTAGCTGCATGGCTTCTTTTCGTCGCATTTAATGCGGCGATTGCGGCAGTTTAGACTGAAAGATCAGCACGCCGAAGATGGTCAAAGTAATACCTAGACCTACCAGCCTATATCTACCAGTCAGTATCTAGCAGAGACAGCTGTACGGTTGTTTAATCACCAGTTCTCCGTCGTCCTCTAGCAGTGCGGGAGGCTTTTGAGCGAGGCATCGAATAAACCAATGCCAAGAAACATGAAAAAGAGAACCAAGAGTTTGTGAGTGGATAAGTCAAGAATGGCGTTCATAGTGTCCTCCCCCGTCGGCTCCTGGCCACTAATGTTACTAAGCTTAAATATGTTATTAAGCATCGCCGCGACTTCTGCGTCGAGGCTTTGGAAGGTGTTCATTTTGCATATAGCACACACTTGGTCACCATACGGCAGCTACAGGGTATTGCTTTTTTTCAAGGTACCTAGAGCATTTTTCTCCATACCTGGCATCATTTACATCGTACCCAACGCTCTATGGCTCTCATCTCCGACAGCCATGTTAGCTACAAGTGCACAACTGCAAACCCTCCCTTCACCCGGGTGATTGATCGGCGCATCTTGTCCCCTCTGAGCTGTTCCAACCCGTCTGGAGGCGCAAGGGGAGTCGGTTTGATCACCTCGTTAATCGTGTGACGAATGTACGAGATTGGCTGGTTGTTCAGCAGCCACAGCGCCAAAGTCTTCCCCCTGCATGGGAAATGAGTTTCACTTGCACAGCCCATGACAGCTCCACTTCAGTGAGTTTCGTGTCGAACCAACACTCAAGTTACGCGCTCCCAACAGTCAAAGAAGTTTCGCACCCTGATCCAATCCCCCCCCTTCACCTTCACCTCTATTCAACACCAACCACCCAAGATGGATGTCTCGGTAGACTCGGATATCCTCAAGCAACTCAACACGGCTGAAGCCAAGGACCTGCATGACATCAGTGACAGCCTGAGTGCGTGTGGCGTCGGCAAAATCGTCAATCTCCCTCAAATTATCGTCGTCGGGGAACAATCGGCAGGCAAATCGTCGGTACTAGAGGCCATCTCCCATGTCCGCTTCCCTGTCCAAGGCGGCCTCTGCACGCGTTTTGCGACAGAGCTGGTCCTCCGTCAAGCGCCCGAGACACGCGTCGATGTCAGTGTGAGGTTCGCCGATGAGACAAAGAAGCCCCAGGCTTTCCAGAGAACCGGTTTCCGTGAGGATGATCTTCCAGATATCATCAAAGAAGCCCAAGAATGCATGGGTTTCACTCGGGCCGGGCGGGATTTCTCCAAGGATGTCCTACGCCTTGAGATCCAAGGGCCCGGCATGTATCCCTTGACTTTGGTCGACCTTCCAGGCCTCTTCCACGCAGAAACCGAGACACAGTCTCTTGCTGGAAAGGAAACTGTTGATCAGCTTGTTGAGTCCTACATGAAACAAAAGAACAGCATCATTCTAGTGGTGGTCTCGGCCAACTCTCAGCTCGCTAGTCACGTGGCCCTTCGCCGAGTCAAAGAGATGGATCCAAAGCGACAGCGCACTATTGGTGTTATTACCAAGCCTGACCTCACTCACCCTGGGCTCGACGATGAGAAGACGTATATCAGGGTCGCCAGGAACCAGGAGAATGCAAACAAACTTCAACTTGGCTGGCACGTCCTTCGCAACAGATCCGAAAAGGAAGCTAGCTTGGAAGCCCGGGATGAGGTCGAGGAGGAGTTCTTCAAGGCTGGTGCCTGGGCAACGATTCCTGAGAACGATCGCGGCATTGCAAACCTCCGAAGAAAGCTGAGTAAGGTCTTGTATGACCATATTCGCAACAGCCTTCCAAGCGTCGTCGAGGATATTGAGAACAGTCTCAGAGAACGACAGGAACAGCTTGATAGGCTTGGAAAGCCGAGGGCTGATGACGCCGAGAAGAGGCTGTTTTTGGTCTCGATCGCCGGTGAGTTCCAGCGACTGGCGAGAGATGGCATTCAAGGCCGCTACAACGAGCATCGATTCTTTGGAGATTTGGAGGCCGAAGACCGCAAACTTCGTGCGCAGCTTCGGAGCTTCAACCGTGCCTTTGACTACATTCTCAAGACCAAGGGTTCCAAGCAGCTCATCGTGGGCGATGACGAAGAGACTGAAGAGCAGGTCCAGTACCCTGACTACTTGGAGGCCTTTTTGGGGCAATATGAGTTTCCGGACCCAGAGATGATTACCACGACGGAACTGAACGCGCAACTCGAGAAGCACGCTGCAGCGAATCTGGGACGAGAACTTCCAGGATCATCCAACACAGACCTTGCAATTCAGCTCTTCAAGAAGCAAGCGACTCCATGGAAAGAGATTGCCGAGTGCCACATCAGACAGGTCATCGATATTGCCAAAGCTTTTGTCGATGACCTATTCAGTCATGTCGCCGGACCACCAGGCATCAACCGAACGACCGAGGCTATCTTGACGACATGCGTGGACCCCTTCTTTGAAGAGAAGGAGAAGTTGCTCCAGGACAAGCTCGAGGAACTCCTTCGACCCTACGTGGAAGGCTATGCTCTTCCCTCGGACGTCGATTTCTACAGTTCCTTGTCCCAACGGGCCATGAGCCGCTTTGCTAGTCAGCTGTGCAGTGCATTGCAGGATCAACATCCTGAGTTGTTTGACAAAGACGCTCAGTTGGAGTTGAAGCCGTGGATGATCACTCGGGCCATGGAGCAAGAGGCCGAACAGGGTGAATTTGGCACAGAAAAGGTCATTGATATGATGCAGGCTTACTACGAGGTACAAACCCCCGGACATATGTTCTCTTGCTTTTGCTGACCCGTATAGACGTCTCGACGTACCTTTACCGACAACGTCGTCAACTTGGCCATCGAGAGCTGCCTCGTGTGCGATATCCCCAACATTCTCACTCCGACAGAAGTCAACTGCATGAGCGATGAGAGACTTTCAGAGCTAGCGGACGAGTCAGAAAACACCGTTTCTCAGAGAGAAACGCTCCGAGAGGAGGTCAGGATCTTGAGCCAAGGCCTCGCACTTTGTCGACGCTACAGACCCAGGCCATCCACAGGTAAGCAGGTTCCATGCGTTCCAAGGCAGCCTCGACTAACTAGATGAATAGTCCGCCCTTCATCTAAGGTCAAGCTCTCGGCATCGGTTCAGGGAAAGGCTCCTGCAAGTAAGTATATGAATTCTGCTAGCCATGTGCTCTCTAACTGATGATAGAACCGGCGACCAAACCCGTGGCGGCTATTGAACCGGCACCCATCAGCACTCCGGCCTACAATACAAGCCTGGCAGCTCTAGGGAAGGAAATTGGTGCGGCATTGGTCCAAACAGGCGTGCTGTCGGTCCCCGCGACGGACACAAGCCACCCGGATGAGCCCACGCCCACGCCCACTGCCAGGTCCAACAATATTATAGCCACCGCTGTTGCTGCTGCTGCACAATCTCAGAAGCCTGGAGAACCAGTTCGTTCGGTTTTCGGCCAAAGTACTGGTGGCACTACCAATGGTCCTGCTTCCAAACCTGTGACCAATTCGCTATTCGGCCCAAGCACCAGCTCAACTTCTGCTAGCCCGATCACCAAGCCATCTGCTCCAGCTGGTGGACTCTTCGGTGGAGGTGCCAGTTCGTCGACCAAGCCCACTGTTCCAGCTTCTTCTGGCTTTGGCTCAGGTGGGCTTTTCGGTGGGGGTAGTAGCTCGGCGTCTACACCTGCGGCTTCATCTTCGTCGCCTTTCTCCTCGGGTAATCTTTTCGGTGGAGGTAGCAGCTCAACTGCAAAGCCTCTTAATTCAGGCTCGTCGGCTCCCTCCTTTGGTGGTGGGTTCTCTGGTCTCGGTGCCAACTCGCCTTCCAAACCTGCAACTTCATCTCCTTCACTTTTTGGTGGAGGTGCGTCCAAGTCGACAGCTTCAGCCGCTTTGCGAATAAAGCGTACGTTTTGAACATGAAGAAACTGAGTCTAGCACTGGGCTGACGCCGTGATTCGATGGTGTGTGAAACAGAGACAGGCAGTTCTACCACAAACTGGGACTCGCTGCAGTGGCAGATATTCAGGACAGAATATCCATTCATCGACGTGGAAACTTGTGATCTATTTGCAAGTGATGCGTTTACAACTACACGCATGCAACACATTTGCGCACTAGCCGCTCATACGTCCTTTTCTCCAGAGGAGCTCAGGCTTCAACACCGATTCCTTGGCAAGTGAAAGACATACGCAAGGGTTATCGCGGCATAGGTAGTTAGTCGAGAATAATAATTTGCGCATAAGCTTGGCACAAACAGTGATGATTTATTCTCCGTATAGTAATGGTTACTGAATCAAAGCAATCCTTCTCTTCGCACCCTCTTTCGGAGTGCTTTGTCTCCTCCTTCATTCTCACTGCCCAGCCGAAACCACACCTTGCGAAAACATCACAGATATGGTCAAGACTAAAAATACCACCATCAGCTCTGTGTAAATGCCCATAAAACTATTGTTCTGTACCTTTGACTCTGCGTTGGGGGCAGTCGAAGGCGTGCTTGGAGTGAACTCGAGTGAGCCATCGTAGACAGTGCCTTCAGGTTGTGCTGTGAGATGGTTCCTCAGGTCCCTCTTCACTGATGATAACCCCGCTTCGGAATGTCCTCGCGATGAAATTCGCAAGAATGGTCACGGAAGTGGTCGCAACCATGAGATAAGCGAGAGTGGGTGTGAGGTGGGTGGGCGTAAGAACAGTGTTCTTGTTGCGGTTCTTGATGGAACAGGAAGCCATATTTGAGACTTTTGAGGAGACAATGAGTATTTTAGGGATTTAACGATGTCTGTCCGAGCTGCTGGAGAAGGAAACAAACGGTAACTGATTCGTAAGGTCTGTGTCTCATGTTTATACTCAGCACAGTCGGGGTGAGGCTCTACTGCGCAACGTGCCTCCCCGCACTCTTGCTCGACTTTCTTATCGTATGACACTTTTCCCATGGACGCTAGGCTTAAGATACACAAATCTGCAGGTTTCGGTACATATCGAGGCAACTGCATGTGCACCTGACCACAAAGAGCCAATCTCTCGGCCGTATCCAAGACATGGCATGCAGTCATCAACACCACTACACAGTACAGCCAATGTGAAGTGTTTTCTCTTCTCCCCCACATCTCGAAGCTTGTCACCTCACCCAAGACCGGAGAGAAAGGTCCAAGCGTTTTGGCGTGCGTGGGGGAGCATGAACAATCGATTAATTTCCCGACTACCGAGGATGCAATGATGCACGTCTTTGGTCAGGCTGCAAGACTATAAGATAAGTCGTCGGCTTTAGAAAGTGAATCTTTGCGTCGTGTTGCCATGACAGCTGAAACGGCATGGGTGGCTCCTCGACAGGTTCCCCTGGCCAGGATGTCGGGTGGCTGTGTGGTCGGATTTAGAATCAATACGTGTAAACTACGCAGGGATGATGCCGTCACGTTTGTGAAACCACTGATGAGTTGGCTGTCGTATTTACTTTCCATATACCTTCAGGCTCCCTCTTTGTGATTCTTTTCTTTTTCAAACCCCGTCTAAACCATCTTCTGCAACTAGGGAACCACGTCTTGGACGCCCCGCGTCTACTTGCATGACTCTGCAAATCAGCCCACGTGCATTGGCTCACCGTAGCATACACATTTCGAAGAGAATTATATGCTATATTCTTTGACATATAAACGCGCCTAAGTAGCTCCGCTTTACAGCTGGCCCTCAGGTGAGTTGAGGTAACCTATTTACAAAAATAAGTGTGTTTTCTTCTGCTGCCGACTTTTACTGGGTTATCCATCCTCTTTGTTTCAGAACATTTATGCGCGACAAGGATGAGGTCTACTCACAGGTTTACTCCATAGATTAGAAGCAAACATATTGAGCTTTAACCGACTTCCCGGTGTTGGCTCAAGCCCAAGATCCCAGCAACGCAACACTATCGGCCCGCTTGACAGGCTGGCCCAACCCGCTCAGCGGTTGACGCTGGACGGCGGGGAAAAGATGCACATGCACTGACCAACCGACCAAGCAGAGACAGTTTGCATGACTTGTTATGTCCGTGTGTAGTTGGGCAAAGTCCCCACCAGTGTACACGTCGAGTCCCGTGGAACATTGTTGGCAACAAAGCATTGGACGAATATAGGTTTTTATTTTTGGACTTTGACAAAGAGGTGATAATCTTGAACATATAGCTGTTTAATGTTCAATGACGTGTTGTAAGGTGAACATACAAGCTGACGAAGTATAAGAAAGTACGGCAACCTCTCCTTGAGCTCAACTCATCAACTCATCAACACAACAATCACAACTCACCAAACACCAACCCGTCAACTCACCAACTCAGAACCACAAATTATCTCTTCAACCTACTATCACTATCCTCTCATCACCATGAAGTTCACAACCTTCGCTCTTTTCGCCTACCACGCTGCGTGCGTTTTCTCTCTGCCCACAAATGCCGAGAACGAATGCGGCGCCCTCGGCGTCATGGACTGGAGCACTGTAGAGCTCCCTGACTACGTCGACCGCTCTCAGCTCCGAAAGTGCAAGGAGCACCCGGAAAGGACCGTCGGTCCCAACAAGCGAGAGGCCAACGTCCTTGAAGAAAGAGCGTGCTCACCACCCGGAGAGCACGGAAAGCGATGGGGCTGCTCTAAGAAGGGATACTGCTGGATCAACTGCGGTAGTCTTCTCAGGGGAGAGTGGTGCTGGGAGGCGATGAACCACGGCACTGGAGAGTGGTCAAAGTGCAAGGAGGATGACGATTGTTACCGAAACATGGAGAAGGGCGCTCGATGTTCCGTGGGCGACTGCAAGGCTTGCGGATGCGGCTGTTAAACGCTGTTCAACCTGTGTGCTGTTTGGGCAATATCTGGAGTTTGGGTGACTTTCAATCGTAGCCGTCTAAGAGCCTTATTTACCTAGGCTGATGGATCAAGGATGGATATTTTGATCCGAAATTTGGACGGTTACTTGGGTGGTGTACGGAGTTTGTATTACCTATCAACTGGATGGGCCTAGAATGTTTTATCTACTTAATAACAGTTGCGATACGTCATATTATTGACAAGAAATTTGCCTTAAAAGAACGTGCTGCTAAGGTGAATGCCAAGAAAAGTAGGATCGTGGAGCTATACCGGTGTCGGGAAAAACTGGACGTTTTCTACACCGAGGAGGCATTTAAAGTGATGACGCTGAAAAAAAGACTCTAGAACCTGGACAACACGTGCCTCTGCTTATATCTACTATTCGCGACTCAAGCGAGTTGCGTGACGATCATTCCTTAGTCGGACGACTAGCAAATTAGCCTACTCTCCACGTGTTGATGGCCCTGGTGTTCCTTGGAGAGTAGGACAACCATTATCTTGGCAGTGAGAGGGGGTTGTTCTTAAATACTTCTAATGTGCGACGTTGTACAGGGAATCAAACAGGTTATTATTTCCTTTGTTACTATGGCTGATGTCCTGTTTCTCTAAAAAGGACAGTACCCTCATCATCAGCATCAATCACGACAAAGAGAAAAGAATCACAACTTTTCATGTCAAGGCGGCCATACCTTCACTGAACCAATAGATCTGAAAGACCTTGCAGCGATCATGCATTGGTCTGCACTTACAGTTGTTGCATTCGGGACTATTGTCTCTGCAGGTGTCCCCAACCGCGCCAATCAAGCTTTGACTTTTGGACGCGATGGAACCTTTCAGATCTCCATCTTTGAAGATCTTCACTATGGGGAGGGTAGGTCAATCCCTATCTTTTTGGTCGCCTGCTGACTAGTGTAGCTCCTAGCACCTACGGGCCTACCCAAGATGGCCTTACTTCAAAGGTCGTGTCCAAGATTCTCCGAGATGAGCGCGGCATAGATCTCGCCGTCATCAATGGTGATATTATCTCCCGGGATAACCTCATGCCCAACAGTACTGGGTATCTCGACCAAGCGCTGAAGCCTCTTGTTGACCGAGGAATGACCTGGGCTTCGGTGTATGGAAATCACGAAAACAACAACATGCGCAGTGTCAAGGATGTCTTCCGCCGCGAGAAGCAATTCCGAGGGTCCCGGACTCTCTCCATGGTTCCAGGCAAGGACGTTGGTATCACAAACTACTACCTGCCTGTTTACGATTCCAAGTGCCATGGTCACCGTTGCGTTCCCAAGCTTATCCTGTGGTTCTTTGATAGCCGCAGTGGCTTCAACTACAATGACTTGGATGAACAAGGAAAGCAGGTGCAGCGTGTGAACTGGGTCGATAAAAAGGTTGTCAAGTGGTTCATCAAAGAGCGCAAGAGGATTGAGAAGAGATACAGGACGACCATCCCATCTCTGGCTTTTGTTCACATCCCACCCAACGTCTTCTACGCTGTTCAGAAGGACGTAGGCATTGACCCGACCCGCAACCCTGGAATCAATGACATGTTCCAGCTGGGTCAGGGTGAGAAGTACTGCTCAAATGGTACCAGAAGCGATGGTTGCACTTGGGGTGGCCAGGACATTCCTTTCATGGATGCTCTCGGATCGACTCGTGGTCTCATGGGTGTTTTCGTGGCTCACCACCATGGAAACTCCTGGTGCTATCCCTGGACCGACAAAAGCTTGCCCGACTATCCCGTGCAACCTTCTGCCGGAGGTTTGAAGATTTGCTACGGCCAACATACCGGATACGGTGGCAATGGAGACTGGGAGCGTGGCTCTCGACAGCTTCTTCTGCATCAAGATCGCATCAAGAAGGGCGAGCTCGAGACCTGGATTCGTCTTGAAACTGGACAAGTTGTTGGAGCTATCACTCTTAACAAGACCTTTGGCAAGGATAGGTATCCTCAATCGCCCAACAGAAAGACCTTCTGCGAAGAGTGTAAGTTTTCCTCCAGAGTACTCTAAAGACCATACTGATTCTGTTCAAAGGCCGGAAGTGGGATGACTACAAGCCCGAGCCTTGACGGGTTGGATGAAGGCATCAATTTTGGCCTTAAGCGGACTTTTGTTAAGAAACGCAGCAGTGGCTTGCTGGCACTGCCTTCTTCGTAGTACTTGACATCTACGTAGCTGAGACTCCTGTTGCCTCTGCTCTATCCCGAGGCATATGCCAACTACATTTCTGGATGAAACCGTTTAGGTAGTGAACTTATTAGATTCATATTTTCAGATTCCACTACTCGTTGGCTCATGTGAGGTCAAGATGAAAAACACTAAAACCTAGACCCATGATGACACGTTGAACCAATTCGCCTAACTGCTTACCAAAATGCAAAGCGGAATTACGTCTCTCATTCATCAATCATCATCGTTAATTCATTTCAGTCATACTCGCCCCCCTTGTGCACTGTCATCAAGTGTTGATAGCAAGCATCCCCGTTGTCAAAGGCTGCCATGCATACCCAGCAAATATGAGTCCTGCATCCTTGGCAAATGATGTGATCACAACCCGCAATCTTTTCCAAAGACGTTTGACATCTCGGGCAATCTTGAACGCCCAACTGTTTCTTGAGCTTGTTCAGGGCCTGGAGACCTCCTGAAGCGTGGTTCCGATGCTCGGAACAGGTGAGCGCAGGGTGTGCTGCGTGACAAGCTGTGCAGATGGACGCTAGACAGCTGTTGCAGGTGAATGCTGGGGGCTCTTGTTCCGTCTGTGAGGCAGCACGATAAACCTGAGAGCAGTCAGGAGTAGGGCAATACCGAAATTGATCTTGATGACGCTGGACAAAAGAAGTGAAGGATTCTTCAAGGATGCTGTCAAATGTTTCGGATGGGAGGAGACTGCAGATTTCAGCAAGTTCAAAAACCTTTCTGCATTTCCCAGCATCCCCTTCGCAGGTGATACAAAACTCGCCAGGATTCGTAGCCATTGCTTCGCACATTCCGACGAAGCAGTGATCACAGTAGGCATGATTGCAAGACGTCATGACTGGTTCCTCGGCTACCCAAAAGCAAATCTGGCAATATTGCTTCGGCTTCAACGAATCCCCTGAAGCTCTAGCCTGTCCGCGAGCCATGATGAGTTTGGCCTGAGCAAGGTCATGCTCAGATCCTCGGATGAGAATAGAATCTGATGACTCATCGAAAGCAGCCTTGTCTTGTCCGATCTGTGACTGTATTTCTTCGAGGCCTCCTTCTACTGCCCAGAAAAACTCGCTCTCCTGGTCGAGTCGAATGACATGAGGTGGGCTTGTGTCTTTGATAAGCCGATCCAAGGCTTTTGCCACTAGTGCTTGCCGTCCTCCAGCACCAAAAACTCGAAACTGTGAGAGCCATCCATCGCGGACGATGGCAATGCCCAACTCCTCCTCGATTGTCTTGAGCGTCTCGTAGGCTTCTCCTCTATTATTGAAGCTTGGGTGCCAGATATTCTTCCCATGCTGTCTCATCACCTCCCCAGCAAGAACAAGCTCGAGCTCATTTTTGGCCTTGGCCATCGATTCGCGGTCACTGCCTTTAAGCTGGAGGATTGAAAAAGAACCACGTGGAGGCAAGACGTCAAATTCAATATTCTGGTCCTCCCAAAATCTTTTGTGAGCATCGATCTGACCTTGGACAACATCGTACACGCGGGGCAGTACGTCGAATTTCACCACGGTGACTACCGTGGTAGACAATCTTCTTGACTTGGAGAATGGTAACCGCCTCCCATCGAGTGCTGTGGCTGCATTCCTCGCGTGGAACTCCTCGAAAAAGACAGCCTGACCTTTGATTTGCCCTCCTTCGGATATCTCCGAAACCTCCCATCGCTCCAAGGGCCCATATTCATCCAGCATCGACCGAACAAAGGTAGACTCGGTTTCTGTATCATCGGTATAGACCAGGTATCGGATTTGATTTTGGAAAGGCCAGTATCGCTTTGGAATGATCTGGATGACGTCCTGGTCCCTGACACTCTCAGGCAAACCCGTTAATCTAACTACCCAAGTCACTAAGTCGTCCCCAAGAGCGGGAGGGTGAGCTGTGACTCGATATCCGTGCACTGTGAGCCCTGCAGGAACCCCCTGATAAAGCCTCAAAGCAGCTTCTCTAGTACCGAATATGAGGTTTACTTCTCGACTCGGTCGATACCAAGTGAACTGAACTTGTCTGCAGTCGACCCGGCGAAGGTTGGATCCTACCGGGAACGGGACGGGTATCGGGACAACTCCAAGCTTGGGGTTGCGAGTGCCCAAATATCCCCAGGCTTCCTTTGGAAAAGAGGGACTCCATATTCTGACCATTGCGGTACCTTTTTTCGCGTTACTGACGTATATGTCACATCTGGATATGTTCAAGCCCGCACGCCAGAGCATGTCTTCGATGAGTTGAGTTGAATAACCGGTTGGGAGATTGCTGATGCGGACGGCGGAAAAGTCGGAGGGTAAAATGATTTCAGTGGCAGTCGCTCCTGGGCCGAATCGAACCCATGTTCCTCCAAGTTCTCGTATGAAATCGCGGGCCTTGTTGTTTTCCTATGGTAATTATCTGTTAGCTGTTGCGGACCTAAGCAATAGGCCGTATGGAGAGTACCTTTGATCCTTCTTCCCCATCGGCTTCCTTCGGCTTCTCATGCAAGAGAGTGCAAGTATCCCCGTTTTTGCAGTACCCTTTGATATAGAATCGACATGGCCTCCGCGGCTCTTGCTTAGAGGATGCCGTCGTTGGATCATGGTGAGCAGTATCGGTCTGCAATGAGATTCCTGAATTTTCGTGTCGTAGGGCTTCTGGGGCAGCATCTATATCCAGAACTGGCTGCGCCTGGACGGGTTCCCTTTGAGGCTGGGCAACTCGCGGTGCTAGTTCAATTTCGGGTTGGGACTGACTAGACTCGCCATTGCAGACGTTACCCATGTTAATGGATAATGGCTGGTAGGGTGTGCCCGTGGAGTATTAATTTTGGAGATGTGATTTCGTTCAAGCCAGACTCTCATATCCAAGATCGGGCATCAGAGAGCATTCGAGGGTTTATGTAGCCCACACTGCGAGGGGAACAGGGCTGCTGCCCTCCTCCCCTGTGTCACAAAACCACCGAAAGTATTATTGAGAGCAGTCAGCCTTGCTGTCAAAAAGTACATCGGCCGCAGTGACCAAGGGGACGATTATGGACACGTCACTGTGTTGCTGAACCCTAATATTGTAAAGCCTCGTGATGTATTCCATGACCTTCCCCTGCCGCAGCCACGAGAGGCTAAACAATGGGAATGATCCTAACAAATGTGGCGTGATCAGTAATTTGATCAATCATGCCAAGTTACTTCCGATACCTAATCTGGTACCAATTCACGCAAACCGGGGCCGGCAGTTGAGCTGGAGGGCATGGAGGCCAGACCTTGACCCTTGAGGTCTCCAGACTTTCCTTATTTACCGTGGAAATGGAGGGGCCCGAGGAGTCTCTCGATGGAGTGCATGATGATGCGATCTTCTGGCTCTGTTGACTCATCAAGGGTCGGGCTTCAACTATGATGCAGAACACCTTGTCACCACATCATAGTGGTGCATGATGATGCACTGTGATTCAATCGGCCAGGCACTTATTACAGCATGTCTTTGGAATCAAGAAACTCGTATCTCTCTCGGGTGTAGGTAGGATCCGGAATAGTGCACCTAATGTCTAGTAGAGTGGCGACCGAGAGGGCACCCAGTCAGTTTGGAACCTTCCAGCCGTCCTAAGGCTCGAGCTTGGAAACCCCCATTCCAGAACTACGATGAAGTTTTGGGAAGCCTCTTACGAAGTAGCAACGGAGCCCTCAAATCGCTAATGGGTCGAGGGTTTTGACATCATGACTTGTGAACATCTTTCGCTAAATGTTTGACAATTTGCCGAGAGGACTTCCCGTTTGTTTGTGAAAAATATGTACGGTAACATCACTATAGACCAAACACCAACTGATCGTCACGGCAGTTGACGGTTGCAACTCACTAGAGATGCCGAGTTCCATCCCACATCCCGACGCTGACGCAAGTCAATCTGCCGCGCGTCTCTGGCTACACGCCGAGTGTTGCCCTCACTCTTTCTAAACGACTATAAATCAGACATGCCAAGACTTTCTAAATCTCCCTACTCTTCATCGCCCTCGGTCTCGGTCTCGTACTTGTTTCGTATCCGCTCCCCCACTTGTCCAAGGATGATTCTTACAAGGGTGTTGATCCCCCTGGGCACCGTCTCGGTTGCTTCCGCCGAGACCCATCATCTCTTTTCCGGCTTCTTTTCCGGTTCTACGATCGCAGAGATCGAGTTTGATGACACAACTTCATCTCTGACCTTGGTGAAATCCATTTCGTCTGAGGCATCTGGGTCTAAGTGGATAACTCTTGATGTACAGCATCACAACTTCTCCATCGACGGTGACATTCTTGCTGACAGATAATCCTAGGCGCGTAAAAAAAACTTATACGTCGCTACGACTAGTGCTTTTCAAAGCTACAAGCTCACGGAAGACTTGAATCTGGCTTACGAAAGCAGCGTTAACTTGTCTTCATCCTGTAAGACCCCCCGTGATAGCATTGAACATTATGGTGCCTACAGCTGAACTAATACTTGGCACAGGCAACAACGCGAATTTTGTCACCGCCCTGTCAAAGGCTCCGTACACCGTCTTTGGCACTCCATACGGAAGCGGCTGCCCGACATTGGCCATTTCCACCGACTCGTCCGGTACCCTTGAGGCAACCGTCGCCAATGCCAGCTATCTTGATTCGAGTGGTGTTCATGGAACCGCTCTGAGCCTTAAGAATGCCTTTCTCTACTCGGCTGATGATATGGGGAATGCGGTTTGGGTTCACTCCTACGACAAGGTGACGGGCGTCGTTCGTGAAGTGCAGTATCTGGCTGCCGCTTCTGGTTCGAACCCTAGACACCTAACCGTACATCCTAACGGAAAATGGGTTTACGTGGTGTACGAAGAGGCAAATGCTATTGCGGCATATGAACGAGACACCACGACTGGAAAACTGGAATTTCACCATGAGACTTATAGTCTACTGCCTTCAGGTGATAATACCCTGGGTCAAAAGATTCTCTTAGAACCATGACTAACCACTGGGTCTATAGGATTCATGAACTCCTCTTCGTATTGGGCTGATGAGGTACTCCTCTCAATCCCAGCAGACGCTGACTCGCCCAAATATCTTCTTGCCGCTACCCGATCACGTACGACTGGGACGCCAGGATATGTGTCAGCTTTCAGCTTAGATGCAAAGTCCGGTGACATCAAGAAACAGTTATTCCTGCAACCCACGACTGGCAGCGGGGGGTCCGCCAATGCCGTTTCGCCCGCCCCATTCAGCGAGGATTACTTTGCAATCACAGATAGTGGAGAAAACTTTGTTCAAGTTTGGAGGATTGAGAAAAAGAAGGCTTCAGTTATTGCTCATTTGGATCTTGAAAATGGACCGGCCAATGTCGTGTGGTATGACTGATGGGGGTTCCAAGTGTTACCCCAGTAAGCCCAATGACGCTTTGGCATTCGTAGCACGGACGCACCAAGCTGAAACCTTCCCATAACTAGAAACCCTCCCCTTTATAGAGACTTTTAAAAGGTCTTTGGCTCATATCACAATGGGGAATGTCAAAGGATGCGTGAATGACGGGAGAAACTAGTGTTGGCTCGGAACAAGCGGCAAGTCAACGGAAATGTTATAATGACTGAAATACGGGGCTGTGACTAGAACATCTAGCAATAACCAAAACACATTGTCAAAAAGGAAAGAAAAAGATCATGCAGTTGAAGCATAATCTAAGAATAAGACAGAAAACAACCATCAAAACCATCAACCTCTGCGCAAAGAACAACATCTTGCATCACTTCTTTCTCCACAAATTCATCCCGTCTCACGCCCGTACAAGCCTTATTTCGGGATCGGTTCGTATGCTCACTTACTTCTCCAGGCAGACCTGAGAGTAGTAGGTGGCAAAGGTGGTGGCAGCAGCGGCACAGCAGAAGACGCTCTCCTGGTTGGCCTTGGCAGCGCAAGCAACACAAGCAGCCACAAAGTTGATGCCCGAGAAGTTGGCGCAGGAGCGGCAAGAGCTGGGGTGAGGAGCACTGTTGCAGCTGAAGGAGCTGGCCTTCTTGAGAGCGGCATCCTTGATCTGAGGGCAGTTTCGGGCGCGCTTGTGAATCGAGTGCTCGCCACCAACAAACTCGAGGACCGAGTCGAGGTTGGCAAGAAGGTCCTCCTTCTTGGCCATCTCGACGATGGGCTCAAAGTAGAGATCATAGAGAGACTCAGGAATGCACTCGGAGGGAGCGTTAATGAAATGCTCGGGAACAGCAGGAAGAGAAGCGTCGCTGGTGCTGTTGGCGTTGAGCCAGTCGAAGGTCTGGCCAAGTGCCTGAATGTGGGAAAGGCTGATGCAGCCAGTGGCGTCGCCAGAAGTGAATGAGACATTCTTGGCGAGGGCCATGCCGGCAAAGGCGGTAAGGAGGAAGAAGATACGAGCCATTGTGTTGATGAAAGCTCGGTTTTAAGATTGAAAGATTGTAGTGAGTTGTATTGGGTAGTTGAGGGCTGGTGCTTGCTTGTTCTACTTCGATGAGGTGCAGAGCGCCTCTTTATAGTCCTCGAACCTTTCTAATGGGAAGGAAAACTTTCTAGGAAGTTGTACACATACACCTGTCCATCCGGGTCTGCGGATCCTCGGCCTTGAGTGCATCCCGATTTCCCGTCACATTTGTCTGATCCCCTACGCGTTTTTGGATCATGAGGAGGATCCTTTGCGGTTCTTCCTCATCAACGCCCTCGACTCGGATGCTCGGCATGACTTTGAGCATACTACTTGAAAAGTTCTTCCCTTTCTTGGGGTTTGTGAGAGCTCTCGCCGCCCAGTCCGTATGATGTTGAGATGATTTCCTCACGCCTGTCCATCAGAATGTCGTCCCCTTGTTCGTTCAATGCCTGCAAAGTCAAAATACGAAATAATGCATTTGGTGTTTGTGAGGCAGATTACGAGGGATTTTATCGCACGTTGTTCTCCAAGAAGACGGTATTGGTGTTGAGCTGTTGTTGATGCTCCGTTTTGACTTTAATTGGAGGAATATATCGACTGACACCACGATGCTCACGTGGAGCTAGTTGAGCATCTTTGCCGTGTTATCCGGGCCTCGACCGAGTCTTGACTTACTGAATGTTCTACCGATGGTCCCTTAATTCACGCAACTCGCGGATCTCGCTGATCAAGTCTACTATGAAACTTTAACCACCTAGGTTAGACAGGTTATGCGATCCCCTGGCTACCGGATGACATTTGTAACAAACCCTGGCTAGTCTACCCGTCCCTGTGAGCCCTATATTATAAGCAGGGATAACCTGACCACTTCATTTACCACTTTGGGCAACCGTTTCTTCATTTCCAGCTTGCTGGGCCCCCCACACCCCACGTGGGCAAGGGTATCGTACGCTTGTCCAATGTTTTGCTACGCCCGGATGCCTCGTATACAAACTCTAATACTTCTACCAAAGCTTAGTTTCGGGTAGACGGCAGTTCTCCCTGTCACTCTAGCCTCACTTTCCACTGGCATCTGCCGGCCGGAAGGGAGGGAGAAATCTTACGACCATGGCACGTTTCTTGTTCGTGCTGATTCATAGGTAGATATAGCCTCTGTGGAAATGGTTGACTGACTATGATTGGCTTGTTCGTTTCGACTCTTCCCAGCGACATACATTCTATAGCTGCCATACGATAAATCCCCTTCTAGGCATGGTAGTGATAGGCCCTGGGGTCGGTTTGGGTTTCACCTCGAGCAAGGATCGAACTCGTCGTCCGCGTAGGACTGTCGAGTCATCAACTCTGCTCAAGACAAGTCGAATGACAAATTCTCCCGGCCTCACAGTTTGCCTGAGGAGAATTCTCCGTGAATAATCTCCTCAAGAGAGTCCGGCAAGTATAAAGACCGACCTTCTTGTCTCTCTTCAGGTTCGTTTTCCACCAGCACTCAACAGACCATCAATCTCACAGAATCATCTCTTCTCACTCTCTAACTCAGCAACATCTTTGCTCCCCACAAACCGACAACATGAAGGTCACTGCTCTCGTTCTTCTTGCTCTTGGCGGCAGGTAAGTGTCGTCTCATGGCCCCGATGTTTCCTGAGCTGACTTGGCACAGCGCCATGGCTGCCAAGCACCACAACTGCGGCTGCAACGTTCGCGGACAGTACAATGTCGCCCTGAGCCAGGCTACCTGCGCTCTCTGGGGCGCGACCCAGATCCATACCCACTTTGGTAAGTGACAATACCCTTGCTACGTACGAGACGTCGAGGCTAACCAGAAGCAGATGGTTATTCTGTAAGTCTTTTGATGAGAAACATGGTAGATTGCATTGCGGACACTAACAAAGTATCTTTCAGTGCATTGACAAGGGCACTGGCCGTGGCATCGATGGTCAGCCCTGGGAGAACACCTGCAAGCAGGCTTGGGACGTCAACTTTGGTGGAAACCCCAATGATGTCCTCGGCAAGTGCTGGCACTAGATGCCTGCCTGGGAGGTCTTCTTGCAAAGCTCAGTGTTGAATTTGTTTACTGTCCTTTCACCTTGAGAGGATCCGTGGCTGGGCTGGCTTTCCCGAAGGAGGGCATTTCGTGCGACTTTTACTTGACTTCTGGATTGTGTTTCAACAGCACAGTCTTCTTTTGGTGCTCTGATTGTTGTTTGATTGTTATATAGTGCTTAGATTGAATATTTAAGTTGTATTTGAAACGCCTATTGAGACAAATTGTAGAGGGCCGAGGTTGATGAAAGAACATTCAGAACTAAATTAGACTACCCAAAATTACGAACCTGCTCTCTATCCTAAAAACTTTTGTACATCATCATATATCTTCATTGTGCCAATAGCTAATATGTTAACTCACTATGAAATGATCATATGTTCACTGCTTTCTTCTCTTCGCTGCTTCTTGCTCACCCTAAACACGGCATGCGCCTCACCAGGGCCACATAAAGTTACATGTCAATCTGAACCAGCATTCCAAGTTCGATAATGGTTAATGTTGATTCTTAGGGTAATCCAACTATGTTGCTTCATTCCCCTCAAGGTCGCGTCGCTGTCGAGCACGCCATGTCTTCACAAGTTCGGGGTAAAGTGGGTAAACACTTCCAGCCTCAACCCAGAAGTTAGGGTCATTGCGACATCCAACCAATTGCATCTGGTACGACTTGCGGTGAGATTTTGCATCCACCCTCTCGTCGTGGATCGCTAAGAAGTGTGTCCTTCTGGTATCAAAGTCACAGCATGCGTCCCGACCCCCTTTGTCCTCCCAGTACTGCAGGACCAGGGATTGATTCAGCCCCTGCAAGTCTTTCTCGCGGAACCAGCCTTCGGACAATTCACCTTCCCATGAAGGACCATTTGTCCACTGGACCACCACCAACCACAGGAAGATGTTAGCTATGGAGCTTGACGTGCCTGCAATATCTCGTTTTCCTTTCGGAGTCTCTCTCTCCTTGGCTGGGACGTCTTGTCTCTCTTTGGGACTTGCCCTCTTTCTCCCTCTCCGGCCCCTCTTTTTCGGTGCCATGGTGTGTATGAAGGGATGAAAGTCCTAAAGATTGTGCATGGCGAAGGGGACAGGCGATAATTAACATGTAAGAAACGAGATCATTTAATTTTTACAACGAATTCTGTGCGGTAAAGATAGGTCTATGAGGTATCCCAGATGCGGGTTTCCGACGCAAGGCCCTTGAACCTGCAACTAAGCGGAAGTCCATTCATTTATTCGTCTATAGAGGATATTGAATGTCTTGTGGGACTCCAAAATGCGGCAAAGTGCATCGTAGTCAAAGACTATCGGCAAGCGACCGAGGCCACTTCAAAGGGCCCCAGAGATGTAGATACGCTTGTTTACCGTGAATACGGCATGTCGGTAGTGCGCTTTGACAGAAGTCCAAGTAAGACTCAAGCTCACTTCAACGGACACTTAAGTCCCTCTAGATTTGCCTAGTTTTAATCACCTGCTCACACCCCCCGTTGTCATTATCTGTAGATCAATCTCCCAAACCTGCCTTCATTGCGGCTTGACATTCTTCATCTCGAGCCTCCCTACCAAGCAACCAGCCAAAGCCCTGAAGAACGTCCACTTGATGCTTTTTAGAGCTGGTCAAGGTTGGAAAAAGGTTGGCTGAGCCATGGGGCACCCCGGGATACGCGTCAAGTCGAGTTTTTACACCGTGCTCCCTTAGTACTCTTTCGTAGACCAGACCATCGTCTCGTAGGGGATCCTGGCCGCAGACCTGGATATAAACTGGGGGAAAGCCTGTATGAGGATTAGGGGAGTTGAAAGGCGAAAAGTCGGGCGATCGGATGTCAGGCTTGTAAACTCTGTAGACATACTCCCGGGACTTGGCATTGATGACCATGGCGTTGGCGTTTTGTTTCCTGGAAAGCCAGAGAGCCTTTTGCTCTTCGGGTACAATGGCAGCGTCGAAGATCATTGGAATATCGAGCCAAACTCCGAGGATTGGTGGCGACAGTTCTTGGGTAGTCCACTGCTGAACCGCAACGGCGGCAAGATTTGCGCCTGCAGAGGTCCCGCCAATGAAGAATCCTCTGGATAAGTCCAGGCCCAGCTCCTCGGCCACGGTTGAGCTCGTCAAGGCTCCAAGGGAGTCCCAAACATCTTGTGGTGCCGTAGGGAAGGGGAACTCTGGGGCCAAACGATACGCGATATTGACAACGGTCACATCGTACAGGGCAATCAGCGCCCTAGAATAGAAGCTGATGTGAGAATAATGTCCAAGGCAAAAGCCCCCTCCATGAATTAGAACGACCAGCGCTCCAGTCGCTAGGCTTTCTGGTTTGTACACTCCAACTTCGTGGACATGACCATCGCGCATTGTCAAGTTCTTTGTATACTCGGTTCGAGATGGAGGAGGTGATTGAATGGGATAAAGGCGAGACATCTGGGCAATGCTTTCCAGTGACATGCTCGCGATCGGGCTGGCAGTGCCATTGGCAATCATCTGTTTCTGTTAGCGTAGGACGAGATAACTCTGTGACATTTTCGTCTTGCCTCCGCCAGCTCCGGACTACAAATCGTCTAGTTAGCACGCGAAAGGGGAGCCTGAGATGTTGGCGCTTACTCGGTCGTGCTGCCCAGGGCTTCCACGGCCTCAACTGTATCGTATGTCTCAAATGGCGAATCCATGACATATGCTTCCTTGAAAACCTGTTAGAAAACAAGACCCAGTGATAGTGGTGGTTAAGACATTGAGTTGGGGATTCTTCATCAACTTGATGTCTAATAATGACTTCAGCTCACTAGGGGTACAATAGCTTGAATGTAGTGGAGGGTTACGGTTCTCCAGCTTGGTTAAAACGAGTTTGTGGTCAACAGCTATGATAAAACTACATACTAAATTAATGTAAACATAAAGAGGATTGAAAGAGTCTTGTTTTTCTACAAGAGAGCACGGGGCCAACGAGCTATTTACACGACACTGAGCACCCCGCACAAGGGTCACATTCAGGCTGGGTGGGGGACAGACCAATTTTGATATGATATCCCTACTGCAGACACCGGGCGACCAACAGCGACGGGGGTGTTGCAAGGCTGGAGTCAGCAATTACCCGGCACAGCTCGTTCTGCTCGAAAGCGTCTCATAGGGCAGCACCGTGAATCACGCTGACTAAAGTTAGACGCCCAAACGCCTCGGGTTATTTAAGTAGGCTCTTGGGCACCCATGCAAGTTATTCCGTCACAGTTTCATGCCCATACCCGTATCCTTCTGTTCCACTCCCCAACTTGGATTGCCACCTTTGCAAGCACATCTTCACGCATCTTTTGTCATTTTCTGACCCCAGTGGCGACGACGAGATCAAATGGACGGTCCCAGACTTTTACCCTGATTTCCCAAATCTCCGCTTGTCGGCATCGAAAAGCTGTGGGCTTTGTGGATTTCTTCGGAGTGCCGTCGCAGACCACTTCCGCGTGAAGCCTGTCGACTTGGATGCCACCGCGTCAGAAGACACACTGTCGATGAGGAGTTTTATTTGCTGGCATCTTGGACGTCGCAGAAATCCCTGCGTCATGGAAACAGCCGACGTGGCGGCGATGGTAAGGGACGCGTGGTGGAATATGTTTCCCATGAATTGGGACTCCTTGGCCTAGTCGACCGGGTCGTCCTGCACAATACACAGCAAGTCAACCCACAGGTACCGTATCCCAAGCCGGCGCGTTATTGTGACAGCGTCCCGTATCGTCTATGGGAGGTGTTCCTAAGATAAATGGCCGAGTCTCGCGGTGAGGTTCTCCTGTACTGTCCGAGCGCTCTTAGCCCTAAGCCGACTGGAAGGGCTGTTTCCCCAACAATAGCTCAACGCTGTATAGCTCACCTCGCCATCAAGCGCTTTGCCGAGGACGACTCGGAGGTGTTGGTCCGCTGCTTCGTTCCCAACGTCGAGGAGTCGGGTGGGAACGGGGGCCGTGTTCGGCGGCTGGCATGCTTCGTGTTTCGAACATTGTTTTAGCCACTTTTGAATGAGGGTGGAGGCAACTTCGCAAACCAGATCGGGATCCAGGTCTGTAATCCATCGGCTGAGCCTTTCTACAGACATTCAATGCTGTCAGCCTGCAATTTCGACTCGACACCTGAACGATCCATTGGGTCAGGTTGTTCATCTCGTACCGGATGGATTGTAAAGAGACATGTGAATATCCCGTTGAGACCATCCGAGTTCTAGTCGTAGTCGAATGAGTCGAGGTCCAACAAGCCTAGTGAAAATCTTCTGCGGCTTGAAAGACACCCGCCCGTCCCACCGACTTAGCGATGCCGAGCAACCTGATCTCATCCTCCAGTATCCTGAGTGGCGGGAACTGCATAAGTATGTCCTTGATAACGATTGGAGCACGCGTGGTTGGATCTTCCAGGAACAAAAGCTCTCGCACAGAGTGTTGCATTTCACCCAAGGGATTCTCTACTTTGAATGCGCCTCCTGCTTCAGGTGCGAGTGGATGGGAACGAGACCTTAGCTGTCCGACGACAACGACGAGATGCTAATACGAGATTCCCCGTGGGAACCCCAGCGATTTCTTGGACCCAATAACAATATGACATTCTACACCCGGTACGGAGACGTGGGGAAGTTTTCTATGAAGACCTTTACTTTCCCGGAAGACAAGCTTCCCGCCATTTCCGGCTTGGCCAGAGTAACGGCCAAGAAGTCCGGGAGCAAATATCTTGCGGGCCTCTGGATGGAAGATCTACACATTGGACTGTTGTGGAAAGACTCGATAAATTGCAAACTGCGACGTCCCCCCCGCTCTCGGGCGCCCTCCTGGAGCTGGGCTGCGTTGGACAGGGCCCTCGGATGGAAAATGGGTCGATCCGATTCCGACATGCCACTGGCAAAGGTTCTAAACGCCGATGTTATACCAGGCCCTTCTGACCCCCAGAAAAGACTCTTGACGGGCTCTCTAGAACTGGATGGATGTCTCATGACGTTGCAGGATGCTGAGGATCATGATGTTCTACGCGGCCCTTGGGGTAATAACGGGGACTATCGCACTAACTCGACTTGGTACGTGTCCGACTTGGGAGTCGAGTTCACCCGCCTGAGTAGGCTATGGGTCCTGCCTATCTTACTTGGGCGCAACGGCATAATTCGCGGCCTCATTCTAGAAGCAACGTCAAAGGGCAATGCCTCCAACGAGTTCCGGCGGTTTGGCTGGTACGAGTCAGTGCCTCAACAAAACCGCGTGCTCAAAGCCCTGGAGAATCAGAACACTATCTCTGTTAAAATTGTTTAGCCAACTATGTCTTGGCAATTAATGCGTTCTTTATTGTAGTTGAGGCCCGCCCCTTGATAGGCTGACCGAGCCAGAAGATCGAGAGGTGACCAACTGCGATGGGTGAGTTACAATGCTTGGATTTCGTGATGTTTGGGGTACCTAGCACAGCCCATACCTGTTTGTATCGCTTTGGCAGAGGTCGTGGTTAGAATTGGGTCTCAAGCTTAGGTAGAAGTCGTTAGTCACTGTTTTTAAACGATGATGGGTCGATCTATGCCATGATTTCGAAACTGCTATCCCTTATTGTTACGACGTGATAGCCATGGCCATTCCACAAGAAGCTAAGGTGGAAAATCCTATAATACATCCAAACCTCTCAAATCTTGTGCAAGGATAAAATCCGTCAAGATAACGGGGCTATTTGTGTCATACAATCGAGACTTTCAGACTTGAACAGGCAGGCCAAGACAAATAACAACAATATCCTCAAAAAGCCCATTTGTCTCCAACTAAATCGTGTAAATGAAATCGGGACGCTTGTCACCAGCAACCCATCTCTGCTCCTCAGTCATGGCATCCCATTTCTCATTCATCCTACCCTCTCTTCGAACCTTGTTCTGCCTTGCCAGAGCAAAGTGCATAAAAACAGACCCTCCGAGGAGGAAAACTGCCTGGTATCCAAGAACGACACCATGACCGGACCAGAACCGAGGAGCTTCCTTAACCAAGTAGATGTTGGAGGACACCACGCCGTTCAGGTTGCCCCATCCGACCACCATGCCAAGGACGACGGCACGCTTCAGCGATCCTTCGGTGTTGTTGATGAGCCATGATAGGGTGTTGGGAATGGTGGGGTAGATGCCGATGGCTCCGAGGAAAGTTCCAGCATATTGGATCTTTGGATTGGAGGTGGCGATGAGCATGAGAAAGCCGCCAATGCCTACAATAACTGTGACCATATTGAGGTATCCGCGCCAGCGGGTCTTGTCAGCAAGAAGGCCGATGGAAATTGTCATTGTCGCAGCAGCCGCGTACGGGGGAACGCTCAGCAGCTGGGCTCGAGTTCCCACGTATCCCATCCCTCGAAGGATTGTAGGGAGGAAGAGAGAGAAGGCGTAGAGTGGAACAAGACAGCCCATATAGATGGCCATGTATCCATAGGTCTTCCAGTCCTTGAGAGCCTCATAGATGTGTCGCTTGTCGAAATCTTCGGCCGTCTTGCCTTGCCTGTCAGCGATGATGCGTCGCTGGACCCGAACTCGGTCGTCTGGTGAGAGAAAGCGAGCGTTCTCGGGCCAATCAAAGACCATCCACCAGCAGAAGAAACCGACGAAAGTTGTGGCGAGACCTTCAATGATGAAAATCCATGCCCAGCCTGGCTTGCCGCCGATGCCATCCATCTTGGCGATAGCAGCAGCGAGAAGACCACCAAAAGAACCTGCAAGAGCAGCCGCAGAAAAGAAGACAGCGGATCGGGCGCCGATTTCTGATCCCTTATACCAGCAGGACAGGTAGTAGTTCACGCCTGGAGGGTAACGGTCAGCCAGCTATCAATTTGAACGGTGGGCTTATCGCCTCTTACCTGGGAATAGACCAGCTTCCGCGACGCCGAGAAACCAACGTGCAGCGAGAAGGCCCTTGAAGTTTGTAACAAGACCCATCAGGGTCATGATGATACCCCAGACGACAATAATGATGGTAAAGAAGATTCGAGGTGTAAGCCGCTTCAGAAGGGCGTTCGTAAGGGGCTCGAAAACAGCATAGCTGATGAAGAAGATGGTCAAGGACAGGTTGTAGTCGGTTCCTGACATGTTGAGATCAAGTTCCATGCCAGCGAGTCGGGCGTTGCCGATATTGGTTCGATCGAGGAACGAGAGAAGATAGAGGAGGGACAGCCAGGGGATAAGCCAGAGGTCGACTTTCCACATGAGCTTTCGGTCCTACAAGACATAGTTAGTTTACACAGTGAATCACGTCTTGGAAAGGGAACGAATCGTACAATCTCAGCGCGTTCCTCGTCGCTTTTACCAGCATCAGGGTCAGGCAAGTTGGCAAGCAACTGGATGCGTTCATGGTGAACGCCAGTGGGCTTCTCGTCTACTCCAAGCTCGATGTTGGGGTCGGTAAGTTTAGTCATCGTGAGGGGACTCCCACAAGATCCCTTGCGGTGGTGGCTTATGAATGTGATAAACTGTAGGGCTTCAAAGAAGAAGTGTGCGAGGGATGATGAGCCAAAGTTCAAAGGTCATCTAGGATACTAGGATCCTTTTATACTCCATCTTGAAAAGAATCTCATCTGAAACTGTCGGATCCCGGGGTCACCTAGAATCCGGGGATTCTGGGGAATGTTGGGGTCGCGAGGTCTGTGGCAGATGGAAACTGCCCGAGCCCCGGAATGAACGGAACATCTAGCCAGAAGGAGAAGGTCTAGATGCTGAACTGCGGGACAGACCACGTTGATGCTCTACTCCAACCTGCAGTGAAACATGCCTCCACATTGTAACTGAGCTTATTCTGTCAGAGTGCCCGCAAGTCGGGCAATGACCCCCGCTCTCTCTAATCAAAGCGTCAGCGTGAGACACGCTGCCAGGGACCCTAGTCGTGATATGGTCAAGGGTGAAGGCGATATGTTCTGGAGGTGTTCTAAAGACAGGCTCGGCTTGTGCCCCGACACCTCGCCGTAGAACACCGGCCCAATCAACGTGAGGGTTATACACCAGCCATTTCCCCGCATCGCAGAGGCTTTGAACGGTGTGGGCGAATGGGGTGACATCCAACCCCTCAAGGTTGGATTGGGGCTTGTCTGATAGGCGGCCAAGGCGAGTCATGAACGGGACGAACTGGGAGGCGCAAGAAGAATGGCGCCTCCGCATGACGCTATCGCAACTTTAAGCAGTCTTCCATCTCCCGTGGGCCGTGAATAATGCAAGGATCAAGGCCCATGTTCGGCGGTTCTTGGATCTCGACTGCGATCTATCGACGGATGGCGCGTCAGCGGCAACGTCCGGGTTAGAGAAATCTCATGGCAAGATTGGAGTCACGTTCATTGGCTGCATGGTTTGGAGTCAAGGCACAAGGTGAGATAGCTAACCGAGGGTTATGCCGTTCTCCAAGTCTACCACAAAGATAGGGTTAGAGGCTGCCCCTCACACGCCCAAGCACATGCTGCATACGTATCTGAGTAGATGCCTTGATGAACCGAATTAAACATTACAAATATTCTAAGCTTGAAATTTGAAGTCTCCCTTGCTCCGGCGCGCTACTCCAGGCCCCAGTCCTTTCCCCAGTTCCATCCTTATCCTCCGGGGCACAATTGCCTCACCCTAGCGCTAAGATACGCTATGCTCACTGCGGCATGGTGCATCCAACACTGGCCATACCATCCCCTACCAAGGGCTCACCAGGCCGTCCAAGTTGAACACCTGCCTCCACAAACAGCATCGATTGTCAAATTTCTATCCCCCCATCTTGTTACATCTCCTCCCCTCATACGATCTTGATTATTTTACTACCCCGCTCCCATTCCGTGTCCCGGGGAACATTGCGAACTCAGCTGGTGGCAAACATAGGATTCAACCATGCCCCAGATCAAGACCAGACTCATACTGTCCTTGCACTTGGGAGAACAGACCTTGCAATGTATTTTGTTTCTATCACAACTATTGTCATCACTTCCTGGCCCCATGGACGTTTCGCCCTATCTATGACTTCCCCATTTGTGCATACTCCACCACTCACGTCCATAGCTTTGCTCAATGCCTCAGGGAAGAAGGAACCCCAAGAGGAGACGAGGTTTCGTTCAGCCTGTCTCGAGATTTCACATGACAATTGTAAGATTTCTTGCTCTATTCGATCTGCCCTTTTACTAATAAGATGCATCTGACACCGGGCTACCAGCATCCCCCTCTCACTCGATGTCTTTGGCTTAGCTCAATATCACCTTGCCATTCCTCCCGTCTTTGTGTTCTCAGTCAGAGTCGCCTCCCAAGCAATGACCGTGTCCATTCCGAATTCCTCTATTGTGGCCAGCTCAGTAGCTTGAAAACTTTTTAAGGGTAACCGCTTGGGGCTGGCTGGCATATACCTACTCAAACGACATTAGCTACTCTGCGATGTAGGCGCCTTTTTCTCACTCGGTAATTCGCATAGCTACGGTGTGAAGCGACTCGACTCCTACCTTCCACAACGATATTCCCAACTACGAGACACGTCCCGAGACTGAAAGAAGACAACCTCTCTCCACGCCCTTATCCCATCAAGCGCCGAACTTCAAATAGAACAGAGAACACCACAATAGTGGAAGATACCAAAAGCCTAAATAGTACACAAGCATCGACTACCGTTATACAGTCCGTGTCAGCTACCTAGGTCAACCAGCTATTTCAGATCCTTCATTATCAGCCCATGCCAACTCCTCAATGACCGATACAATAGTAATAATCCTTCATGACAACAGTACAGTCAGACTCAACAACTATGTTCCATGATCTGAACTCTTCGATCAAGATGTTGTTTTCCTTGCACGATCTTCTAGCTCAGTTTCCCCTTCAAGGGCTGGGCTTCAACTATAACAAAGAGCACATTACGCCTCCAACCTAATAAGACTTTGTCGTGATTCCCTTTAGTAAAACCAGCGACTCATAGGATACATGTCCCTCATGCTGCTTGAATCGCCATCACCCGTCATGTGATAGACGCCCACAAGGCCATGGACGGGACAGCGATCGACTACTAGATAGCTGCTCCGACCATTTTCAAGATGCTGCCAGGCACGGTCGATAATTTTGATTGTAACATTCTCCAAGACATTGCAGTCATCCTTCACTTCTTGTGGGAATGGAAGACTTGTCAGCTCAAGAATCGTAGCCTCGTCGAAAACGAAGCACACAAACCGTCGAGCGGCCCTCAATGGGCCTCGCTGGGAGCAACCAACAGGCCATAGCCCGTGCCCTCTGAGCAAAGCATTGAACACTTCGCGAATACGGTCGTCGGATGCGCCATCTAGGGCCTCTCTATCTTGAACAAGGTCCAACCTAAAGCGCTTGTAGGCCTCGGCGGCGAGGATGAGCTTTGTCTACCAAGCCGCGGGACACGATCTCAACCAGCTTCTGCGCCGCCCGTTCAACGTCATCCATTGCCGCTTTAGTTTATGAGGTTGCAAAGACATAAAAGCCCCAGGTCGGATCTCTCGGCCCGTCAAGCTTGTCGAGGAGAGACATTGCGATCTTCGGGCTCAGTTAACCCATCAAGGGCCGGGCTGCAACCATAATAAAGAACAGATCTTCAACACATTATAACATCATGACCCGATGTTAACACAGTGGCCTATTTGAGAGACATTGCGTCGCCGCATCTGTCATGAGCGGAGAATGGGCCAGCTCGGTCCTTCAAATCAGGAAACGGTTCAGCGGTGTCGGTAATGTCTGGAGCGGCGCCAGGGCCTATAGATCTAATGTCGAAATGACGCTCTCGAGGGACGGGTCGAGTTGTGAGTGTGAGGTCCCGTGGAGGGAGACAAGGAGGAGCGGGAGTGCCGGCTTTTGCACGTGCAGTCATTGTGAAGGAATGTTGCGTTTCAGAGGTTGATGGGAGTGGAAAAGAGGAGAAGTAGTATCAAGAGGTGAAGAGATGAACTCAACCGGTATCCTGGCAACTTGTTGTATGGGCACTGGCTGAAGCAGGGCCCCGCAACATCATGTTTCAACTTAATAGCCAGCACCAAGAAGAGCATGGCAACCAACAACCGACACCAGCGAAATGGGCCACTTTATGTCTGGTGTTGGTGTTGGTCTGTCCGAATACCTGAGCTGACCAACTACATAGGTTTCTTTATGCTCTATAGCAGAGTCAATGCTCAATGACGCATCATGCATCTCGGCGAGCTGAGCAACCAACTCACCGACTCCCTCTAGAACTTAGGACTCAAGTTCGATTGTTGGCAGGTCCCCGGGGATGGACAGTTCCACTAAGGAGTTCAAGGCGATTCGATAAAGTGATGATCATCATTAAGCGATATGTAAATAATTACAGCCCATAGTCTAATTCGCGGGGCGATACTCGCTGGTAAACACCAGACGGTGTCTGTGTATTTCCAGCTGGCTCACTTGGCAGAGGCTCGAAGCAGTAGCCACTAGAGTTTGCAACAGCCGAGATCCTCCAACGCACAGCCATATGACTTCTATGCGGGCCATCAACGGCACTTCCCACCATCTTCTCAGTCGGAGGGCTATTGATGGCAAGCGCGAAGTGATTCTCTGGCTCAGTAAAGTCGGCGACCAACCCGAAATGAAAGACAAAGTAGAGAAGACACATCAGGTTGGTGACAAAGACAAAGGCTAGAACGGCATAAAAGGCCTTTTGCCAGTCATCAATGTGGCCAGATGTATACTGCTGACTCGAGATGGACGCATGAAATACCTCGACCCTGCCGTAGTCGTGGAACGAGTCCTTGTTCGCCCGAGGATCGTAAGCGCCATAGTCCCACTTGTGTTGTAAGGTCGTTCCTAAAGCCGAGCTGCTTAACAATGCAAGAGTAAAAACGCAAAAAGCTTCGGCCATTGAAGGAAAGTCGGCCGGGAGCTCTGGTTTTTTGAGAGCCAGCCGTGTCACAAGGCTTGGGTTGCTGGATATGCCCAGGGTGTCGACGTTGAATAGCTTGAGAGCTTCAGCTAGAACAGGCCCCATGACCTGAACATAGAGTTAGTCATTGCCGTCTTCCAGATATCGACACTGCTTTGATGGACTAATAATGGTACTCACAGAAAACCCAATGCTCTCATCAATCAGTGCTGCCGTTTCTGTTGTGTTTGCACAATGTGCCTCCAATGCTGGTTGCGGCGTGCCCCCAATAGAAAGGTGAGTAGAGCAGTCGGCTGACAGCCAAGTCCTTAAGTGACAGAGGGTGTAATTTCCAAAGTTAGGGGCTTTTGTCAGAATGTACTGAGTAGCACCATCTTGCTCAAATAGTTCGGGGAACAGCAAGCCGTAGTCTTTGGGGTACTGTGATGCAACTCGTCAGTATGGATAAGGTCAAGTAGGACGTGCAGGTTCATTTGCCTCTGAAAATAGCGGACGGCCTCGTTTACCTGAAGCGTCCCATCCAAAAATGTCATCAACGACAGTGCTGCCAGGCTTGGCTTCATTCTCCTGCCTCTGTTCCGTAGTGTTCTTGTCCGGACCATCTGGCCAAGTTTCGGTGATTATTGGCTGGAGTTCATTGCCGTCCATGTTGACACAGAGCACATTAAGTGTAGGTGACGAAACACGGGCTTTGATGTTGATGCCGCCGAGTCCTCCAAGATCCTCGGGCTGGAGGATGCCATTAGACGGCGACCGAAACGCTTCCCAGACTCGAGGATGTGGAAGAGCAATGGTGGCATTGTCAAGGATTCTCCCCCATTTCTTGTAAAGCTCTGGAACGTCCTTGTACTTGGCGTCAACCCAGGAGGCTTGCATGGTGATGTTGTTGTCGACCATGGTGCTTCCAGCAGGGCGGTTAGCAAGCTCAATACCGGTAGTATCCGTGTTGTTCCAATCAATGAGGTACGAGTACAGGTCATGGGACGACTGGGAGCTGAACTGAAGGATCAGACAGTTATAAAACTCATAGAACGACTCCATGTCTTCGAGGTCAGTGTCTGGGCCGGGGTTCTGCTTGAGAAGCGGCTGGCACTGCCTGGCTGCATATACGGGGTTGCCGTACCATGTATGCACCGTAGCCTGCAATTTCGCATCCTGCCATGGGCTGTACTTTAGCTTTGGTGCCACAAGGGCTTCCGAAGCCGTTGTGTAAAGAAAGGTAGCGATCAGGACGGCAAACGACATGACACCAAGAAAGGTAAAGCCAGCCAACGAGACGGCCCCGAGGTGGGTGAAGACAGAGCCAGGCTGGACTACCCACCTCTTCATGTTCATGTCCGCAAGCGTGATCCCCTTTGTATTCGAAGCCGTTGCGCGTCGGCTGAGGACTTGTCCAAGGTACCCGATGAAGACGGTAGCAAAGGAGATCTCGATCGTCTTGCTCAGAAGTTGAGAGACCAAAGCCGCATTCGAGGGCGACAGGCGTCCCTTCTTGGCAGAGATCATGTCACCCCATCGTGGTTGGACAATGGCCGTCGCGAGCCAGAGACCGCTCATAACGGTCGAGTATAGAGCGAGGAAGAAGAAACCGGCAGTGACAAAGCCGCATCGTGAACGTGTGAGCTTCTTGTCGGGCGGTGTCGTACGCGGGGGGTATTGCTCTTGAGCCGACACGGTAACGGGTGCGAGGGCCGGATCGTTGGGAATGCCAGGCTTTTCGGAGAACTGCGTCGGCTGGGGGTAGCCATAGTTTACCGGCGGTGCGCCATAGGGACTGCTTGGCTGGTACATGGTCACTCAAGGACCAAGAACTCTTGATCAAATGCAGAATCGAGAGGCAGGCGCCAGAAGAGATCGAGAGGTTAGGGTGATGTCGAGGATGAACTTGACCGTAGGCGTCGACCGGTCCGCAGCCAACTCGATTGGCAGCCAGAAAAGAAAACGCGCCCTACCTTTAAACCCCAAAAAGGGAGTCAAGGGGCCAAGTTGAGCTTTTTGCAATGCCATTCTGAATCAAAGTGGCTGAACGCCCATCCAAGCTGAAAACTGCAGTGGCGGAAGAGCTGAACCTCGATTGCCCAGACAAGCGACCACAAACGCAGGCCAAGAAGCACTATCGCATTCCCTACAGTGTCTCGGCCTTACCAGGCGAGAGCTGCCAAGACGTTGGCTGCGCCGTGTGACTAAGAAGTGCTTACATCCGACGGTCTAGCCCTCAAGCCTCAAGTCAGCAATTGACCACTCTTGTGAGTTGTAAAGAGAGAAAAGTCTCAGCGCTCAGCCAGCCACGGCTTTGTGGCTTGTTTTAGTCCAGAAGCGATCTGCGCTCGTTATTACTTTAACCTTATTAGGTATGCATATTTTTACCTACGAGAGCCTATCGCGTGAGCCGAGGCAGACTGTTTTCGCTTGGGGAAATCTGGATTTTCCTTGGTTGTTGACAGAGGAATACCGCCTTTGTGGCGTTTGACTCAACATTATTCCGGTAATCCCATGGTTTCCATTTGTCCTTTTTATGTTCTAGCCCTTCCCATCTCGATTGAACACCACTACAGTTGGGCTCTGTGCCACTATTGTTTTTGGCTATGCTTATCGTCCTCAGTGAGAAGCTGTGGTGACTCTGCAGCTCCTCCCCCTCAGCCATCCCAACACTCTGTTAAACTGTTCACATTCACAAAACATCACTCGCAACACGAAACATCAAGTTATGGCCAGCACCTATTATTTAGTGGGTATGTACTTTTGTCTAGGTATATATAGCACCGAAAGAAAGCTTCGTTGTCGCTTCACCCTGGGGCGGGTAGAAGCTTGTGAATACCAATCCGTTTCACTCCTTCATCAAGGCTTCAAAAGCCAAAGTGTGAGAACGCTTAGTTGTTGTTGTTGAACCAGGAGCCCCAGTTCCAGCCACCAGTCTGCTGGTTGTCGCCAGTCTGCTCCTGGTTCTCGACCTCCTCGTCCTGGTCATCGGAAGACTCGCCGTCGTTGTTGTCGTCGCTAGACTCGTCGCCGCCAGTGGACTCGGTGGGCTCTGGCTCGGCGGACTCGACAGGGGCAGACTCCTCAGCGGGGGCAGACTCAACGGGAGCAGCCTCCTCGTCGCCGCTGCCAGAGGTAGGGGTGGCATCAGAAGGGGCAGAGGTAGCGGGAGCGTCACCAGAACCAGTCTCGGAACCAGAGTCGGAGCCGGAGCCAGAGCCAACACCGGCATCGGCGTCACAGCTGCCAACCTTCTCGGGCTCGCTGCCATCAGTGACACCATTGAAGGCGACACACTGCTCCTTAACGTTGGTCACGCTAATGCCGGAGATGCTGGCAGTGTCACCCATGTTGGGGTTGATGCCGACAAGGACCTTGCCCTCGCTGGCAGAGCCGCCAGAGACCTTGACGTGGCGGGCGGGCATCTCCTTGCAGTTACCGCAGCTGCGGTAGAGCTTGCCAAAGTCGGAGACGGTGAAGTCGTTGATGACGACGGTACCGCCACCGTTGTGCTGGATAACCTTGTCCTCAGCGCCCTTGGCACCACCGCCGTTGATGGTGGTGGTCTCGCCATCAGCCTGCTTCTTGATGCTGAAGGCATCCTCGCAGACAGCGTCCCACCAGACGTTGGTGAGAGTGCAGCCACCGTTGCAGTGGACACCCTCAATCTGGTTGGGGCCGATGATGACGTTGGACAGCGAAGCGCCAGCCTCAAGGATGAAGACGGCGTCAGAGTCACCACCCTCGTCCTGACCAGTGCAGGAAACACCGCGGTCGAACATGACGTTCTTACCATCGAAGGTCTCGCCGGCGGCGATAGTCATGGGGGCATCGAGGACGCTGGTGCCGTCAGCCTGGGGCTGCTGGCGCTTGGAGAGATCGGCCTTGGGGGCCTTGGTGATCTGGGGAGGAGCAGGGAAGGCGTTGGCAAAGTTGCCCATGGCCAGAGTGGCCGCCATGATCATTCGGTACTGCATGATGGTGGAAAGAGTGTTCTTTTTTTTATGTAGAAAAGAGAGAAGGATTGGTATCAGACCGGTCTGAAACTTTGTGCTGTAAGAGTGAAAAACGAAAGAAGGATCAAGCACAGCTTGTCAAAAAAGAGAGAAGAAGGTGGAATGAACAATGAAAGTACTGGTGAAGACGAGGAGCAAAAAGAACGAGATGGACGAGATGTCACCGCACCTTTATACATCAGATCTCGGTCTGTAAATCAGGTCACTCCTTGGTCGTCATTCGCGGACATAACTTGGCCTTGAGAGGTTACTCGCGTAAACACACTCGCTTCGCCTACCTAGCTATGGAACAACCGTGCCTGAAACGTCCCCACTGTTTGAAACGGCAAAATTCCTAATTGATACATGCCGTGAAGCTTGTTTCAGCTCATCGGAAATGCCACCTATCACGCCAAGTCTACCCCTGCCAAGCGAGAGCGGCTAACACGACAGTCAGGACGAATTTTCCCGCGCTGAAACGTGCCCCTATCAAGGGTTGACGGTGACAGTTGCGGGATCGCGTTAGTGATTATTTCCGAGAATCTCTCCATCGCCTCATCTGCGGGATCTGGAGGCCAAGCTCTGAACCCGCTGCCAAGCTGGATAATAGTTCAAGCTTAAGCCTTCGCTTGCGATCCAGCCAAGACTGCCCCATCAACACCTACTTTATCAGATTGAAGCATCTTGAAGCATCTCACGCGTCATGACAGCCTCAGCAGGAAGTGGCCCAAACTCCAAACTCCCCACTGTAGGAGACAAATGAGCTGAGCGACGGCCCCGACGGGGAATCGGAACGGACCCACGAGGGATAATAGTATCCTGACTCGACGTTAAGATCGTCGTCGGCCAACTTGACTGTCACCGTCAACATTCTGTTAGCTTATCTCCATGTAGTAATTAGAAGCGCGCGGAAGATTCCATGTCGTATTTACTCAAGAATGGCCGCCAATCAGGTGCAATCAACGGTAACGAGGCCGGCAAGTGGGAGACGTCAAACTTGGAATCACACTCTGCCTGACGTGGTTGGAGGAACTGTTGGTCCATGGGCTGGCTGACCTGAATTGGGGCCTTAGCTGATGCACCGATGTCACAGCATCATAACTTACCCTATTGTTTGACGTGAAGTGTTTGGTGCTGGATAAACCAGGCTCATTGCGCTTCTCGAGACATTAGAGGTCGTTCGTTTAAGTTTTAAAGGTTTAAGGGTAAATACTAAGCATGGGATTAAGGTTATGCTTCTTGTGTTTATTTTTTCTTCCGTTCTGGGTTAGACGTGATGACCAGTCTCATGCTTAAAAATTGAGCCAACATTGAAGCAAGACGAAATTATTGCTACCCTGTGGCATTTCATCGCGAAATAGCAAACATGCAAAAGTTCTATATATAACTCATGCACAACCGAAGTAGGTAGTTAACGCATCATTGTAAATGTCAGCTCACTTGATCCTACTATTATTGTATGCTATGTTTGTGACGGAAACAGCAAAGTGTTCTTCATTATGGTTGCAGCCTGGCCCTTAATGAGTTTACCAAGCCCGGAGATCGTGACGGAGGCACCAAGTAAAAAGATCAACCGCACACCCCAAAATTTCCGATATTTCGATCTCAAGAAGTATCAAGATAATTGCTGACGCATCCGAAAGTCGAGATGCATTGGAGAGCCGCGTTTGTGGGAGATTGAAAGGGGTGGGGTGACGAGTCTGCCATGTTTCAAGATAGCACGGAGTGTTTAGTCGAGACACCTCCTTGATCGGCGTTGCTCTTTATCCCCACAACCCGACGATCAGGACCATATTTATATCTTATACGAAGTAAATGGTTTTTTGTGATACAAAGGTGGATCTTAGTATCGATGATTACCCCCTAGGCAGGATGGAAGGCGGTGCGAACATTGAGGTTCTGAAAAATCCAAGTCCTCACTGCGTAAGCTGAGTGTCACTCATGCGCAGGTTGGCCCCTGGCGGTCAAAGGACCAAATAAGGATAGTATTTCAACTAAAGCGACTTATTCCGAGCCATCCGAACCCGTTCATGAGCTCTTCTCATCAGCCTTGGGTTTGCTCTTAGCCATGAGCCGATGAACCGACTCCGCATCGCAAAACTCGACCACCTTGGTCACCTTGGATCCATCCTCATTGAAGCTCAAAAACCAAGAGTGCTCCATAACAATCGTCTCCCCGTCTTTGCACACCATGTCCGTGACAGTCGTTGCAGCGGCCTTCCGGGCTTCAACGTCGATGATCAGGTTCGATATGTCGCTTCTCTGAACACCACCGACTTCGAGGTCCTGGGCAAAAAGCCTTTCGTATTCGGCATTGTCAATGACAAAATCTGGTGGAGCGCCCAGGGCTTTGATCAGAGAAGCCGGAAGAAGGTGACGGGTGCAGCCATCAGCGACGTTTCGGTTGATGATTGCAGGGTTGTTTTCTTCCGCGCCGTCCTTGTATGCCGCGATAAATCCTCGCGTAGTCGCTTCAATAGCCTTTCTGATATCCGCAGAAGCCATGATGATGTTGACGCGTGTAGTAGCTTTTGAGTCTGAGAACGAAGGAGTTGTAATCGAGAGGGGAAATGTTTCAGCACCATCGCGGGGTATCACCACCTATAAGGTCTTTGTGGGCGACCAGTCAGCCAGTCTAGTGTTGATTACTGTTCCCATCTCACGTCAGCTTAGTTATCTGCCCGAATATGCTTTTCAGAGTTGACCTATCTTCACCCTATTCCGGGGTTGATCGTCACTGGTGGCGAGTCTCCGCATGCCAAGCCTGGTGATGTGAAACCTTGGGTTGACGACAACACCACCACAGCCACTACTCAGCATAATGGTAAGGCAATAAGATGTGTCAATTTATTAGAATATCCTCCCTAAATGGAGCAACATGGCTAGCCCATGATTTTTGTCTGGCTGGTATTCGATGGTGGCTGTTACTCCGCCTCCAATTTAGGCAGCAGTGATCACGTGCACCAAGTCTTGAGAGTAAGCAGACGCGTTGTTCAACTGTCTCACTGGAATCATTCATTTCTTACATCGTCATCTCACACCACCTTATCTTAAACATGGCTACTTCTCAAGACGCAGAACTTTCTCCCCGCGAGTCTCGAGTCATTGGTGCTCTCCTGGGCGTCCATTGCGGTGACTCGCTGGGCGCCCCCCTCGAATTCATGTCTCACGCCCAAATTGCCCGTAAATATCCTCGTGGCCTCCGAGAAATCATCGGCGGAGGACACTTTGCGTGGCCGGCCGGTGGAGCCACTGACGATACCGACATGACCCGTGGAGTTCTTCTTGCCTACGCTGACGCAAAGCCCGGCGACGATGTGGCTCGCCTCGCTGGTGAATACTTCCTTAAGTGGTTGAACGGCGACTGGCCGGGCCGGAAGCCGGGAAGTTATCCCAAAGATATTGGCGGCGCAACTTCTTCTGGGCTGGAAAAATATGAACACACGCGGAACCCTGATCGCGCTGGAGCTGGTGAGGGACAAGCTGGAAACGGTAGCTTGATGCGATGCGTGCCGACTGGCTTGTTCCAGACAGACCCTCAAAAGTTGATCACTGAGAGTGAACGCATCAGCAAGATTACTCACGACGACAAGAGATGCACCATCGCGTGCGCGGCTTACAACACCATGATCTCCAAGCTGATCAACGAAGAAAGCGCGGTTGATGCCGTCGCCGCCGGCCAGGAAGTCGCCAAGACGCTGGAGGGTTCAACATCTGGTCAGGTCTATCAATCCATTGAACTGGCCAAGACTCTCGACATTGCTGCCATGGCTGAGAAAGGACCATCACCTAAATTGCGTGGAGGTTGCAGTGGCTATGTACTCGCATCGCTGACCCTTGCCGTCGCTGCTGTTCTTGACAAGCGAGATATCGAAGATAATTTGGTGGATGTTGTTCGCATAGGCAACGATACGGACACCAATGGAGCCATTGCTGGTGGACTTTTGGGCGCTAGGGATGGAGAAGCGGCTATTCCTGAGGCTTGGAAGGAAATATTACAGTTCGGGCCCGAGTTCCGGAGGGTTGCATTGAGTCTGTTGCGAGAGTGAAGGACATGATCAGAGCGGACGGGGTCGGCACCTTTGTAGACGAAAATGATCCGATATAAATGACATAGTAAACGACTAAAATGCACTTTTTAAATATACCCTCATCTCTCATCACGCATATCCATCATTCTATATGAGCCGCCTTCCACAGAATCTTTCGGAGCTGTTGCAACTAGCCGAGACATCGTATAGATAGCCCACGTCACAATACCAAGGATAGTCGTCTCCATCACCAGTGACATGAAAAGGTACATGTAAGGTCTTCCAACCACAGCACTAAACTTTTTATCGCCAGTTGCGGTGAAAGCCACACTGTAAGTAGTCCGAACAATCATGAAGGGAACACAAGCCCCAAAGCTCCACATCCCCCAACGTTCTTCTTCAGGGATTGACGACCACCTTTGAATTAGGTAAAAGCCGAGTAAAAGTGCCCAGGCGTATAGAGCTACAAAGAGGCCCATGCTGGCTTGGGCGAGACTTCCAGGCTTTGCTGCGTCTTCTCGTTGGCTTGCGGTGGCGTAGTCGGCTATGGAGAGGCCCATGCCTGCCCAGCAGATGAGCTCAGGGACACGGAAATGCCACGGCGTGAGGACCTGGGCGAATGTGTTCCTAAAGAAACATCAGCCATTCGCATCAATCTCATAGCAGACTGAAGGAGAGGGGTTGAACTTACGCTCGCTGTAACATATTGAGCAGCAAAAAAGTCAAGAGGACCAGACCGAGTGACTCGCATACATACACAGCAGCCCACACTCCATACGAGCCATTGGCCAGAGTAGCCAACATGCAACTCGCTCCGGTAAGACGAATGATGGAAAACAAGGCAATGCTGAACCAGCCATTCTTCTTTTGGAAGTAAAAGAGGGTACCAAAGAACAAGAAGACGGAGAAGATTGGGATTTGAGTAGCTGATATGCCATGTCGGAACTTGAATTCCCCCGTCATGGTTTTCGATGTAGAGAAAGTTGGGACGTGAAGAGTAAGCTTGAAAAATGAGTAAATGAATTTACAAGAGAGCCTATTCTTCTATCATTTCGTCCCAGAGTCCGATCGGATCCTGTCGCTCAGCCTCATCTTGGACGGTTACACGCGTGTCCCTAAGAGGAAATCCATTCGAGATTCTGCCCACTTGATCCACTTCCATGATCCCTGTCTCAACAATCATGGAGGCTAGGAAAGGAAATTGATTCGAGGCAGAGTCGACAATGACTGAGGGACTGGCATTTTATAAATATTGCTTATGTTTCCCAAGAACTGCACCGCCACGCATGAATCTTGGCTTCGAATCAAAGTCCCTTTCAAGTTAGGCCAGCCATGCACGTTCGGCAGTTTGGCGCACATCATCTCAAAAACCGATCGGATTCATCACGAAAATGGGTACGTATGGTAGGACGCCTTGTCAAAAACCCTCCATGCAATGACTTCATCAGCCCTTAAAAGCGATCGGGTTGCCTCTTGGCGAGCGACGGCTACCTTCGATGGACGCAAGGGCAACCAAATCCGATAATTTAAAGATTGAAATGGCATCCTTTTGTACACCAACTCATTGATTCTTCTCTCTTTCATCCCCTTTGTTCTTTTCACTTCTGCTCAACTGTCATCCCACTCGCCCGGCTCCACCATGCGTCACAAATATGTGCTGGGAGGCAACTTGTTCTTCTTGATCGCCTTTTCCATCCTGACTCCTATTCAAATCTACTTTGGTCTACGCTACAAGACATGGGGGTTCCTCTTCGGCATGTTCTGCGCCCTCGTGCTGGAAATCCTGGGTTACGCATCGCGAGTTGGGTTGCACTATGGGAAAGATCTCTTTCTCATGTCCGTATCGCCATTGCATGCTTTAGATGACAACTAATCACTCTGTCAGGTACATTGTCACCCTCACAATAGGTCCCGCGTTCCTCAGTGCCGCTCTTTACCTATGCCTAGCTCGCATCATAACCGTGTACGGAGCCCACCTAGCACGTTTCCGGCCGATGGTTTATACGACTGTCTTCATGTTACTCGACTTCTTTGCCCTCTTGCTCCAGTCTGGTGGAGGCGCTCTTGTCGGCGGAGATGATCCAAGTATGTGGGACACGGGGCTAAAGATTCTACAAGCTGGGCTTTCGATTCATCTTATTGGTATAGTCATATACGGGGCGCTATGTCTCGAATTTGGTGTGGCGGTTCGTCGAGCCAGGGGCGAGTGGAGTAGCGATTTCAAGATGCTGCAACTCTCGACCAAGTTCAAGATGTTCTGCGTTGGTGCGTATCAACTACAGAACAACAGGAACACAGACAATTACTGATAGACAACCAGTCCTCGGTATTTCAACTCTCGCAGTATTGATACGCACAGCTTTCCGAGTGGCAGAGCTAAGTCAAGGATTCGACAGCAAGATTGCCAAGAGCGAGACGGCATTTTTGCTCCTTGAAGGGACCATGATCCTCTTGGCCTGCTTATGCCTCACGATTTATCATCCTGGCATCGCTTTCCAAGGTCGCTGGGCGGACGCCGATTTTAGCATTAAAAGAAGAAAGGACAAAAGCGATAGCGCAGAGGACGTTGAAGGCAGGCATGTAGCCTTACAGTCGATGTGATTTGAGCGTTATCTTCTGCATCATCGTCGACAAAACGCATCGGGTCCACATGGTGAAAATGTCAACGGGTTTGGGGCTACTCTAGATACCAACGTTTTACTTGCTATTCTCCTTCTCCTATCTAAATCTAGGAATGCCGGAAAGTAGGCTTCCTCTTTTGCAGGAACGAGCTTATCCCCTCTTGAAAATCATCGAGGCTGAACGTTGAATAATACAATGACTTCTCGTGCACCATTCCAGCCTCGAGCGTAGTGTTTTCAGCTGCCGGAAACAGTTAGCAATATTCTTTACCACTCTTGGGCACGCGCAAAGATGAGTAACACTTACCAGTCAGAACGGCTTGCTTCGCAATTTGCACCACTGGACCGGAAAGATTCGAGAGCTTTTCCGCAAGCTTGATGGCCGCCGGCAGGACCTCTGATGAGGGAAACACTTTGGTAACAACGCCAAGCCGCTCAAATTCCGACCCGCTCGCAGGATCGCCGGTCAGGATAAACTCCATAGCCTAGGGCAGTCAGTTGATCTGCATTCGTGAACAGGCCAGGTGATATGGACGACGAAAACTGACCTTGTGCTTCCCCAATGCCCGGGCCAGGCGTTGTGTACCCCCAGCGCCAGGAATCGTTCCAATCTTGACTTCTGGGAGACCAAACATGGCATCTTCAGCCGCATAAATAATATCGCACTAATGAAATGATGAGCTGAAAGCATTTGCACGAAGAAGCGCTTTTACTCACAGCTAGTGAAATCTCAAATCCACCACCCAGCTGGATTTCATGTCAGACGCGACGAAGGATTGGCTGGGGACTACACTTACGGCATATCCCACGACTGCAGCGATGATGGGTTTTGTGAAACTTGCAAAGGCATCTGTGAGATCCTTGAGAAAGGCCCGTTGATGACCTTTGGGTGTGGATATCTGGACAAGCTCGTTGAGGTCCATGCCGGCTGAAGTAGGCAACATTAACCAACGGGAATGGTATAGGTTGCTGAGATCGGATACATAACATACCACAGAAGTGACCATCTGGTTGGCCAGTAATGACAACCGCACGAACTGTCTCGAGGTGATCGAGGTGAGCAAGAACTACCACTAGTTCGTTGATGGTGTTTTGAGAAAATGCATTTCGTTTTGCTGGTCGGTTGAACTGGATCACCGCAATGTTCTTGTCGTCGTCGACAGTGAGTATGAGATCTTGAAGGGTGTCCATTGGGTCTTGCGTGTGAGAAATATGCGTTGGGTGGTTTGAGGGATAGAGATGTAGGACGTGGTAAGAGATTATCAGGTTCTTAATCGGGCTTCAATTGCCAAACAACCCGAGAAGGGCTATATTTATCATCATAGCCTTTAAGCATGAAGTTATGTGTTATGTGATAAGCAATTACTAAACGATGAAATAACCAGGACCGTTACAGCTCGTTTGACGTTTGATGCAACGTCTGCTTCAAAACAACGTTTGTAACTCCCGTTTCGAAAAACGCCGCCTCCGTATCCTCCCCTTCAGCTCGTCTAATTCTTCCAAGAGATGCCAAGTAAATCCACATTCAGATGCAAGATCCCTGAGTTGAAACCAGCCCCACCACGTAAAGTTTGAGAATATCGACAAGCAACGACAATAACGTTTCAAAAGAAAGATCCACCCCGAAGGGTGACCCTGTTTCGCCTAATCTGCTACTTTCTAGATTAGATGTTCTTCTCCGATCTCCGTTTCGGTGTCACTGCTCCGAACGTTCTAGCTTGGAACTTGACGTGGGTCTTGGACCCGGTTATACGACAGAGCCAAGCGGAACGACTTTCTCCTTGGAGATATTTCCGCCGCGGACTTTTTGATCACAAAGATTACCGATGAGAGTATAGACGCTGGGGCTCAGGGGGCAAGGAGTTGAGCGTTAACTGTTACAGCTATTTGCAAGGGTTTTGGTTGTCGTCAGCAGTGACAAAGGAGAAGAAAAACAAACAACCTCGGGTTGCCACTTAACACGTTCTGAAGAGTCTTAATTGCCGTGTGAAGGGTTACTTAAACGTGTCTGAACTGCTGTCATTTTCTGTCCCGTGTCGTGGCGGAAACTCACGGCCAATCGCCCACCATGTCTGCTTCTTCTTCTTTTCATTCTCTTGACAACCTCTCCCTGGCGGATCGAGTGCTCTTTAATAAATTCAGCAAAGGCCCTAGCCAATCCATTCCCTACAATGTTGTTCACCACGCCTTTGAGGCCGCTGCGCTGGCGCATCCCGAGGTCACTGCCGTTCGACACTACGATGGCACCACCATCACATACCGCGAGCTCAATCGCCGAGCAAACATGCTTGCCAACGTGTTGCGAGATACCTTTGGTCTGAAAGTTGGCGATCGTGTTGTTCTTGTTTACTCGCGGTGCATCGAAATGGTTGTCTTTATCCTTGCCGTCCTCAAGGCCGGTGGACAGTACATCCCCCTGGACGGAGGCATTGTTACTGATGACACACTGGGCTTCGACATTGTGGACTCCAATGCCCCGGTCGTCATCTGTCTCCCCAAGTTCCGCGAAAAGGTGGTGCGCAGTATCCCTCGTCAACGCCAGGGCTTGGTTGATGTTATTGATGTCGATCAAAACTCAAGACTCTGGCGACAAGGCAACTCGGCGCACCCAATGGTCGATGTTGGTCCCGACCACGGAGCGTATGTCATCTACACGTCAGGCACCACTGGACGACCCAAGGGTGTCGATGTTCGTCATGGGGGCGTTACCAATACACTCCTTGCTGAGCCTTCTCGCCTGGGTATTACCGTCGGCAGCAATGTGGCGCAACAACTGAACGTCGCTTTCGACATGTGTAAGTCAATCAATGCGTGCAATAGAGTCAGTCTAACAACGAATAGGCGCATGGGAGATTTTAGGTACCATGATGAACGGCGGCACTCTCCACATCCGAGGCAGTGGCCTCGAACCATGGACCGACTGCCTACGACGAGTCGACACAGTCATCGCAACCCCCTCCGTCGTCCTCAAGTACATGCCCCGAGTCGAAGATTTCCCAAATGTCAAGACCATCGCAGTTGGAGGAGAGCCTTGCCCCTTGGCCCTTGCTGAGAAGTGGGCGCCATATGTCAAGTTCTGGAACGTCTGTGGCCCTACAGAGATCAGCATCCTCAACACTGCCCATCTGCACCGGCCAGGCAGGACACTCTCGATCGGCAAGCCCAATCCGAACACAAATGTCTACATCTTGGATGACGATGAGAATCCCGTCAAGATCGGAGAGCCAGGCATTATGTGGGCTGGAGGTGATGGAGTTTCGCGAGGATACCTTGGTCTGCCGGACCTGACGAAGACTCGGTACAAGCCGGACAAGTTCACTAAAGACGGGTAAGCATCAACTGAAACCGGACAACCTTGAACCTTACTAACATGACATAGCCGTATGATGTTCAACACCGGTGATCTCGCTCGATGGCTTGAAGATGGCAGTCTCCTACCCCTCGGCCGAAAGGACGACCAAGTCAAAATTCAGGGCTTCCGAGTCGAACTCGACGGAGTCTCTCGCTCCATCGAAACAGCCCCTTCTGTCATCAAGGGCTGTGCCCTCAAGATCGAAGACAAACTTTGGGGTTTCTACTCTGCCCACGCAAGGATCGATGAGAGTGAGCTCAAAAGGGCCGTGAGCATCAGCCAGCCCTTCTATGCCGTCCCAACCGTTTGGAAGCACTTGCCTACTCTGGAGCTCACCCCCAATGGCAAAGTCGACAAGAGGGCTTTGTACAAAGTCGCCTCAGAGAGTGAAGATGTACCGCCTGAAGTCCCGGCCAAGAAGCCCCGTCCAGAGACCATGTGGCCATCACCACCTCGGAGTTCAATGGGAAGCTCGAGCGATGGAACTCTCGTGGAAGTCGACCACTTTGGCTCTGCCCGGGACCTGGAGAAGGATGGAAAAGATATTATCATCGACGTCACCGAAGTCGAATCCGAAGAAGACGCGTTGCCAGCCAAGAATGGCTTCCATGGATGGCGCTGGTTACGCCATCGTGCTCTGTCAGCTTATCGCAAGCTTTTCGGGTTCATCTTTATCGCAAACCTCGTCGTACTCATTTTTCTTTTGTATGAAAGCCGCAACACCAATTTCTCGCCACAGGCTTCTCACTTGGCTACAGCCGTGGCCGCCAACCTTCTCATCGCTGTCCTTGTTCGTCAAGACTACGTTGTCAACGCCATCTTCTTCCTCTGCTCTCGACTACCAACCTCCTTACCGCTAAGCATTAGACGGCATTTTGCGCGTGTCTATCACAATGGCGGAGTTCATTCAGGCTGTGCTGTTTCTGCGACGGCATGGTGGGTCATGTTTACTGCCACTTCAAGCCGCGATTTCATTGCTCTGGAGAACCCACCACCCATCAAAGCGTTCGTCCTCGCGTTGACCTATGTCATCATGGCTACTCTTTCCTTTATCTTGGTTATGGCATATCCTTCTATACGTATGAAGATGCACGACCAGTTCGAATGGGCACATCGCTTCGTTGGATGGTTCACCGTGGCCCTTGTCTGGACTCATGTTGTTGCATCGACAATATCAAACACACCAGGGCCCGTGGGACCAGCTCTTGCCAAGTCTCCTACCATCTACCTGGTAGCACTGACAACTCTCAGCATTGCATTGCCGTGGGTAAGGCTCCGTCGCGTCAAGGTCGTCCCTGAGCCCCTGTCGAAGCACGCTGTTCGTCTCCATTTCGACTTTTGCACTCCCGGACCGTGCACCTCACGAGGTGTACGCATCACCGACCGACCTTTGGTTGAATGGCACGCATTCGCTGCTATTCCTGAGCCTCATGGAAAGGGCTTCTCCATCGTCGTCTCAAAGGCCGGTGACTGGACAAAACGCATCATCGAGAACCCTCCCACATCGATCTGGACTCGCGGCACCCCAGCTTCTGGTGTTCTCGCAGTCGCGCCATTATTCAAGAAGGTGGTCCTTGTTGCCACTGGCTCAGGAATCGGACCTTGTTTGCCAGTCATCATGGAACGTCGCGTACCTTGCCGTGTAGTCTGGTCAACGAAGAACCCACTTGCAACATACGGACAAGGGATTCTCGACACGATTCTATCTTGTGACCCGGATGCTCTTATCTGGAATACTGATGAAAGGGGACGGCCAGACATGACCAAGTTGGCGTATCAGGTCTACAAGGAGAGTGGTGCTGAGTGTGTGTGCATCATCTCCAACAGGAGCACAACAGCCAAGGTGGTGTATCAGCTGGAGAGCCGTGGCATCGCTGCCTATGGTCCGATCTTGGACTCGTAATGTTTGACACGCTTGTAGTTCGTTTAGTTGCTCAACGCCAAGAATTTTCTTATTTGAATATCATTGAAGACACTTTGAGCTCCTCCATTGTTCTTGTGCAGTTGACACAACTTTGTCCCGTCAACGCAAGGTTCATATCCCATTGTGACTCCCTAAACTGACCGTATCACCACATGTATATGCATCTCCCATCTTTTGCTATAAGTCGTAATGTAATTTGCTCTCAATCAAGTTAGACGTACTTGGAGTGTAGATTTACCCCTTGAGCACGCCGTACTTGCCCCGACGCTTGGAACTCTGGTGGGAAAGGATAAAGATAATAAGCCCAATAACCTCCATCGGCACAGCCACTAGACAGGCAATGAAGCAATAGTTCTATAATGAAGAGTAAGAATTAGCCAGGCTTAGTTGCATTTGTCAGGGTTCGTGCATACCATTTCAGTGCACAGAGAGCCCCAAGGAATCTCGCCCTGCTCATCCCGGACGTTGCAAGTCCAAGACCAGAGGTCCCAATGGCGCGTCTTTTTGGCATTTTCGTTGGACATTTTGAAGTAAGCGAGGGCAGCAGACCAAGCAGCCGTGATGAATGTCGATCTGGCGTAAACTGCTCGTGTACGCCACGCGCCTTCACGCATGGAACGGAACTAGACAAACTTAGCTACGTCGATAGCAAGCCGTGGGACCCTCAAACAAACCTTCCTACATTGTGTAATGAGAGATACCACATGAGCCAAGGTTGTGCCAATAGCGACACCCATCATGGTCCATGTCGGCCTCATATCCGTATGAGGCCATTGAATAACTCTCCAACCAGACCCATTGTTGACGATCTTGTTGCGTGTTGTCCACCAAATGATGGCAGCATGGAGCATCAATGCCAAAGTACTCAAGTCGAGAAGCAGTTCGAGAACTCTCAAAGTGAGCCGAAGTCCCTCGATGGTTCTTTGGGTTCCTTGGTCGGCCTTCTTTCGCTTAAGAAGGAGCTGTTGATCCGAGATGGCAGCAAACAACTTGTCACCAGAAAGGTGCTCTGGTTCATGGAAGCGTCCTTGGTGAGAGTAAGGCTCATAAGCAGATCCCACATTGAGATCCATTGCGACAGATGAGAAGATGGCAGTATGATTTGATGGGCAACAAATGGCAACTGACAGAGTGCTTATGGGGGTGACACGCTTCTCTCTTTATTTCGCGCCTGTCGGGGCGTCAACTGCGCTTACAGTCACGAGGGACTTCGGCTGAAAATAAGCTACATCCTCAATATCTAAGTTTGGAATCATTGTAATCGGTTAATGCAACATCCGGCACTTGTCGACAGAAAAAAAGTAAGCGGGCGGCCGCCCCAACATTCGCAGGAAATGCCAAAGGGCTTGGTCAGCATCAAGGATCCAATAGCCTGCTCAAAGCCGTCAAACAAAGACTCTGATTGATGCCTTTTGACAGGGGTCGCGGTAGTTGGTGAGACGGCTAAAACGTTCAGCTCCATCAGCACTAGCCTAGCCTCCAGGTCAGACGTGATCTAATAAGCGCGATACTACATTGAAGCGCCTCGGTCATATCTCCGCCGTCGTTCTGCTCCGTTTATTGAGCATGTTATGCATAAATTCTTGGCGTTTTCGGCCGCTTTTCCGCCGTGATACTGCTTTGTCGTTTTGAGGATGCATTTGTAACTGACTCAAACAAACATTCAAATATCTTAGTATGACAGGCGAGCATCAACTTAGTTCACCTTCTCTATATCCCTATTCTCACAATGAATTCAGTTCTAACAGCACTTCTCTTGCCCCTGGCATTGGCATCGCCTTTGAAGCCTCGCCAAGAAGATGAAAGGCCGACTCTAAACACCGGCTGTGAGCCAGGCGACCTCACCCCAGAGAACTGGAGGACAAACGCCATCGATGCCACGATATCTGGCACTCTCGGCTTTGGCCAAGTCCGTAAGTTCAAACCCTCTCTGAGTGCTCAACGCCAGCTAATGTGTGTTGTAAGCCGAGTACCCCAGACTCTTCCTTCAGGACGACAACCCAAGACTCGACTTTCAGTGCTCCGACTTGAACAACCCGGACAAGTGCACGATCCCGACAAACTTCATATTTGTGGGGGAATCAAACGACTTTAGCGGGACCGTCTGCGGCGCCTTTCACAACCCCCAGCTTGGCTTCATCGGTCAGGCATGGATCAACCTGTACACGCATCTTCGCAACATCAACAATGCTGTGCAGCCAGCTGTTGACGGTATCCTCAACTCCAACTTCATCGATGACCTCGTCACCAAATCAACGGCTGAACCTCTGCCCATTCCTAAGGAGGTCCTATTCAAGCTTGCAGAGCTCTCCCTCGTCTTTGTCCTAGCCCCCATTGGGCCTGAGCTAGCTGCCTTCCGTACCATCGTCCCACGATTCAAGAAGCTGGCTGGAAAGCTGCTCAAGAACGCTCGCAACGAACAAGCCGATCAAGACGAGAACATCGACAACCAGCCCCAGATCCTCAAGGATCTCTTAGGCTCTGTCCCTGCTTGGGTGCAAGAGAACATGAAGGAGCAGAACGATGACATTTTCCTCAACACTCATTCAGACAACACTATTGGTGATATGCTCAAGGATGGAGCTGGTCTCAGCACACCAACTTCGCAGGAAGACTACGAGAAGGCCATCTCACGCAACCTCAAGATCTTTGCTCTCGCTCAGCTGTGGACAAAGATCAGCATGAACCTCCTCCTCTCCGACCCCGATGAGTTCGGCCAGTGTATCTCTGAGCCATCCACCCGCGTGCGAGACAAGTGCATGCAGTTCAAGTACCGCGACGGCACAATACCTGTTACTCTTGCTACTGGTGAACATCCTCGTGATGCGGCTGGAGCAATCGCAAGCACTGGTCTCAACTTTGACACAGTGGCAAATAACGCTATTGACTGTCAAAATGCAGGCAAGACGTTTAGCGATGTCGACTTTGATGGCTTTTTGACTTCAGACAATGACAATGACCAGGCTATTCCTGCGTGTCTTTTTGGGGTCCCTGTCGTTGGCTCACTAGAATGAGCATCAGTTACGAGGGTCAAGGACTAGTCTCAGAGTAACTATATCTTATTTTACATGTAAATATCATCTCAATCTATATACCTTTGAGTTGCTTTGCCTATTTAAAACTGCGCCACTCTCGCTCAGGCCCATCTCTTGCTTGCTTCTGCTCATTCCGATTCCCATCCCAGTTCGTCAGTGGTCAAGCCAATGGCCTCAGGTCAGGGGTGAAAGCGTCCAAGTTAGAATTCAAAGGAGGTCGGGTTCCTACCAGGGGGGAGAGCTATCAGTGCGATGGACTGCCCCTTTCTTGAGTATTTCCAGCAGCTCCGTAAAAAACCACTTTGTGAGGTCGCAACAATTCAAAGTCCCCTCAGCTTCTCTCGTCTTATTCTCAAGTGCAGCCAAATCTCCCAGAACTCTCGGCGTGATCTCCACCTGCACCGAGTCCTTGTGAATGAACTCCAAACCAGCATTGAACTTTCGCTTTGCAGCGTCGGAGTAACAGAGAGCAACGCGTTCCAGCACAGGACGGAGAAGGCTTTTAGAGTCTGACATGAAAACCAAAGACCCTTCCTCTGCCTTTGTCATACTATCCAGTCTCTCCCTTAAATCTTCAATGAAGGGTAAACATGAGTACTGGTCATGTATGAGATCGCGGCATTGTGACCACTTCACAACTCTTACACGATAAGTCCGAGCCTCCTCCGAATCGAAGTATGCAGCCACCCTTAAGCTTATCCACATTTGAGGACCCGCAGTCTCTTCTGGCAGATCGAGACCCCTCTTGGATAGAAGATTTGCTGTTTGTCGTAGCCTTTCTGCCGCGTAGAAAAGTTCCCCGTCGCTGGCTCTGCCGGGAACGTTGTTGGTTAGCACATCCCAAATGTCATGGGCGCCCCTAGGATACCTAATTAGTCAAGTCTCTTGAGGTGACACAGAAAGACTTACGATTCGTCGAGAATACAATTACACGGATCGGCTCCTTGTTGAAGCAAAAATTCGACCGCTTCAGTATTGAGAGAGAGTGCCGCGACCTACGAGAACGCACCATCAGCTACATCTGTATGGATATACCAAATGATGGAAAACATACAGCAAGCAGGGACATCCCGTCCTGTGTGTAGTCAAACGGCGATGCTTCCCGTTTACTGAATATCTCGCACATTTTGTCAACATTGTTTTCGATTACGAACTGATAGATCGGCGAGTCTTGAGGTATAATGGTTAACTCCCGCAAACTTCGAGTGATCTGAGGACTTCTTGTCATCAAAAGATCTTGCTTTCGATGGAATACTGCTAAAAGTCCAGAGGGCTCGCAGTCTGGTGGATTTGTTATGCAGGCAAACCGGTAACCATGGAACTTGGCTGCATCTTGAGACTCTCTCGCTCCATCGTAGGCCACTAAGCTGTCAGTAATGAGAAGGCCTCCAGCAGTCCTATCGGCGTATTTGTGGCGAAATTGAACGTCTTTGGACCGAGGCTGGAACGTGTAGGCTTGGGGTTTGCAAGACCACATATCCTTCTCCTTCGCCGTTGGATCTGCAAGTAGGAAAGCCGCCGAACGCTGGAGTAGTTCAAATTCCGACTTCACCCATGAGACTTCGGGCTGTGAAAGATGCATTCTGCCTACGTTGGCCATCTGCTGGATACAAGACACCAGCCTTGGACGGATAAGCAGCAGTGACAGCAAAACTTGATGAGGATTTCGTATACCAAACATGGTATTGGGATGACTCGAAGAATCAAGTGCTGGTGCCGGCCGTACTAAATTTGCCTCAATCATCTGAGTGGCGGCGACAATGAAAGCAGGCTTCCTGGCGACTTCAAGTGCCGATAAAAGGGACTTCTGGAGGTCTGCCTGACGAACAAGGGCGTTGTCCAAATTTGAATAGTGAAGACGCTGGTCATCCAGGAGATTCTTCAGTTGTTCGCTTGACTCGCCAATCTGCTGGGATAACAGTTGAAACTCTGCATTGGATGGTGTGCTCCTAGCACGCAGCTGGATCTGGTCCCTGAGAGCGCCCAGGTCTTGGCGAATGGTGGTGCCCGAACTGAGCAGCACACTCCGAAGTTCTTGAAAGTTCGTGCTCACGGTTTTCATTTCTCTGCTAAGACTAACTCCATTCTTTCTGTGTCCAGATAAGCGCCAGCCCAAGGATAGCTCTCAGAGGCTGTGAAGGATGACTTACATTGAGCAAAGTTGGAGCAAGATGCATAAGCAGTTGTTATTCTTTTCCAACAGATCGAAAGCTTCTTGGAATAACGTCTCGTCCCAAACAAAACCGGCCACTGATCGCCATCGACCGAGCCAAGTTGAAGCTGTAGATGGGGTAAGAGAGCTTGTCAATTGCCGAATCTGATCCTCGGAACCCTTGAGAATTGTCGATACCCCTTGCAGCTCGTGTTGGCCCTCGCCCAGGGAGGATGTGGACCTCTCATGACTCTCGACCCAAAGTCGTACTCGAGTAGCGGTGAGCGTAAGGTCTCTTAGGATACCCAGATATCGCTGCTGTCTTGCTGGAGCGTTTCGAAGTCCCTGTATCAAGTCATAAAGCTGGATGGATGCACGGCAGACCACATCCGCCAGACCGATCACGCTAAAGCCATTGGCCAGCGTCGACAAGTCACCCATCCTGACAAGAGAGCTGCCTCACAACCGACCTAAAGTTCTAGGGAGAGTGCAGCGAGAGTGTTGGATAAGGATAAAGGGTTGGGGATTTTATCTGTCAACAAGCGGTGAGTGATCAATTCCAGAAAATACAAATGACAGCGCAGAACTGGGCACAAGGCAGAAAAAGCCCAGAAGGCGAACTACAAGGCAACCTTTGTGCTGGCCTCCTCCAATCCCAGCTCAGCATTATAGCCACTTGGTTTTCCTAAGGATGAAGAACAATAGAGACTTGAATAAAAATTGCATGTCCCACTGGACTTAACTGTGGAAGTTCGGCTATTGCGACAAAAACTAGTGCCTTGAACAGGCTATGGTTGAGATCATACCTGGTAGAGGATCATTCAATGGGCAATATGTCCGCCCGCAATAAGAGACAGGGTTCTCAAGATACTAGTTACTGAAGTAAATGGCGTATAGGGACTAGAAATAGTTGTATTCAATGTACCTAGAAATGGTCCTGGGCTTTCAGGGGGTATCGCATCTTGGGGGAATATCGACGTATATAGCCGACTTCTAGTTCTATCTTGCTCCCGCCTCTCCGCAATATCTCCCTACAGGAAGTATTCTTCAACGTAGAAGTCCCCAATTGATTTACAGGGTACTATCATCCTCAAACCTTAGCTGCTTCCTCCTCAACAAGATTGACAAGCCACTCTCTATGAGAATCGATCAACCACGGGCTGTGTCCCGATTCGATCTCAAGGGGCTTAGCTCCCCAGTTATCCGCCACATAAGCCTGAATGTCCTTCAAGAAGATCTTGTCGTTTAGACAGACGACGTAAGTCTTGGGAATGTCAAGGTCCTTCGGCGTGCAGACAACAGGAACCTCGAAGGGACCACGGCTCTGGTGGCAAACATGCGCCATTGCTTCATCCCTGATGGACTGTTCAACATCAAAATAGAATGCATCTGATGCGATGTCCGGTTTAAGAGGAAGACGTTTTTCCTAGAATTGCTTATCAGTAAACGTTCAGGTTGAGCAAAGTAGAAATGGAGTGCGTACAGAAACATCGTGGAGCCAGTCAGTCGTATACTTGTTTCCCACAGACTCATACATAGAAATGTCCTTCGCGATAACCGGGGTCGCTGAGATGTAGATGGCTGATGCAACTCCTCCCTTGAGGCCTTTGGCCGCCCGCTCGGCAACAGTATGACCTTGGATAGCTACGGTGAGAGGCACTCCTCCGTAGCTGTGGCCGATACCAATAGCAATTCTTCCTTCATCCAAGAAGGGCAGAAGCACATCATGGACACGCTTCACGTCGTCATGGTACGTCTTGCCGTCGACTGAGTCATCATATCCAGAGCTTGCCAGGGGAGGTGCCAGAACGGTGAAGCCTTTGGCTTGGAGAGCATGGATGAGAGGGCGATAATGCAGTGGACGATGCCACGCGCCGTGAACGAGGAAGATGATCGGCTTTTGCTTGTCGTCCGCCATTATGGTATTCTTGATGATTCAGAGATGCCTTGACAGCTGAACAACAGGGAACTGTCGGATTTAAATTCACTCAACTTCTGTCCCCGTGCTTACGCCTGAGTTGCGCTTACGAGAGAGCAAGGTGACGTCTGACAAGGAACCACCTTTAACCGAGAAGGGAAAAAAGAGCATCAGCGCAGACGTAGCGTATGGCGAATAGACCAACCGTAAGACGAGCCGAGAACCAAGTTTGACTTGGCAAAGCCGGTTTGGCTGGCAGGGCTGTCGGCCCTGCTAAACTCGGTCTTTTTGTCAGATAAGGAGGCTCTGGATTGGTGGAAGGATCTCACCTTTGCGTATCAAGCGTACACCTGACAGTGGTTGGGGATGGGCCGCACGGCGTTTTCTGCTCTTTCGGCCGAATTAGATCTCGGCCCCACTCCGACGCCGGAGGCCGAGCACCGAACTCTTCAACCCGGGTTAATCGGCCGAGTCACCACATCATACAGGTACTTGGGCTGACTATCCATCTATAGGTACCTATCTGTTTCCCGGCCTTTCAAATACTTCGGAGTCCGGCAGACGACCTCCCAGGTCGCACTCATTACGGATTCCGCTCTGGTATAGGGTAATCTCAACATGCTTTAACACTGGGTTGATACGAGAAAGAGTTGCAGATTACTTGATGAGTTTAGCGTACCTATCTGAATGATTGGGTCTTCATGTTAGTACTTCTATGCCTTGAAGTCTGATTGCAGGAAGCGATTGACAGAGAAACGCCACCAATTTGATCTAATTGCTATTTCACCGACACAATGAGACATGACCATGACCATCGGTGATGGAACAATGAGATCTTGTTTCGTACTGACTCACCCCTTCGAGAGCAATTCAGGGATCGTATCTTATTACTTGGTAAGAACAGCAATGATAAGATAACTTAATAAGGATCTATCTGGCTCCATTGGGGGGTTCGGAGCAAGATCGCATGCTGAATGAACATGGGTGTTTTGATCCTGTTCCTCACGCCCCACACGCGCGTGTGCTCTAACCAAGGAAGGTCGTCGCGTGGTTGCTTCGCCCCAATCCTATGGAGTCCGGAATTAGTAATTCAGGAACAGGTTTTGGCATCCTCCTCCCTATTTTTACTCACGCGCACTACCAGGGATACCGCGCCTCCACGCGACCCAGAGACTGGGTGGCCATCATGCGGCTGCTTCGGATCGTCGTTTCAGCATTTTTAGCTGGCGAGACGCTATTCGTCAACGCTCAGGAACAGAAACCACTGACCGGGATTGATGAATCCCCAAGCCGGAACTTTGAAGTTCGTGAGCAGTCTCCTGACATCTGTGACGCTGGATCTCGGCAATGGACGGGAACGGTCAACGTAACGGCTGACAAGTCGATGTTTTTCTGTGTGTATGCCCAGTCTTGAAGACGATGGGCTAGAGACTCATGTTGTTAGGGTACTTTGAGAGTCGACGGAACCCAGAAACAGATCCATTGCTACTATGGATGAGCGGGTGAGTTAAAACAAGCTTTTAACGACTTCAAGTGCTGACCAACGCGTTTGGCCGCAATCAGTGGACCGGGTGCAGCAGGGGAGATGGGTCTATTCATGGGTAGCGGTCCTTGCTCCGTGAACGGTGATGGAAACTCGACTCAGCGCCTCGAATACTCTTGGATCGATCACGCAAACGTTGTCTACATCGAGTAAGCTCTCTCGAGTCTTGGCAAGTAATATGTGAGCATCCAATTGACTAACCTTATTTAGCCAACCAGTAGGGGTCGGCTTCTCACAGATAACAGATCGGGATCAGATCGCCGTGACCCTCAAACAGGGAGCTCGAGATGTATACTCATTCTTGTCGACATTATCACACAACGTCTTTCCGGAACTTGCTGGACGGCCGTGGCATATAACGGGAGAGTCCATGGGAGGTCACTATGTCACTGCCTACACACAACACATAGCATCTCTCGAGCGAGAGAATGCCAAGCAAGGCCTCGAACCTCGTATCAACATCTCATCAGCCGTCATCTTGGATGGATACATCGACGCGACTCGCCAATTTGTCGGCTACTACGACTTCTTTTGTACCGACTGGGCCTCTGATGGTCGCAAGGCACCTCTGATGAACGAGACTGCCTGCTCTACGATGCGCGCCGCGATACCCACCTGTGAGATGATGGCAGTTCGCTGCCGAGAGTCATACGATATCGACATCTGCCGTGCGGCAAACGAGGTTTGCGAGGAGACAATTGGCGAGTTCTTCCTTGATGGAGTGCGCCCTGGAGGATGGGATCCTTATGACAGTCAGTCTCCCAAGTCAAAAGTGGGCTTTATTACTGACAACGATGATACAGGCCGTCATCCGTGCGAGATTCCTCCTATGTGCTCGAACTTTGCGTGTGGACCTACCTGGAATTTCTTCAATCGAAACTGGGTTCAGAAGAAATTGGGGTTTCATAATTTCGCATTTGATCTAATTGACTTTGACACGGGCGAGCGCTGGGAGAATGATGGACATATACATCTCCCCGTGACGCGTGAGCTAAGCTGGATTCTTGACGAAACAGACATTAAGGTTCTGTTCATCAACGGAAACAATGATATCATCATGTAAGCCTAGTGTACAAGCTCTAATCCACGAAACTAACCAGTTTTCCAGAAACACACCTGGCCAAATGCGCCTGTTGGATGAACAGCCTTGGAAAGGTCAGGCACAGTATCAGAGCCTCGGCTACAAAGACTGGCACTTTAGTAACGGCGAAATCACAACCGACGTAGACGCATGGGGTGCAAGGCGAGGGGGCTTCTGGAAAGGGACGGATCGGTTGAGGTTCTACTCGGTTGATGAAGCTGGGCATCTTTCTGCGTGGCATCAACCAGAGGCGATCGGTGCCATTTTGAGATTGTGGCTTGATGAATACTAGGCTAGTCAGGTTTATTGACTAGACTCAAGACTAATATTGCGTCGGTTTGGACCCCGGCGGTGAGATATCTGACTGAGACAGTTCTAATGTCCCCTGTCGGCTGTCTTCGGTACGCTATCTTCCTTGTTCGCTAACGAAGTAACTATGTTACAATAACCATGCTTCACATGCATCTCCAAGAAAGCGGTGAGATCGTTGAAAGGCTCTTATCTAAGAACCATAATGAGACGCGCGTTGAGGCATAAGGTGGACATAAGAGTGCATAGTTTTATGCCCGGAGCAGAGTTGGCGAAATGAAATGAAATTAAGATTAACTACCTAAGTTTAAAGAAAATGCCTCCAACACAGCCATTTTAGCTATCTATTTAGATCCCCCCGTCCAAATTAGTTGTATCCCGTTCGTCTACCTGACGATGTAAGAAAGTCGCAGTCTCTTGGTGCTGTATGTGTTCCCAATTGTTTTGTTTCCGTCGCTTAAAATCAGATCATAACTTCGCTAAATCCATGACGCGTCCCCATGATTCCACTTTCGGAAGAATCTACATGACGGTGCATAGACCCGGGTTTGGCGGTGATGAACCTCGGTGAGATCGGCTCTTTTGTTGCTGTCCTCCGTGCTTTGTTGACTTCCGCGTCTCTTCTCGGGGCACCTTGAGCCATCGACGAAGCTCTCTCTCGATACCGGACAGGATGATACGGAGCTTCTCTCGGTATGGGGTAAAGGAAAATGGCCGCCCGTAGGTGGTCGCTCTTCTGGGATCGGATTTTCGCAGTGGGTTCAATAGTTGGCCACAAATCTGGTTGCGATATTGCGGCAGGTTCTTGGCTGATTTGTTGAAATTAGCTTCTGGCGGACAAAACAACAATGGGACACATACGGGCAAGATCGGTGTACTTGCTCTCTGTTTTCACCGAGTCGAATATGGCAGTCAAGTCATTGGCTCCCTTGATCACGGAGTCACACATCTTTCGTCTTTCGATCCTCAGTCTGGCCCGATCCTCAGGCCTTGAGGGTAGACGAAGATCCTCGACAGCATCGACGACGTCGGCAAGATCATTGATGATGCAGATCAATACAGCTCGTCCCATAACATCGTTGTATCCACTCATGCCATCCGTGCGACGGGAGACGCGGTAGGAATAGCGAGGGAAACGGATGTGGTCGCTTACTCGCTCGTCCTTCATTTTGGCGGCGGTAACGGCGATGCTTGGGGTGGGGGATGGGTTCTCTGGGAGGTGTTGTCAAGTTCACAACTGCGGTAATGCTTGGGGTTCATTGAAAGGCAAACAGTCTAGACTTGTCTGATGGTGAGAATCAGACCATCAACAGCGGCTGCTGCTTTTATATACAGCAGATTCCTCGTTAGGCATGAACAACTGAACTTGATGTGGCTGCCTGTAGAATTTCAGGGCGTACACATCAGAGAAGTCAATTTTCACGACCCCCGTCAAGTGACAGCAGCGCGAATCGTATGACCTACAAGGGGTCCCTTTGACCAAAATAGAGGTTTGCAGGCAAATGCCGGCCCAACAGGTCGCATCCGGTGCAGCCAGCATACGATTTTACACCGGGTCTCTTGGACCAAAGTAAAATTCTGCATGCAGATGCCTGTCTAGCATGTCCAATTCGGTATGACATATGCCGGATCCTATTTACCAAAGCAGAGGTTTGCAGCGGACCCAAGTCAGATTCGGGACGACAGCATGCGACTTCATGCCTGATTGATGTAACCTACCCCTCAAAGCTTGGTTACTGCACGGCGCTTACCGGGATGCCATTATCGAGGAACCAAGAGCAGCCAGCCACAGATGTTCGGCTCGAGTTTTGGACGTTGGAATTCATAAGTGCCGAATTATTTAACAAGGGCCCAGAGCCGCCAATGGTGGAGTAGAAGGCCTCAATTTCTAATGGTCTCGAGGCTACTGGCCCTCGGTAGTCCAATTGGGTCGTGTTGAGTCAGAAGAGCCTCCCTTCGCTGGCAAGTTTGCCACTGGAAAAGTTTTACAACAACGTTACACAAGCATTTTAGTGTGTGTAACCAACTTGGAATTTGTGTGAATTACTGATCAGTCTAGAACGCGACCGTTGCGCTGTATTGTGAACTTGGTGCTGCATAAGAAGCCCTTTTCAGCCCACTTCACAGCTAAGTATGCCTTCTGATACCAAAACAAAGACATTAAGCAAGACAGTAGTGATATGTCGCCTTCGCGGTGGATGTCGATAATCAACAGTCCGCCTTGCCCAGACGCTTGTGTGAGTCAGTTCGGCCCGCTGCATCACCAAAAGCTCCACAAGGCCCACCATGAGGCCTTCACAACTGTGGTCCTGTAGACGTGGACAACAAAGAATCAGGTTTTACTGTGGTAAGCAGAATGTGAATAACACAATTGCCATGCTGTCATGAACCGGAAAGATAACACGAGTTAATGGTTATATTAAGAGTTAACATCTTATACATGCATTTGACAAGCTTCATGATCCTTCAAAGGTAGGATACATAGTGGAACCGACAACTTGGCATTGCTGCAACTCCATCCAACTCGCTTCTCTGCATCGTCAACCCCTCAGCGGGCGTCCTACTGCATATGCCCGCCATCATGAAGATCATTGTCGGCGGGGCGACCGGATATCGTGAAGCGGATTGAACTAAGTCCAACAAGGAAGGCAGAGAGTGAACGTCCTCAAACAAGCGTGATTACCTCCCGAGGCATCTTCAACAACACATCCAGTAGTCTCTTGGTGGAAGGTTCCTGATCCGGTCTCTCGTACGCTCCATGCTCATAAGACCACCCATATTTGGTCACCAGTCTCAGATTAGAGTGCTTGAAATACTCTGCATGCTCCATGCCGAACCAACCGAGCCGCTCATAGTTGCAACAGCCACGCCTCCTCCCAACGTGCAAGCCGACAATAGGCAGATGCCACTCCAATTCAGGGAAAGCAATTGGGATAAAAATCGTGTCGGTGTATATCTCGGTGGGGACGGTATCTGGGGCTCTATCGGGCTTGTACTGGCTGATGGCGAAGTAGCCACTTGTCTGTTGCTGGTCTTGTTCACCAGTGTAATTCTTCTGGTAACTCGCAAGACCTGTCTCGTGACACAATGCGAAGGAGACACCGTTCATCCCCTCAATCCTCACAACTGGGCTTTCAATCTCGATTCTAGCTTTCGGGCAGCCCCCCAGGTATTTTGGCCCAGAGGCCTCGTAGTCCACATTCTTGATGGTAAATGAGGCCACCGTAGTGTATCCAGAATCCCATATCACAGTACAGGATGTCGAGGCCCAGGACCAGGTTGGCACGCCACTGGGTTGCGGTTGGCGAGAGGATTCGTACTTAAGTTTCCAGAGAAGATCTTGTGCAAGGGTGCTTCGCCAAAGGCCAGCTAGATATGTGTCATCGCCAGACCTCATCTCAGCCATGCGTTCCGCCAGGGCGGCCATGGCAGGTAGCTTGTCAGTATGATAGGTAATATTGAGCCGCGAGAATTCTGTGACCGTTTGCCTCCACAGGCCAACGCAGTCGAGATGGGCGTACTCTCCGACTTCGATGTCGGTTGTCTCTGGGTAAAAGGGCTGTTTCTCAGAGTCTCTGTACTCGTTGCTGGTGCCACTCTTGGACTTTCTGACAGAGCAACACCCCCACATGATCTCGTCCGAGCAAAAGTGCAAGATACGCCGAGAGAGACGCATTTCCTCGTATACCCATGCCCGGCTCAGGAGCGGAAATTTGGAAGAGTCGTTAGCAAGATCAAACCATGTGGCAGGAAACTTGGTCCGTTGTTCTCTCACCAACCAGCCGGGGTGTCCGGGTACCGGGGATCCAAGGAACGCCGGATCAGCCTTGGAGAAGCAGCCTCCAGAACTATCACTGGCCTTTGTTGCGGCGATGGTCAAGAAGGCGGATTCATAGATACTCCCCATGAGAGCGGCCTCGCGTTTCCAATCCTCGTCCCAGTCCTGGATGATACACAGAGAATCGATCCAGAGAAAGGGAATGTTTAGCCGGCGGCAAATTGTGATGGCGTCTTGAAAGGTCTGCGTGAGGCAGTCCCAATCAATAGAGACGAGGTGGTCTTTGAACGTCTTCTTTGTCGTCAAGGCCGTGTGGGTAGTTTTACCCCAGCAGTGGCTCAAACAGACATATCGGTCTGGCCGGATGCCCTCACGAAGCACCACTTTCCCGCTGGTTAAGTCAAGGAGTCGGGTTGGAAACTTTCTCTTCTCGCGCGTGATTTGTTCAGTCTTTGCGCAGTCTGGGTGCGTCTCTAAGCACTCTTCTATCCAAGAGGAAACCATTGCAAAGGACTGTTTTGAGGATGTGTCTCCGATGAAAGGCTTCCGTAGCTTTGATATCTGCAATATATCTAGCGTGTTTCCTTCTATACATCAATGAGACCTCGTCTTTCTAACAGCTCGTGTTGACGCACCTTGCGGTGAAAAGGGCTCCAGATCGATATCGCGCGACCCAACCTCGGATCCCTCGTCCTTGATACGAACAAAGATGAAATTGTGCCTCTTCCAAGCCTTGGCTCGCTCAATCAAAGAATAATCGATGCTTGCCGTTGTTGGACAGGCCTTTATGCAATCGACGGTGAAGATGCATCTCAGGCAGCCGAGTGCCAAGGCTTCATCGATTCTTTGAAACGTCGTGACCCAGTTCCAGTCGTCTTTCCAGTCGATAGGCCCAAGCTTGCGACCACAGGAGGGACATGGGGCGGCTCTAAGCCCAGTAAGCCATCCCGAGAGCCACTCCATCATGGGATTCTTGTGGATTGAAGTTCGGGTTCAGCTGAGCCTGGGATTGGGCTGACTTGGGGCTCTTTGCTGAATAAGATGCTTGGCAGTACCAAGCTGCACAGCCTGGATCGTGGATGGACGCCACCCGAGTCAAGGCTGAGAGATAAGGTAGGTTCTGCCATCCGCCATTCGTGTCTGCTCACGTGTCGCCACGTCGGCCGTGGGGTTGCCTTGCCCTTACCAGAATGGGGGGGCACAGCTGAACAAAAAGTCATTGAAAGATGAAGATGGCTGCCAATAAGACCCCTCAACAAAGAGTCATTCTTGAGACAAAGGCCCATTTCTGGGCGGAATAATGGTGTGGCCAGCTTTGCAAGACCCCTTCGACCAAGAAAGACGCCGGTCACCAGCACATTCCTGAAGTGGAATGAATGAAGACAAGAAATACACTCGAAAGTGAACGCAAGGACCAAGCAAGTCAACAACTCATAAACCAGCTGTGATCCCCTGATCAAGAGAATCCACCATCGGCAACACAAGCAGTCAACCAACATTCAGAAACAATCTTCTCTCACCAACAACTAAATCTCACCTTACCCTACTACCAAGTAAGAAAGCTAACTAAAATGTCTTCTGATCAGGCTACTATCTTCGCCGCCAAGCGATTCAACGAAGTCATGCAAGAGTCCCAGAAGCTCAAGGAGCAGAAGAACATCCATAAGCTGGTCCTCTACGGATCTGATGGAGTCGCGCCCGCCAACCTGACTCTCCAAGAGAGAGAGAAGGTGACGCGAGCTCTGGTCAAGACGAACACTGAAATCAAGGCTCGTGACAAGGAGATGGTGGAGCTAGTGGAAGAGATTGCCAACAACTAGACCTCTGTATAGAGGAGCTGAGCCCTGAGGAGTGTTTGAATCAATGCATACTCTGTTCCAGCTGGTAGGTGACGATAACCCTACTTTGGAGAATGACTAGATTGAAGTAGAGATAGAGTATGAAATTGATCGATTGTATGCCGTTGAAAAAGAAATAACCATTCCCATGTGTCTATGCGAATGAAGCTTCATCAAAAACTGACGAAGAAGCTAGAAATTGGCTTGAATAATTATTTAATATAGGTGATTAAGAGAGTCTTGTTTCTTGAGCTCACATAAATGGCAGTGACAGCTCATGTGATCCATGAAAGATGAGAAAATCCGAGTTATTCAGTCTCGGTCCTTCTTTATGACATTTCTCTAAAAGTCTCACCCAACAAACCATTGCTTGATAGCCTTAAGAACAAAAACGCCGACAACTAAAACCTTCCGGCTTTATCTCCGTCTTCCATCGCGTTGTTGTACCTAATCAATGACATCTCCGTCGCCCGCAATATCAAGGAACACGACAATAAACACATTTTCTATCACATTCCGACCAGCTTCTTCACGGCCATCTTGAAAAGACAGAACGCAATGAAACAAAGCACGATTCAAAAATTCCCTCACCAGGCGAACCCGATGAGGAGCAATGGTCGAGAGTAGAACTCCCTCCAGCAATGCCTCCCTCAGTGTCAACCTCATAGGGTAGGTGAATGCCCTTGCACTTGGATGAAGAAGAGAAGAAAAAAGAAATCTGAAAGTGAAGAAGGAAGGCAGCCTTTTATAGCCATTTTTACAAGATGAGCAGGCAGCAAGAAGCCAGATGGTCGCCTTGGGGCTGAGCCAGCTGACACGTATGTGAAGTGCTGCAAAGCCTATTTGCATGTTGATTGCGGTGTTGCCTGATGTGAATAATTTCTGCTGGGGTGTTGCCTGGCCTTTGACTTTGGTGTTGTGAATTCATGGGTTCGATGCCTAGCTTGCGCGTACGGTTGTGTTTTTGTTCCTATCAATGGGGTTTTTGTCGCCAATGACGTCTTCAAAAGAGGCCACCAGCCGCAGTAGCAAAAGACACGGCGCTGCAAATTGGTTTCTTGAGAAAGAAGTAGCTCCGAATGACGTTCACCTTCGATATCGGCCCGTTGACAAGAATCACATCTCACTGCGGCTTGAAATGTGATAATACTCGCAGTCGCCTTCGTTCTACGCATCACCATTCTGCACCTTTTTCGTTCATCACATCATGGCGCCAACCAAGGCACTCTTTAACCTTGAAGCCGTCAATTAGCAGGGCGCAATATTCACTCGCTTGAAGCCATAAACCACCACATATCGGCCCTTTTACTGCCATTTACGCGGGGCCCCGGATGCTCAAAGACGCTACCCTGGTTGACTTCCTTGAGTGGATGCAGGAATGGAAGCAGAAAAGCATAACCGAGCCCACCAAGGTTTTATCTCCTTGTTGAGTATCAAACCATGGAACCGGGCCTATTTCTACATCTCAAGCCAACGCCAAGAACTCTACCGAGTGCGACACATATGTGGCGGCTGCAGACACCAAATAATACTCCCTCTTGCAAATCTGCTCACTCATGTCAGATGCTTTCCTCCCATCAGCCTCGGCCTGCTCGGATCTAGAACCTGTCCCAACCCTGGCTGCCATCATCCAAAAAAGTCTAGTTTGACAACTGGTGTGGGTTGACGAGACGCAGGGGCTGAGGAAAGGGCCGATAATCAAGATCCCTGCCAACACGTCTGATTGAACAGCCTTGCCACGCAGGTCCCCAAATCGAGCTCGAGTTCTCCAACTATTTGCGGTCGCTAGGCCTTCTCTCGGCGAAACTTGACACAGACAACGTCTTCTAGCGCCCGTTTGCCTCCGCGCCGGTAGAGCTTCTGATTGGTGACGTGCCTTGTGCGGACCGCGGGCCTTGATCACCCGCCGTCTTCGAGACTCGCGCTATGAATAATAGGGGGTCTACACGCTAGAGAACCTTTCTCCATGGGGAATTCTTGTGGGGGGATTAGCTTCAAGAGAGGGTGGATAATCGGGCAACGGTTAAAGTCGGCAGCGGAAAGGAAAGGAAAGGTCAAGATGGTTTGATGCTGTGATAAAAATTCTTCGTCGCCTCCTGACCTTTATTTCGACGACGCTCTGGCTTCTTTTGAGTAATAGTTACTTGATCTATTGAGGTGGCTGACTCGGTCGTTGTCCGAAAGAGTAAGGTAGTCAAGACTCGAAACACAAGAAAGGTCCTGCTTTCATATGAATGATTGTGAGTAGGCATTCAGGAAGTTTCTACTCAATGAGTATGGATTGGTTGCAACATCACCCAAAGGCTCGTTATTGGGTGGTGTTGTAGTGTCTTCAACATCTTGGCTCATATCCGACTCGAGAGAGCACGCACCAAGTCTCGTGCTTTTATCGTGATATTTTCGACTGCCATCTTTCTGGCACTCATCTGACATCCATCATATGATGGTCCAATCTCGATCAACAGTTCAACACCCATGTCCCGTTCCAGTAATTCGGAAAGCCACAACATGGAACAGCCACAGGTTTCCTCGTAAACGGAATAGAACAAACACAAGACACCAAACCAAACAAGGCAATAGCCCGACATGCTCACTCGCATGACGCCCAAAGATGTCCCTGTATCCACCTTGGCCATCAAAACATGTGCCGCCGAGATACGGCCGGAAAGCTGAACCTGGGGTGCATGGCTAATTACCCCAGTCTAGATGAGAATACCCAGCCGAGGCAGACCAGACATGCCACGGCAAAGGATCGAGCTGTATATATCATTATGTCTGGTGCAGCGTTAACCTGGTCTAGTTGACGCTGGGGCTGTCGATCTCACGAACCGCCGAAAGGCATTCCGCTCCTTATCTTTTTCTATTTAATTCACCATGTTTTCTAAATCGAATGGCACCTCGGGAAACAGCAGCAAAGACGACATAGGCCTGCTTCCCGTAAACTCCAAATCGGTCATCATCCAGACAGACATCCATGTCTCACATGTCCAAGAACCCGAACCTACCTTTACCTTTCCAGAAGAACAGCCAGGCAATGCCAGGGATGTACTATGGATCCCTCGCGCATCTCACAGCTCCGACGATACGGGGAGGAAGATTCAACGGGGGTTGAATGCCGAGAAGGAAATGACCTTGATCAACTGCTGCAAACAGTACCCCAAAGCCATCATGTGGTCATTACTACTCTTCCTCACGGTGGTCATGGAAGGTTATGACAAGTCACTGATTGCTGGCTTCATAGCCTTTCCTTCTTTCCGACGTCGCTATGGAGAATTATCTGAGACACCAAAGGGTCCTCTTTATGAGATCTCACCTCTTTGGCAAATGGGTCTGCAGAATGCCGCCGTCGGATGTGAGGTCATTGGCCTGTTTGTGCATGGATGGGTCACTTACAGGATTGGTTACAAGAAGATGATGATCATTAGTCTTCTGTGGTTGCTCGTGGCCGTGTTTCCGGCATTCTTTGCTCACAACATCACTGTCTTGCTTATCTCCCAAGCGCTTTGTGGTACGTGGAAACGTTTTTCTTTCTTGTCTTCTCTTCTTCTTCAGCCCCTTATCTCTCTTGGCCTTCCTCTCCCCTCACTCATATACATTACGTGAGAGTGATCACAGTTAACAATTGGATTCGCAGGTATCTCATGGGGAGTCATCCAAACCTTGGCAGCTACATACGCCGCCGAGGTCGTCCCCTCCATCATCCGTGCCTGTCTTCTAAGTAACGTCAACATGTGTTGGGTCATCGGCCAACTCCTCGGCACCGGCATCCTCCGAGCCTTGATCCACAACAACTCCGAGTGGTCTTATCGAATCCCCTTTGCTCTTCAATGGGCATGGGCCATCCCACTACTCATTGGTATCTGCTTTGCTCCTGAGAGCCCATGTAAGTCATCCTCTATCCCGAGTCCGAATTATGCTAAGATGTCTCCTAGGGTGGTTGATCCGACGTGAGAGAAAGGTTGAGGCGCGACATGCTCTTCAGCGTCTGACCAAGCGGTCCAACCTCGACATCGACGACACGATCGCCGTGATGGAGCACACTAACAAAGTCGAGCGTAAACTCAACTATGGTGGTGCAAGTTACGCCGATTTGTTCAAGGGTGCCAACCTTCGTCGAACCGAGATCTGCTGCATGGTGTGGTCATGCCAAGCACTATGTGGATGGACCTTGACAGGCTATGCACCTTATTTTCTCGAGGCAGCTGGCTTTGATTCCTCAAAGTCTTTTAGTCTTGCCACGGGAATGTACGGCATGGCTCTGGTTGGGGGTATGATCTCTTGGTTCCTTCTATCTCACATCGGTCGCCGCAAGCTCTACCTTACAGGCCTCGCGGTCTCAGCCTCTCTCCTGACTCTAGGCGGTATCCTGGCCGTGGTCTTGGAAGGCCATAAGGCGTTGAACTGGTCTCTCGGCTCTATTCTCATCGCAACCACATTTGCATACAACCTCACCATTGGCCCAACCTGCTACGTCATTGTCGCCGAGCTCCCATCCACCCGTCTACGAGTCAAGACCATCGCCCTGGCGAGAATCATCTACAACCTCTTCACCATCATCAACAACATCATTGCGCCGCAGATGCTGAACCCTACAGCCTGGGACGTGGAGGGAAAATCATGCTTTGTATATGCCGGGACAGCTTTTCTTTGTCTTGTTTACTGCTGGTTCCGATTACCGGAAACAAAGGGTCTTTCTTATCTTGAGTTGGACATGTTGTTTGAGAAGGGCGCGTCGACGGCCAAGTTTAAGCAACTGCAGGTGAGACTGGCCAACTCAGCCTATCTCACCGTGGATAGGGCAGAGAGAATGAGGAATGCCTGGCATGGTTGGCTTACATACTCTTAAGAGGAGTAGATATTAATGTACCTCTTGACTATTTCAAAGAATATTGTCTGTTCAGTAATCCATATTTTAGATTCAAAGCTCCTCTACCAACGTACACTGTCATATCTGAGGAACCAAGTGAATGTAAATCCTTCCACACCGGAGAAGAATGTGTGCCACTCTATTCAACTCCGATATCCGAACACAGCCGAGCCTAAAAACCTCCCAAGGTGCAAAGTGCGGTGTGCGGAACCTCAGTCGGAGCAGTGTATAACATGAATCCCATGTGGCGTAATGGCTAGGCCTATCCCGGGCTTCATAGAGTATTACAAAGTATTACGTGTTGCTTCAGTCAGGGTCCTAAGATGCACAGCAGTCCCACGGACCCCTCAGACGCCTCATTCCTATCCGCGTTAAGTGTGCATGCTCCTATTGCAAAGCTATTATTCCCGTTGGCCAAGACAGGGAAACACCATGACCCCTCTTCCCCGCCTTGTCTCGGGTACTGCATAGTGTCCGTTCATGGTTAGGATATACGTTTCCGAATCCAGAGCGTTACCCGAGCTGAATGCAAGTCCCCGGCCCGGTTTTCGTAGGAATCGTGAAGCAAGGTAAGGCATACACGGTCCCTCCGGCTCAATGGAAGCGATTTAAGGCTTTGAACCAGAGACTACCCAAACTTATAGTTATCCAACCCCGTGTCTCGTAGTTCCGTGGAACACATTTATTCTTCTGCTACCCTGGTTTCACATTCCGTCATTGCAATTTTTCAGGTCCCAAACACCACGCCAACAGCCATGTCTCGTGTCTCAACTCCACCACAGACTCCAACACACGCTGTTCTGAACGGCCTCACAACTCCTCAAAGCTCCCCAGGATCTGATGTCCCTCCTAAGCCCCGAGTTGTCGAGAACTTCCGCCCTATCAGCGTCATCATCATTGGCGCTGGCTTTTCTGGAATCTACTGCGGCATTCGCATACCTGAACGACTTCGTAATGTCAAGTTGACGATATACGAGAAGAACTCCGGGATTGGAGGGACGTGGTATGAAAATCGGTACCCAGGCTGCGCTTGTGATATTCCATGTAAGAAACCTTAGAGCAGGTGGTCGTCCTCCTTAACAGCTCTAGCACACTCATATCAGTACACATTCGCACCCAATCCTAATTGGAGCCAGTCTCACGCTCCAGGACCTGAGATTCTACAATATCTCGAGTCCGTAACAAAACGCTACTCGGTAGACCGCTTCATCAAAACCTCGCACAAGGTTCTTGACGCGAGATGGGATGAGAAGGCGTCGCAGTGGTAAGATAGAGAAGCCGATCACTCTTGCACTAACGTGACTGACTCGACCTTAGGCATGTCACTGTCAAGAGCCTACAGACTGGAGAGACTTTAGAGGATACGGCGGATGTTGTCATCAGCGCCCGGGGCACTCTGAACGAGAGGTCCTGGCCTGATATCCCGGGACTTCAGGACATGAAGATCCCGGTCATGTATTCTGCGTCTTGGGATGAGAGGTATGCCAGTACAAGCACCCTTCGTCTAAAAAACACTAACTCTTTCTTCCTAGTGTCAACTTTGAGAACAAGAGAATCGGTGTCATTGGCGGTGGAAGCAGTGCGATTCAGATCATCCCCAACTTGCAGAAGTTACCTGGAACTACGCTCAGCTGCTTTGTTCGAAGCAAGACATGGATATCCAAGCCGATTGGCGAATCCGTGATGAAGAGTCTTGGAATAGATGACGAAGTCTGCAAGTCATCACATATCGCCGAGCTTGAGCGAAGAGTATGCTAACACTTTACAGTCTCCCCCGAGCAAAGAAAGAAGTTTGCAACCGACCCTGAGTACTACCTCAACTTTCGAACTGCGATCGAAAGAGATGGCAACTCGGCTCATTCTCTCACCATGAAGGACTCCCAGATGCAGAAGCTTGCACGAGAGGATCTAATCGCACTCATGCGAAAGAAGCTAGAGAGTAAACCGAACATCTTTGAGTCGCTGCTACCAGACTTTGGGGTGACCTGTCGACGACTAACACCAGGCCCGGGATATCTCGAGGCCCTCGTCGAAGACAACGTTGAGTTCATCAATACTCCCATCACCAGAGCGACAGAGTCAGGATTAGTTCTGAAGAGCTCAGAGGAAAAGAAGCTGGACATTCTGGTTTGCGCCACTGGGTTCCAAACCTCCGCTCCTCCACCATTCCCAGTGATTGGAAAGAATGGCCAGACGATGCAGCAACGATTTGAGCCCTATGCAGAGACGTACCTATCTCTCGCTACAGATGGTTTCCCCAACTACTTCATGATGCTGGGTCCAAACGCTGCGATCGGCACTGGCCCTCTAACAACTATGATCGAAAGGACCGGGGACTACATCGTCAAGTGTATACGAAAACTCCAAAAGGAAGGCATCTCAAGCATGGAGCCAAAATCATCACGAGTCAAAGACTTCTCCAAGATCATCGACGAGTACTTCAAAGGAACAGTGTACCTCGACAGCTGCAGCAGCTGGTACAAAAACAAGGGGGGCAGAGGTGACCGGATAACAGGTGTGTGGCCAGGGAGTGCGTTGCACGCCATGGAAACTCTGCGTTCGCCCCGCTGGGAGGATTTCGACTACGTGTACAGTGAGGATAGGGATGGAGAAGAGGGGAACAGGTTGGCTTGGCTTGGAGATGGGTGGTCTGCGGCGCAAGTTGACCCTGGAGAAGGCGAGCTGGCACATTTCCTGCAACCAGAGCTCATTGACATTCCATCGGAGCCTTTTCCCGAGGATACGCCTGTGTTTAGGATGCTTCCTTTCTCCCATTAGATCTTCCGTCTATCTCACAGATGGCAGGACTCGTTTTAGAACCAGTGTAGCAATAGACAGCCTGCCTCTTGGCCCCTGACAAGAGCTCAAGAGTTCATCCATGAGGCCCGCAAGGTGACAATGATCTGAGCGATGCCCAGGTGACACAACACACCATCGGCCCCATCTATCCGAATACCACTCCGGCACTTGAGATCGGATGCCTCGTCGGATCGACTTCGAGGCTATCATTGCTCATCCCAGCTAGTTTACCCCGCCATCGCTAATGCAGAAAAACGGCAAGTCCATTTCCCCGTATTTCCAAGCCGTATATCCGATGGACCTGCATTTCCCCGGATAATGATACCCACGCGAGCCGGCACCCGCGCCTAATGCCAGCAAGGTCACCATCCATGCGCTCCAATTAGTTTGCATGCCAAGCCAACCATCATTTGCTTCATTCGGCCTTCGATGGCTGTCGTCTCAAGTTAGTCTCCAGAACACTGGGAGAGTGGTGCAGATAGCTCGCAATCACAACTGATGTGACTGGAGGCTGCACACACAAGCACATGCCAACAACAACAACAACAGTTTCGATTATATGCAAGTACATGACGCTATTGATCAAGGAGACAACAATCGATGCAAACTGAGGAAGACTCCAACATCTTGATCCGTCTTTTATCAAGAGAGCAGTAAAAGACACCAACTAACACGTTCTCCATAGAATCAACAAAGGGATATGACGTTAAACGTAAGGTCTAGAAAAATGGCCAAGTACAGAGTTGCTGAAAGTCATTGGTGCTTATGAAGTCATGCCTCATGCTGCCTATCCGTGGTCGGGCTTGCGTCCGTATATGTAACGCGCAACCAGGTAGCTGTGAACCTTAGGGTTGCGCACCGCCTTACGCAGGCCCATGAGGAACAGCTGGTACTCGTCCTTGGGCCACTTGAGGACGTCGTGCCACATCATCGTAGTGTATCCTATTATCTGTGAGAACTTGACTCAACTCCAGGAGGAGGGTGCCCTTACCATCAACGTCATTCTCAAAGGTGAGCTGAACAAATCGTCCAACCTCGGCAAGTTTTGGGTCCTTTGGCCATCCTCCGCAAGGAAACTAACATGGTATGTTAGTCAGTTCCATCAAAGCTGAGAGAAACCAACCTTGATATCAACAATCTTGACGTCCTCAAATCCAGCCTCTTGAAACGCCTTCGTCTGCTCCTCATGAACAAAGAAAGAGCTCCCCAAGGCCTTGCCACCCTCTCTAAAAAGCTTGTGGTAAGTGTCAAAAGCCGGTTCTAGCTGGATCGTGTCGTCATCACTGCGGAACTCGATATCGGCCTCGACCGTTTGCACCCAGCCTCCAGGGGCAGCGCAACGATATGCCTCCTTGAACAAAGCTCCCCAGTCTTTTATAGCGCCGAAAAGGTATCGAAGATGAATGAAGTCGAAGTGATTGTCGTTCCAGGTCCAGGGTTGAGTGGCATCGTCAATCTCGAAGCGAACGTTGGGGGGAACCCAGGTAGGTTGACAAGGTGAGAGGTCGGTGCCAGTGACTTCGGCATTAGGATAGCGATCGGCGAATTCGCTAGAGTTTGTTAGCGAACGTAATCATAGTACTCCTTTGTATCCTACATGGCCCAGATACCTAGAAATCATCTTTAGCGGACGTTCATGTGAGCGCCGTTTAGTAACTCACCAGTTCCGGTACCAACATCGAGAACATTCTGTCAAATCATTGATGGTCAGCTTGAATATCGGTTGGCTAATGAGAGTTTTGTGAGAGATGAAATACCTGAAGTTTATCCGCCTTCAGGGGTGCAAGGAATAGGTCGTCGTTTAGGAGGAGCGACAAGTAATGGTGGCTACATCTTAGGTTAGCTCACTTCACCAGGATCGATCTACCCGGAGACGCACGTCATATCCATAGACTCGAGTTGCTGATCATCGTTTGGGAAGAAATAACTCGACGCAAACTTGTCACTGTGATAGGTACGTCCTTGACTTTGGCGGTACTCGAGGAGACTGGCAGAAACAGAAGCGGTTGAACTCTCTCTACATAACTCATCAGTACCAATCACATGTTGCGATTTATGCTTTTCCTTACGCATCAGACCCTAGAGACGAATCAAGATCACCATCAGGATCATCCTACAAGCTGTTAGTGGCACTCCATAGCCAAAAACATGATACAGCTTACATCCACATCATCATCAGCAGGAATCAGCTCATTCTGTCGCGGCGGAGAAGCAGACGGCGACTTTGACGGCGACTTGACCCGCGAACCCGTGCTTCTCGGCCCCTGGGGAGGGTCCGTCACCCCTTGAGGTGGGCTAGACATGCTCAAGACTGTATCAAACGGGAAGAGGGTTGCAGAATGCAAGATCCGACGGGACGGAAAGCGGGGTTGGGGATTGAGGGGAATAACCAACCCCTGGCTGATTTTAGTCATCATGCATCGCTAGTTGTCTGTTGGTGGTGAAAGCGCCACGGCTAATCTTGTTGTCTTGACTGTTTTTGGGTGTGCACATTCCAGCTTTGTGTCGGGCCACGTACTAGTCTGCTGTTGACTTTGTTATTCTTCGCAACTTTGTTCTAATAGAGGAGAGGATTTGAACTTGAGAGGGAAGCGAGGCTCATTTGTCGAGTGGCCTGACCAGGTATGTGCGCATAGACCTAGACCTGATATTGGGGCCTGCAAATATCAAGGCATCAGAATCTCGACAGACTCGCGGCTCAGAGCGGCACGAACCCAAAGGTATTACGTATAGGAATTCCAATTACCGTATCTTACCCAACTAAAGTTTCTATTGTCCCAGTGTCAGACCATGTGGCTCTCAGACATGTATTTGCTTTTTAAGGCACGAAGCTAACGCCGCCACTCATTAGCTTATCCTTGAGGGAGGCGGCAAAGACGCAAGAAAAAAAACCACGGTTGGCTGCTATAGCATTTATCGTCAAAGGATCATTCCCAAAGTCAAGGCATATCGTTCGGTTTAGCTTGAGATGTTAGTGATGCAGTGGAGTTTGAGGAACCCGACGAATCACCTAACATCTCGTCGCCTTGTAACACAAGCCATACAGAAAGAAAAGCAGAAACTACAACAAGGGGAAGATCTATCTACGTGTTTGGTTATTTCCTTGCCCGCCAATAAACGAACGTGGCAGCCGTGTGTATTGGTCATGGCTGAACCGCTGTTTCGTGGCAATTTGCTGATAGGAGAAACGCTGGGGGTTGAGGATTGCTCAAAAATATCGGGCCAATCACGCTTATGTCTTGACAAGAGATTTTGGATCGCTTGGGAAATAATATGGACATGGGGCAAAAAGCGAATATCCCTCATGGGCACTACTTGACTGCCTCCACCAGGGATCGAACCTGGGACCTTGTCATTACTAGTGACACGCTCTACCACTGAGCCATAGAGGCTGGCTTCTGATTGGTTGTTTACCGAAGGGGGTAGGAAGCCTGATGTCGAGCCTGTCTCGAGATGGCCAAGCAGCAATGCCACAGAGACAAACCTTAGAGAGCCAACAGAATTGAGATGGCCCAGGCTCCCCATGTTTCAAGAACATGTGTGCAACTTGAACTTATTATAACGGCCTTATTGCTCGGATTTCTTCCTCCTGCCGGCAGCGTGCGAGGAGAGGGGTGTCACGTGCCGTATATCCTGATCCAGACATTGGCTCAAACAGACCTCGCTCTCAGAGCAGGAAGAATATGTTCGGGTTGTAGATTAAGGGCTAAGGCATGTCAAAAGGCAAATTGACCTCGCAAGAGTTTCTTTAGACGACGTTATGGCACAAATGCACAACAGTGGAGGTCTTCATGAACAGCCATCTTCGCTCGAAATGTCTGATGCAACAGAGAAATTGAGGTAGCCGATTTTAACTGGCAAAATACTATGTCCTGCAACCAAGAATTTCCGGACCACTGTCTGTTATGGCTACAAATATCATCAGAGAAATCGAACCAAACTCCAGGTTCCAAGCATTAAACACTCGATGAGAGCAAAAAAAACGGCCTAGTGTAGGGTATCTCGCTTGTGGTGTCCCGGGCTTGGTGTGTCAGGTGACCATGCCCCACACACGCGACCAGGCGTGAGTCCATGGAAAATGCCGCAGACAAAACCGTCCCTTTACATGCTCGGTTGATGCGTCAAAACTCACCCCCCTTCCATGTTCACGGGACATTTCTCTCACTCAGACATCCCTGGGATGGAAGCGAACATACAGCTCTGGCTTCTCCCAGAGTGTCCAGAGCCTCACCTCCTTGAACCAGTCCAGGTCCTTAACCAATTCCCAATCATACGCGTAGACCATGTGGGCAAGAACAATTCTGGCCTCTAGGTATGCGAGATTGATGCCCAGGCAAGCACGTGGTCCAAATGAAAATGGACGGCTCGCATCCTTTTCGTTGCCAGTGTCGTCGCCAATCCAACGCTCGGGTCGGAACTCATCTGGTTCCGGAAAGTAGCGATCGTCACGTCCCAGAACGTACGCGTCAACTGACACGTCGGTGCCCGCTGGGACGAAGTGTCCATCTATTGTCGCCCCGGGACAGACTCGCGGGAGGCCAATTGGAGATGGCGGCAGCATTCGAAGGCCCTCCTCGATAACGGCTTGTAGATAGCTGAGGTTGTTTGTAGAGTCTCCGGTGATTTCACCTGCAGACGAGAAGGCTGATCGCACCTCATGTTGGAGGTTCTTCATTGTCACAGGGTTCTTGAGCAAGAAGTATGTAACCATGGCCAAGAACGTTGCCGTCGTCTCCGAGCCAGCCAACATCAAGACCTTGGCCTGCTCCCGAAGGTGGACCGGATCAAAGTTTCCCTCGCGGAGGATAAATGCAAAGAAATCCTCCCGGTCGTTGGACTTGATCAACCCGATCCGTCTGTTTATCTTCTCCTCGGTGAGCTTGTCGTGGTAGGCGGCATTCTTGCTGACGTCGCTGGGCATGACGGCACCCAGAGCAAAGGGTGGAACGGACAGCCTCTCTGCCACGGGGAGAAACGTCATGTGCTTTGCCATATTCAGAAGGAGGGTGACCCAACCACTGGATTGCCAACGGGACACGGATTCGAAAGACTCTCCAAAGGTAAGAACACCTATTTCTGTGAGTCAAGTGCACATTACTCAAGCTGTCACTGCAACTCACCGATAACGTCAAACGTGAGCCAGTTGTAAACCGCCGTCACGTCGACGCCCTTGGTTCCAGGGCCGGCGTGCTTGCCAATCTGCTCTACGAAGAGCTTGGTGTGCTCTTGAATCGTTTCCTCTGCATCCCGTAGACCTTTCGAGTTAAACGCATGAGAGAGAGCTTTCCGTTGCACGCGATGATCCTCGGGGTCTCTTGTGAAGACAATGTCAGGATGTTTGATGGAGGGGCCCACGTTATAAAAGACCTTGCTCTTCAGAAATGGGGCTTTTCCTTTAGGGGTCTGACTGTAGATGTCTTTGTGTGCTGCCAAAGATCTGAAGCTGAGCTCGTTTGGCGCAACTCTTACTACATCGCCATACTTTTCGTGTACTTGCCTCATGACAAAAGGGTGATACCCTCCAGCCCATGACCGAACGAACCAGAGCTAGGCCATATTTAATACTGACATAAGCCCGCCAGTTACTTAACGAGACTCACCTCGGTGCATGCCGCCAGTTTCGGGCCTGGATACTTGGCCAATGGGTGGAAGAAGAGTCGATAGATGACCAGAGCCAAGAACCAAAATACCAGCTAAGATTCAGAATTGCGTTAGAAGAGGAATGGGAGTGAATTGATGCCATTGGAACTCACAACTGCGGAGCCAGAAATACCAAGGAGGAGGACTGCGCGAGAGATCGTCATCGTAAGATGTGTGGCTTGAGTGCAGCACTTGAAGTCGGTGACGGTGAGTATAGACGAGCTGAGTGCTTGCTCACACCGCTTTATAGGTGAGCGAAGCCCAAGAGCATGCTCGAGCTTTGAAGCCAGGCTGCCGGCGTGGGCGCTCTGATGCAGAGACACGACATGGCTAGAAACGGGTAGCCCGCGGTTCACACGGCGCCAAGTCTGCATGGCTAGCCATATTAATGACCGGTGGGATACCGGTTGATGCAAGGCTGGCTGGGCGACGTCACTCGTCATATGTCATGTAAGACATGTTTTAACCCTGTCCACCAGCTATGGGCTGATGGACCGCCATGGTGTACCTCTTGGATGTACCCTATCGTTTGGTGGTTCGTTTAGAGCACTACGATTACGAATTGCCATGGTCTTGAAGACAAAAATATGGAAACCCTGGGGATTATGACGATCCGGTGCCCGCTCAAGCTGACAGGGGGGAATGTGTGTCGCAGACGCAATGCAACACCGGTGAATCCGAAATAGCGCAATTCTGCATAAAATGTCGATCAAGAACTGGCAAAAGGCTTTCAGACTCGGGAACTCGTTACAGCCGTGGCTGACCCTGCGTAACCTGCCCCGACCCATCACAAGATTTGGCCCTCAATCTTCAATCGCCATATGATTCAATCCATCCATTAAAGGCAGGTAGGGATTGGCGATGAATGGTTACAACGCACGAGGCTGCCTGATATGTCACTTGCATAGATGGACAGGATGCAAGATATTGGGATGGGTGGTCAGCTTCGGCAGTTCTAGTGAATACACAACAGTGCTGTGATACTGCGAGACTGGGGTACAGGATATAAGGATCAGTAATATTAAAAGATGGGGACGCTTCTACCTCGCTATGAAGAGCTTTTACTATGTATCGTAGCCTTTATTGGACTTTGGCGAGAGGTATCCCTCTAGGAGCGAATTTCTAGATTATCTCTCGCTCGCTATACCTTGTGGCTCATGTACACCCGATAACACTACTGTACAGACCCCTACAGGCTATACAACCGACGACCATCTAAACAGCGCCGTTTCATTCGTCAGGCTGAATCATGCTATACGACGTTGATCCCGGGACGGAAGTTCTCGCAGGGAATAGGGAAAACGCATGAGCCTCGGTTAAAAACACATTGACCGGCTTGTGGTCTCTGAGTTGTAGCAATACTGATGTCTGTGTTTGCCTAATACTTATGGCTGGCAAACTGCCCTGTACTCTTTTGGCTGTTACTCAAGTATGTATCTTATGTTGGCTTCAAGTGTTCAAGAAAGCGGTGCAACTTCTACGGTGCCTGGAGTCCCATGAGATGGCGGGTATGAAAATGCGAACAGCCGTGGTCCACTTGGCCGCCAAGTGTCCAGGTCTCATGGAGATGCAGGAGCCCATGGAGCTATTGAGAAAAACAGAGTTGGATCACAGATGGCAGAAATGGCCACAGTAACAACGGCCTTGTTAGTTGACTTGCCTACACCATGTCTGAAGCGTCCACAGACGGGCGGGCGCCAGCATGGGCTCCACCGGCAAGATTTGCCGGAGGATCAGACATGCTGAACCAACAACCAACCAAGAACAACATACTGTCTCTTATTTGGTGGGGGATATTCTGCAAGCGGGTGATTGCATAGCCACGTTTATCTCGATCGCCGATTGACATCTGGACGAACGAGGGTAAGGGCTGATGGCCTCAACTTGATCACATGAAGCCTTTCGTGGTACATGTTCACCGAAACACTTGAAGATGACGTTTAAAAGAGAACTAAAACGTCATTTAATGAGGTAAAACACTTGGCGCGGACGTTTTCAAGATACCGTTAAGATCATGGTGTATAGTGGCCTTTGTTTTTGAGGCTGGATATCAATGATGCTAAGTGATATAGACCTGAGGGACGACAGTACGGTATTGACGGAGGGGCAGGTAGAATAACAGGATCTGGCCAGCGATGCTTATCTCCGCCCATTGTTGGTATTGGAGTACAGATGCCTCGAGGCTCATAAGCTGCAGACGCACACCCCAATTGTAAACAACCCACGAACTGGCATGAGAACCTACTACCTAGAGATAGTAGAGGCAAAAGGACGATAAATTACGGGCATAAAATGGGCTATCTCTTCTATATTGGTGACTGGACTCGGGATCTCTCACGTGCCCTACCCGCTGGGCAGTACCAAGATACCGGGTAAGCCACAGGACAGAGTACACGAGTATTTTGACCAGGCAGACAGTACAATGTGTTGGACGGGTAAGACGGAGAGAAGAGAAAACTATCTTGGCCGTGTGGCTGCAGATGACTGTGGGGTGAGGTCCCTTTGCGGAATCCCCAACTCCTGAGACCGGTCCGGGCCGCCTGCGGGCGGCTGGGTCAGATTCCGAGCCAATTGAGAGATGCAGGAAGCGAGCGTGAGGCCGAGTTGATATGTGGCTGGCTGAAGACGTAGTGAGGCAACCATCTTTGAGTTGGAGTTCTGGAGTGGCTGCTGAGTGGCAACAAGCGTCGTCGGGGTAACACGAGAAGAATACGCTTTGTTCTGAATGGTCAAGTCATAATGGGATTGAGATCATGGAATGAGGTGGTTTAGGGAGGAATGTACATGTTTTCCCATGCAATGAACCACAAGGCAGAAAGACAACGAGAGGCACTTTTCACACAACGCCATAGCTTAGCACTCGCCAGCCTTGGAGCCAGGACCATCATAGAGCTGGCAAGGCGTCTTGGCGTCAGTGCAGACGTTGACAAGCTCGGCAGTGTCTCCAGTCTCAATGTTGATTCCCACAACCTCTCCGCCGCCGTAAGCAGAAACGCCCTCAACGTGAACATCACGCTTGCATGCATCGCACTATGGCTTGGTCAGCTTATTGTTCCGGGTTTGGAGAGTTCGGATACTTACAGTTCCGCAGGCACGGTAGACCTTGCCGTAGTCCTCGGCGTAGAACTGGGCTGGTTAGCTCAAGAAGAAATAGGAAGGTTACTTTTGACTCACGTCCTTGATGTTGACAGCTCCGCAGCCGTTGTGCTGGATGACCTTGTCGGCAGCGTGGAAAGCACCTCCACCAATGATGTTAGTGGTTGTGCCGGCAGCATCCTCCTTCTATTCTCTGGATTAGTGGTGCTGATTGTTAAATAGTTTTGCGGTACGTACGATGGAGATAGCATCCTCGCACACATCTTCAAACCACACGTTCTCGATGGTGCAGCCTCCGCCAATGCAGTAGACACCCTCATGCTGATCGGGACCAATAATGACATTGCGGAGAGTAGCACCCTCTCGAAGAATGAAGACGGTATCAGCCTGGCCTGTAATTGGATCTGTTAGCATTGCAGACATTTGAGGAGTCAAGTGTCTTTGCCTCCTTCTTCCTGGTTCTTGCAGGCACCAGCTCCACGATCATAGCGAGCTCCCTTGCCGTCAAAGACCTCGCCAGCGGCAACCTCGATAGGCTCGGTATTGGAGATGGTCTCGGTGGCTTCGGGAATAGAGTTCTTGGCGACACATGCCAGGGCGAGGGGCATGGCCAAGGCCAAGGTGACAAGAGATTGACGAAGGGAGGACATTTTTCTTGAGTATGAGAAACACTGCTGCGAGTTTGTGCTGTGGTGATTTATGGCTGTGAGTGTGTGTTCTCAGATATTTATATCTAGTCTGCCTCTCAATATGGCACCCCTATCATGTTCCCACAGGCTCCTTACGGGCTTCTAATCCTTCACCTCCATTCCGTCGCCGATCATAGTGTTTGTCCAGCAAGTGTCAAATTCTCCGATCCACAATGATTAGAACGAAACACAGAGCTTACGCAGCCTCCGATAGCATTGGGGATCTTCCCTTGGTTCCTCCAATGAGGAACCTTGCAGGTTTGAGGTTGATGAAGTGAAACACGGAGCTCTAGCCTAGTGCGACATCTGACAGGGAATCTGTTAGGATGTTTATTCCGATGCTTAATTTAAGCATAACTAGGCCATATATGCCGAACAGAAGCGGCGGCACACCGCAGTGACATGCGCGTTCTTTCGAGAAGGAGTTGTCACGGTCGTGTTGCATCTAAGGACGGAGATTATTCTTCCACACCGGCAATAAAGCCCTCAACGACGAGCTGTTTTCGCAGATCACTGCATCAATTGGTCCACCAATAATAACCTCTCAGCGTTTTTGAACATGCCACCTTTCCTTGTCTTTGTGGCACTACCCCTGATTACTTCGTTGTAGGCGGGACGGATGTCGGTCAACCTGTTCACCGATGGTCCTGGTGGATACACACAACCCTCCTGCATTCTCGTCGTCTGGAGGAGCTGGGCTTGTGGAAAGCCCGAAGTTCCGGCAAGGTATAGACAGCAAGATGCCGTGAGATGGCGAACTATTTCGGGCAATAGAGCTTGTTAAGGTCGTAGGCACTTTGAGAGTGCGCCTTTTGTCGATATTGACCACGAGAAATGAAAGCAGAAGAGGAGTATCGATGCGCAGACGTTTGCAATTTCAGCAGTCTGATTACCTACATAGAATCGAGCCAGGCCTTTATTATCCTCCCAATTATTAAATTCCAAGGAACGAGACTTTTGACTATCCATTATTGTAGACGATGATATACCAGCGATCGTCATATGGCAAGCACCATTGTCACCATTTGTCTCGCTCACGCCCCCCTCACTCCTGGTCCACGACCACTCCGGCGAGACACCTTTATTTGGTAGGCGGCTGCATGCCAATCTCGGTGGAATTGGCAGCCTTGACATCTCTAGATTCGGTCTTCTTTGGTGGAGAGGACATGTAGGATACGCCGATCGCAATGATCAGAGCGGCACCTCCGAGACGAACCCTGAGTGATCGGTCAGCACATGGCTTTTCTATTGGAAGCACCACAGTACCAGTTCTGTTTGATAAAGTCCCGACCGCCGCGGCCGGGTGGTGGCGCCTGCTGACCTCCAAGGCCACCGAAGTCGCCGTCGCTGCTAACGGTGGATTGCTGCCGGACCTGGAATCGGCGAAGTGGGGCCGCTCCGAGGCCGGGCCGGATGCAGGTACGGACCACGCTGAGGGATGCTCGGTGCATAGACATGTTGTTGATCAATAGCTCAGCTTTCCTGTAAAGGATCAGGGAAATTTTGTAGAGATTTCAAGGAAGAGAAGAAAGAGAAGGTTCTGCCTTTCGTGAGGAGGTGCTTCTTTCGAAGTCAACGGGAGAGGGTTTACGACGTGATGTAGAGATGACGTTGAGACGTGAGGGGAGACGGCCCCGCTCCCCGGGATGATGGCATCGTCGCCTCGTGTGGCTTATCTCTCTCGGTCTCCGTTCCTGGATCGTCGTGTCTGACCTCGGTTGGCAATTTCCAGTCTCTCGTGGTTCCTGCTGGCGCGTGTCTGTACTGTATTCCGAGGCGTAGTTCAGGACAGGGCCGGCTTCTTCCAGGGACGCTTCAAACGTTCAACACTGTTGGCTCAGGGTCTATATATTGCTGAAAGCCTCGACTATGACTGACTCAGACGACATGCGCATTCGTGCGAAGTGCGTTTCGAAATCTTCATCCTCCTGTATTAATTAAAACCGACATTATCCTAATATTGAGCTCCACTGCCCGAGTCTCACGCATGACTACCATCTTTGTTGCCAGGGCGGTCGCTGCGTCCACTATCATCTCTAGAACCAAAACCCGGTCTTACTGTAGACCGTGATCCATGTCGAGGCTGAAAAGACCTCCCCCCATCGCTCTGTCTGCGAGTGCTGTGCATTCCACCACTGCATTCCGTGCTCTGGAGGCATGAACTACACTTGCGACCTTGGGTGACGACTATCAACCGGTTGAGGATGCTGAACTCGATCTTTAGCTTCACGCTGTAAGCCAAAACCTTGTAACTTGTTTGTAGGTAGTAGAGGTTTGCGTATTCGAATGCGAGAATGGTGATGTCGAGAATGACGACGATAACGCTCACTGCGATGAGGTGCCGCATGACGTCGCGAGACTCGTTCCTCCCTGTGATGGCGTCGATCCGCAATATCTTGGTGGTCGAGTAGATGTATAGTCCAGATATGATCATCTCTTGGATGAAGAAGATGGTGACCTGGATCTTCTCATATATCGAGTACGGCGTGAGGAAAGGACCTGGGTTGGAAGAATTGGCGCCGTAGACCATGATGGTAGTTGGAACGTAGCAAATGACCGCATTGACAATGATCATAATCAAGACCGCTTTCAACCAGGCTGGCTTCCGTAAAACAAGATGCAACCGCGAGTACAACACCATGGATTGCCCCGTTACTAAAGGCCACCATCCCACCACGATCAGCGTGACGTAAATGTAGCTGTTGGTGTTGGGAAGAAAATTCTTCAGAAGAAATCCGATAGAATAAGGCGGTATGCCCCATGTTGCAACGATGAAGCTCCAAAAGTAGAGACCACCCTTTCGCTTGAATGTCGCGAAAATAATAAAGTTGAGCTCGATGAAGTTGTAGATGGCGATGCTGAGAAACACGGCGACGACGATGGCGTCTGTGCCGGTCGCCGACTCCACCTCGGTCATGTCTCTCACGCCCCTCGCTACCACGGCTCCAGTGATTTCCCTGGGTGATGTACCAGGTAAAGTCTGCGAGAAGATGGGAGCCATGAAGCGAAGGCCCGAGTAAACAACCACCTTGCTGGGAAGCTGATGATTCTCATGAAATGCACTGAGAGGTGTGAGCAAAGTGCATCTTGGTACTGTCTCAGAGGTGTATACCGACCATGTGTGATAATGAGATGTTTACCCAAGATATTCCCCCGTAGTGTTGCAAACAGTCTGTCATATGGCCAACAGACGACCCGACTAGCGGCGGGGCATAACAGCTCTCTCTCCCGGGTTAAGCGACGAGATTCACAAGCAAACCCCCAAAGCGAATTGCTTCCTTTTAGCCACTTGATAATGCCAAGCATCAGCAGAGCCAAGACACACGAAGCACTGCAACCTTTCGCTGGACAGCCCAATAAAGACCTGCCCAGTGACAGCAGCCACAACTCTCTCAAGTCTTGGTTTGGGCAGGCCGTGGAAAGTTTCGTCACCGAGGACAGGAACTCGGCAAATCACGTTGGTGCTCCCGCTGTAGATCAATGCGTCTAGCCTTCTGCACCAGGACCAGTCTGGCGTGACGCGGATTCTAGACTTTGAGCGCCGTTGAGAAATAAATGCGGTGACAAGTCGTTGCATCCTATCACGACGCCCGGATCAGCAAGGACCCGGGTTCCAGGCTGTTGAGATGGTGTGAAGGAGGCATCCTCGCATCGCGCGGGGTCATGAGGCTGATTGACGCGACACCACCCTCGCTTTGGAATCGTCGTGACCCACGGACGTTTGGCCTTCGATTCGAAGCCACGGATCAACCATTCTCTCAAGACTGACGGCATCAGTAGCCGGCTGGGCACCAGTGTCATCCAGGTCCGGCTTGTTCGACAGAACGGAGCCACGTGCCCGTATCATATCTCTCTCGCGACTGGAGACGAAGGCCCAAACAGTGGCTTTCTAGCGTTTGCGCCACCGTAACTGTCGCGGCGGAGACGCAGACAGACGGTTGGAGCTTTGACCTCGACAGTGCATTTGAGGCTGAGCCACTTCTGCCTCTCCATCATCACCGAAGATTCAGCCGATGGTGCATATGCATTCAAGTTGTGGCTATCGTATCCGCCGTCCCCGCCAGCCATCATTGCGCGATAGTTGCGACACAATCCTTGCTCGCGAAAAGCTGGACGCTTGCTGTGCTCCCCAATGTCCATGTATTTGGTTTGACTACAGTTTGGGGCCAAGAGTGGCATGTGAGATGCAGGACGCCTAGGGCTGATCGTTCGATCGCCATTGCTACCCTCTCGTGCCTGTTACATAATAACGCTCAACAAGTTTAAGTCAAAGGTAGCTAATTTGGCTCGCATATCCTTAGGCCCGAGCAAATTGGCAATTACTTGGCTTCTCTTGGCTTTTGACGTCGAGGTTTATTACAAACACCACCTGCCTCCTGGACGCCAGCGGATGTCATCGAGGAGGATACTAACGTTAAAGTAGGAAGGTAACGTGCTCTCCTGTAGAGCTGCATAGTAGGTTCGATCTAGGCAGCATTTCGGGGATGAATATTCAGAAACTGCCCGAATAGACTGCAACCTTCTCGCCCAGGTGGCCTCAAGCTTTGGGTACTAGCTGGTGTGCTTCCAGACTCTTCCATCGGACATTCGTGTTGCAGCCAATCAAGTCAATATGGCCCCGAGCATGGCCTTTATCAAGAATGTGCTCAATTGTGCTTCACCCCTATCTTTGTATGGCAGCTATGTGTTATTTGACAGCCTGTAGCAAAAGATTGTCCTTGTGTCGTCTCTCCTATCAAATCTCATCCCTGGGCCCCTTTAAAACCCAGCCACGCCTTTTCACCCCTGTGCTTAGCTTCCCAATGACTCCCGTAGCTCCATCAACGATTTTCGTAAACTCTTCGTGATACTTGTCCTCTGTGCTGTCTTCCACTAACGCCCGTTCCTCCGGGCTGATGGCAAACAGGACTGGTAGCAGCGATGACTTTGTCACTCCCACGGTGGAGACAGCTGTTCGGATGATGACGATGATGACAAAAGTCACCGACAACAGAATCTGGGAGCCGAGAAGCAGTAGCCATGGCCATCTGACGCTGACGAATGTCACAGGGCCAAGATTCTCGCCCTTGACTATATTATCAGTTTCATAAGCCCTGTATGACGAGATTGAATTAGCAAGATTCCCACCAACTGTTCTTTTTAGGTATACTCACTCTCTATACTCGTTGTTTGTGGCAATCCTGTAGTAATAGTCTATCAGTAAACTGACGAAATGGCTTCCGGACCAACTCACCCCTTCGAAAGACTGGCCGCAATGTTGCGTGAGACATTCGTAACCACTCCCATCACTGGATCTTCTCCCTCGTTCAGCAGCCCCTTCATTTTTTCATTTTCGGCAGTCTGGAATAAATGTGCGAACCGAGTTGCCGGCTCTGCTAAGGCATCCGCACCGCCGTATTCATTGTAGGTGCCGTTTAATATAACGCTGAGGGCCCGAGCCATTATGGAAAAGCCATACCCGCCAGTCGGAAACTTGGTTTTGTCTTTGTCAGGTGAGAGTATTGAGGTCACGTTGAAAACTTGACCTCCCATGAGCTCGACTTTGACAGGACTAACAACCGTATGCGCCGAGGAACCCTTCGACTCCCGTGATACGACATTCTCACTTATGGTCAAGTTGTATCTATTCACGCATAGGTGAAATAGAACTTCAAAAGCGAAAGGAAGGCTACTCCCAGGGGAGTGGTAAATGACCAAGAGATTCGAGAGTGCAAACTCGGTGAGTTCAGACGAATTCGCATCGTAGGAAATTGGGCCGTTGCCGCTAGAAAGCCAGATAAAATCGGTGTTAAGCTTAGGCTGTGGCTCCTTTTCATCTCTGCTGAGAAATGCACCATTGGGCAAAGAAATGTTAACCATCCTTCCGTTTTTTTTCATCTCAAAGTCTAGATGCTTCGTGATGTTCCACGTCTTGATGCAGACTTCGAGGGTGTTGAACAGGGGCCAGCGACACTCGCTGGTGGCACAAAAAGGTTGGTTTGTATGGAGCTCTTCCCCAATAGGATAATTGAGCCCAGTGTATATCTCACTGGCCACCCTGCTAGTGAAGTAGTCTGGTGATTACGCTGTTAGCGGGTGCTGGCCTTGTTGGGCTTGGATCCTTACCTTCCCAGAAGCTGCTGGCACTGATAGACCAGAACTCTGTGGCTCGAAGGACGTTGGCACCTGGGAGGCCTGGTACTGGTTCAAGTCGTGATGGATATGTCACTGCTGACTGGGTAAGGGTAGATGTGAGTACAGAAGTAGTCATGACCAGGGCGGGCAGAAGTCCAAGGACCCTAAACTCTGTCAGTTTATTCATCAAAAAGATTTCAACAAGGACGAAGTACCCACCAAGCCTTTGTGCGCATTGTCACAAGAAGTTTAAGGCTCCCTACTGGCCCTCGGCTTGCTTCATCAAAAACTTGCAAGTCGGCTAGAGGCCTCTCCTTTCGATACCATAGCCACTTCAACTGCGACACACTCTCGCAAACTGGGATGACGAAACCTGTACGGCCGACAGTGGCTAGTAGAGCAACCACAGTGTTGATAGTTAGTCCGAGCGGCCACTTGGGTAGAGCCTGGTCGTTGAACTTGTGAAGGATAAGGACTAGCGCGACGAAACAACCGGAGCTGACAATGCAACAGAAGATCTCGAGGTACCAGCCAGATAGCGCATGTCGCCATTTGACTTTAGGGTGTACTTGCTCTGTTTCTGGAATGGGTGCTGGTTTAAACAGTGTTGAGCTTGGGTCAGAGGAGGGTTCGCCCCCATCGCGTCTTGCATCTCGTTCAAGTGGACGGGGGTGGTCGGTCGATCGAGGGGGTGACCTTTCAGAATCTTCACTGTCATTTCCATTGTCATTGTCTAATGAAACACTAGTGCTTTGTCTCGGGTCCGAAGCCTAGGCATATCAACATTGGATGCAACATGTCATCACAAGCCAGAACAACGTACATCTCCATCCACTGCTGTGGACAATGAACTGTAGCTGAGAACAGAGGGTGAGCGATGGGCAAATAATCCGCGAGAATCCATCTCAAGTCGCAAAAAGAAAGATGTGATTGAGAACTTGGAGGCCAACAAAGTCGGAAATGTCGTTTCCTCTTGCACCAAGGATAGCTGGAAAAGAGGATTGTCTTTATTATTTTAAGTTATTTGGATCATAAACAACCGTGCGTAATGCAGCCTTGGCATAGATGACGAGTGGTGGCTTAGATCAGCAAAGTGCAGCGACAATCGCCCGAGGGTGTGACCAGGCTGAATGATCCAGCTCCTCTACTGGTCAAAATTATTGAAGGAAGGATGCTTGGCCGTGAGCTGAAGTTTCAGCTGCATGTCAGATGATGCAGCTCTGGCAAATTGGACAGTCGACTGAGAGCTGAGCCTCTTTTTCTCAGATGATATTACGATGTCTTTCGCCCGCGAGTGCTTGTTGGCTGCGAATTGGGTGGTTCATTCATTGACTATGCCCTTCAGCCACAATCCTTCTCATTTTTCTCGCCCAAGAGAAGCCGGACACATGCTAGTATTACTCCAGAGAGGCCACAATGTATTGATACCTGCGTCTTTTGCGGTTGTAGCTGATGGCTCCTACCAAGCTAATCATTCCACCATTTTAGTTGCCAGCTGGGATAACATGTCTTGAGGACAACGCGCTATTTGGGGATTCACGATCAACTTTTGCCGTCAGCCTTTTAGTTGCTTTTTTCTGTACACTTTGTAGCGGCCTGCTGGCTCAGTTAACCCATCAAGTGCCGGGCTATAACTATAATGAAGAACAGATTGCCAATACATCATAGCATCATTACCCGATGCTAACACAGTGGCAAGGCTTTTTAATGGAAAATGCCTCGCCGAATCCCCACGGGATCAATACTTCCACAGCGACAACACCGACTGCGGTGACAGGGATGTATCAACATACCTGATCGATGGCGGACTGTGGACAGCTTGCAAAGAGTCGAGACTCATGATGGAAAAGCGTTTCTTAAACTCAGAGAGGGACTATCTGCGCAGGCAGCAGAGTGTATCGTGGCTTCTCGAGCTATAGTTCATGCCAGAAACTGGCTACTTCACGTCCTCCGGCGGCGCCCCCCATTACTTTACAGTTGTCCCCGGCCGTGACCTTTTCGTGCTACAGCCAGACCTCTTGAGCGGCATTGATAGGGATTGGGGTTACCTGGAAATACCTGTCGGGTTGACAAAAAGGGTCAGGCACATCGCGATAGAATATAATCCCGAATGGGGTTCCAAACTGAACCAGCCAAGACAACACGAAGAAGTCTGGAGGATGGTGCAAGCACTGCGTTCATTCGCCCGCAATGCCTATGGAAACTCCAGACTATGGTTCATCGATCACAGCCTAAAACGAAAAGAGGACGCTCCTGTCTTCAAAGAAGTCCCAAGTGGCTATTCCACAAACGCATTCTACGCTAGCGATAGAAAATTCCTCGAGGTTGAATGCGGCTCTAGAGACCTAAATCTGGGCCACTGGCAGTACACCCGACAAGTGGAAGAGGGAATCTTTGATGACGACTCTTCAGCTTCTTTCCTCTCTTTATTACGCGGAAGGGTCAGTGAGTTTGATGATTGTTTTGGGCTTCTGGGCTGGGATGATCTTTAGACTGTCACAAGGACCACACTTAAAAGCTGGGAATGATGAGAAATCATACAATCTCTTCTTTGTTATGATTGCAGCCCGGCCCTTGATGCGAACTGAGCCAGAAGATCAATGAGAAAGCAGTGCCGGCAGAAACCCTAGCTTAATATCATTGATAGTAAAGGCTCGATATCCCGAGCAACCTGCCCCCCAAATGCTTTCTTCTCCTGACTTCTGTTCTGAACGTCTCACGACAAAGTCGTTGGCTCTGGTATCTTGTATTTGTTAGAGATTGGTTAAAACCTTGATGATACTATGCCCAAGACTTGGCAAAACTTTTTAATCAATGAGCCATCAAATTACTCCCGAGCTATGATTGGCTTTGCACGCGGTAAGACGCGTTTTGTTCTTAATTGCAACATCCCGAGCCACTTATAGATCTCGTGGCAGGATGCGGCTAAACAAGTCAGCAGACCTTCAACCTAGTGGCTTGGCTGACCGAAGGTTGCTAGCGATGGTTGTGGGATATTTGAATCGGAGTTTGGAAGAAACTCCGTGATTTGATAAGTAAGCCTGAGGTGGTACTCCGTGGAACTCCGTGCGACTCCGTAATCCTTCAGCTCCGCCAAGTCCGCCGACCTTGTTTTGTCGTGGCTGGCTGTCAGCCGAGTCTGTCAACAACCACTCTCCTGGACGTAGACCAAGCAGGGCTTCCTATTATTAGTTTGATCGCTAGTCCAACCTTGGAATGATTAGCCAATGACTGGTCAAGAATAATAATAGGAAGTTCCCGTGAAGGAATGGTGGCTTTGATTCTTACGCTTGATAATGGGACCCGATTATCAAGCACCATCGCGTTAACCGGAAAGACTTGCATGTGGGCTGATTGATTTCTCAAGTATTTGAGAGATCGTCTGCCCTCCTTAAGGCTGTTGCTTCTCAACCACCTCTCTCAATATCTTCACCATGGCATCCAACCACGGTATCAGCCTTCACGTCACCGTCTACATCGACCCCGAGAACGTGTCCAAGTTCTTGGAGTACTTCAAGCCAGTCTATGACAAGGTAGTCGCAGAGCCGGAATGCACCTTTTTTGAAGTTTACCAGTCGCCTGAAGACCCAGGCACGCTTCACTGGGTTGAGAACTGGTAAGTATCTGTCTTCGATTATGCGTTTTATTGCTAACACATTTCCAGGAACCAGACAACTGATTGGCTGTTAAATGTTTGACACGAGTCTTGTCTCTATTTCGTGTTGGTTGCTAACATCTCCTCTAGGTCCAGATCCCGAAAGACTATTACAAGGAGTACTTTGCTGCCACGGAACCCATGTTTGTCAAGCCACGGGAGTTCAAGGTCTATAACCGTCTAGGCTCTCAGTACTACACAGCCAAGTAAAGATGATCATTGGAAGACGAAATTTCAGATCGATGAGGACCGAGATTAGAGAGGACAGAAGAGCACAAAAAGAAATAATATAGTTAATTTATTATCCATGTACATCTGACCGTCGTCACAGGCTGCCTGGCCAGTCCATTGGTTTCCCTGAGAGTGTGCGGAGCAGACGACTGACTAATCACATGAGGGTCCTTCAAGTTGGATGTTCTCAGGTGATGTTGGACCTTCTCGGATCAATCCAACTCACTTCAGCTGCTGAGCTCTTGAGAAAACGCACTGCTGAGTTTATCCCTTCCACATGTCATCCTACAAAAAAAGAGAAGGCCTTACAAATGCTGCCTTGGTCAAGCTGCTCACGCAGGAGCTGGGCAAGTTCTCTGACGAATACTAGCCGCTCCATTCCTCGCAACTGAACGCAATCAAAAGATGCACATCCTTGGTCGAAACTGAGGAGTGCGAGATCGGAGATAACACCATCAAGCGGCGAGCAAAGATCATCCTGGCCGACCTTTGGACACACAGTCCAGATGTCTTTTTATTGTGCTCTTTAGCCGTCACCCCGTCACATCTCGGTACTCTCAAGTCGACGGACTATATGAAAGAGATCATCCAGTGGTGGGACGAGGTTGAGGTACCTCGGGGCGTCGCAAAGACCTTTGATCGCCATTCAGACGCCCTCCCATCTACATCCCGCGACCAACGCCAAGTCAGCATCAAGGTGTCGTTTGGGGCACTTCTGAACTTTCTCCACCAACGGCTCGGCGAGCAAGAGGTGGAGATGTCACTTCCTTTCAGTGGAAAGCCGCTCCCTTCTGTCAGGCTTGGCTCGCAGGCCAAGATTGAATTATCATGGGAATTAGCCAACTCGTTTACTCGTCAGCAGTAGGATAGAAGTCAAGCCTTCTGGCGCTTTATAAGGCGAAATGATGGCTGTCCTAGGAATGCACAGGATTGTCCCTCTTTCACAACGACGATGTAATATCGTGACTTCATCCCGGGACCCGTCTCGACATTCTCCTCTTCTCCCGCGCCGATGGTCCTCACTGCTCCATGCCCACTTCTCGTGGTAACGAGAACCCCACACACATCACCATCCGCATTCCAGTATCCCCCAGGACTACGGGTTTCGGGGTCGATCGCGGCGTCGTCGCCAAACTGTGCGGGCTATTAGACAGGGCGTGCGGAGAAAACAGGATGAGACCCACGTACCAGTTCGCGAATCTTCGCAACGAGGATGTCCTCATGCTTTGCAATCTCTGGCGGAATGTACTCTCTCATGGCAGCTTATGCAAACCAAGCCCTAGTGGAGGGGGAAATATCTGTGGGAAGGTGACAGAGAAGCCGCCTGCTGCCCTTGTCACGTCTTATGCGAGACTTGGTGCATGAGGTGTCAGATGCCTTGTGTGAACAAGGGTGAAGTGGAGGGAGAGGTTCTGCAGACATAATCTGAGCCATGATTCTGCCCAAATGTGGAATGAATAGTCGCCTTTGACTGCCTTGCTTGATATTGACATGTATTTAAGAAAGGGTGAAGTCCCAAAAGAACGAAAAAAGACACATCAAGATTCGCAAAACTATCAGTTCATCCCAGATTCAATCCCGGACATTTCCCCTTCCTTCTTAGTTCTCCCGTACCGTACCAACCAAATCATCTCACCATGTGCATTCAATGAACGCATAAATTCCTCTGCGGGTGTGAGCCTGTGGTCGATGAGGACAAGTGCGCCGACATGAAGAAGTGCCCTGGCGTGGTGAAGAAGCAAAAGTACTTCTCGTCAGGCAACTGCTACGAGTGCGCCACCCAGCATATGAGCCTGCCAATACTCAGTTTGGGCCAATGAGCTAAACTGCTTAGAAATCCCAGCGTGTTTGAACTGGTTGAGGGACAGACGGACCATGGCTGGGGTTTTTTCCCCGTGAGGTTTTCCCATTGTCATAGTGCGAATGTAGTGGTCTGTGTTGGCTCATCTGAAGAATCGCCTGGTCGGATTCTCTAAATGTGACGAAATTCATCATGGTTAACAATTACTTAATATCATCGTGTTGCAAGATGCTTTCATACCGCTGCAAAGTTTTGAGGACTTCAAGATCATACGAAGCGAGATACTTTTGGTGGCTGTCTCGGGTCGACTTCCTCCGCTTGTGAAGCGGGATATCTGCTTCAGATAGCCCTGCGTGACCAAAGTCTATTAATGTGACTTGACCATCTTGATCTAGCATAATGTTTGTCCATGAAAGATCGTAGTGAACAACACCTGCGTCGTGGACATGACGAAGCACCTCCAAGACATCATGGTAGTATTTCGACACCTCGTCATGGGTTACGGGCTTTAGCTTCATCATTCTGAAGCCAAAAATACCATCCTCGTCCTGAAGCGGCTCAGTCGAGGTTCGTACAGCTCGTGCTTTTGGCTGCATTGCCGCTAGATGCCGGAGAAGAGAGAATTCGTCCGCAATCATTTCTCGCTGCCGGTTATCGATGGCGACTTTGCAGATGGGGAAGTCATCCAAGCTATCAACAAATAATCTGATGTGTGAGTTTGCTCCGTGAGCGATTGCTCGAGAGCGAGACCATATGGCATCAACCGCTGAGCTATGCTGGATTTGCTCAATAGTCGCCCCAGTCTGCTCCGTCGAGCTGGGGAACTCATCGAGGCTTGGTGGCTTGAGCCAGCTTCCGGTCCAACAAACCCGGAATTCCTTGTGCTGAAAGTCGACGTTGAATGCACATCTCCCTTGGAAGCGATACACGTCGGTGATGCGCTGTGCGTCCATTCTGTGAGGATGGGGTTTTGCTAGGGATGAGTTTCGTCAAAGCAGGGAGACCTTGACTTTGGCTTGGGGCGGTGATGCCTGAGGCAGCAATTTGTCATCTCTTTTATGAACACGGCGTTGGGAGAATTCAATAAGATTAATAATGGGTAAGGATAAAAAGAAAAGAAATAGGAGATAAACCGCGTTAGATACCAGGGCTGATTCTCTCAAAGAGAACGAATATTAGGCAACAGGATTGTTGGTCCCAAAGATTCACGTGGATCCAGATCCATACCTCTCTGTTGGTTGACTGCCTGTTCTTACACTCCAACTTGAATGCATCATCTTAGATTCTGACCGACACCACAAATTGGAAACGCAATGCCTCTTGAAACCCTCCCCGTCGAACTCATCGAGTCCATTGCCGCCAAGGTCACCTCTGGCGCTGGCCTGAATGCCCTCAGTCGCACAAACCGTCACTTTCATCAGATTCTCGATCGGCGTCTCTACGCGTGTCGGAGCAACGACAAAGCGCTCTTTTTCAGCATCAATAAAGGATACAGCTCAGTCTTGGAAAAGGCAATACGGGGAGGAGCCGATCTAAACAGTTTATACGAATGGGCCCCTGGTGCTCGTTTCACCACACCACTCGCCTTCGCCGCCGGAACAGGTCATGTCGAGATTGTTAAACTGCTTTTGAAACATGGCGCCGACCCGAACCCGGTAAGATGGGAAGAAATACGACACACACCGTTGAGTGTAGCCGCCGGGAAAAGACATTACGAGACTGCCAAGATTCTCATCGACGCTGGAGCTGACGTACATACCACATTCGGCGAGCCGTGTGGATCGCTAGCACTTCACGCGGCAGTGGGATATTACGACGAGGATGACGACCTTGTACGACTTCTCCTCGAGAATGGAGCACTTGATAACTCTCCCCAAGAGTACAGAGGAACAGCTGCCCTAGAAGAAGCATTAACATACGGACGCGTTTCTACAGTAAAGCTTCTCCTCCAGGCGGGCGCCAATCCAGTTTTCAGGGGCTCTGATGATTGGACTCCAGTGATGTTGGCGATTTTTGGGGGATCTGAAGAACTTGCATTTCTGTTTCTGGAAATGGGAGCCGACCTAGAACAAACTTGCAACAAAGGGAGGGGTTTGGTATGGTATGCAGTATGGTATAGCTGCCCCAACGTCCTTAGATATGTCTTGGAAAGAGGTTGCAGTGCAAATGATCACGCCGCTCTCAGAATTGCCTTCGAAAATGAGGAACAAGACATAATAGAATTGCTACTGGAACGAGGGGCGTCACTCGAGGAAGCTGGACTTGACGAGAGCAAATACCGCCACCTCATCAGTAGTCCTCGAGTCGATCATCAAGACGCTTTTTTGTAAACCTATATAGTGGGCTGCGGTTGAAAATGACAAGAGCTCTTATGCTTAACCCTCAAATGTTCCATTGGTGCTCCATAAGTTTCATAACATGACGCGATGAATACAATGACGCCTTATTGGCCTGGATTCCGTGACGGTCGCTCAAGGTTGGCGGAAGCTCACGTTGATTGGCGACTGAGTAGCCGATCTTTGAGTAACCGGTTGACGAAGACGGCTGAAAACATGTTAAAAGTCGGTGTGTCGCTATGTCTAGGTTCGACTGCCAACGAAGCACGTCTGTAAGAAACGCATGAACGATGACTAGAGAACAGAGGTCACCACTACTCCCCGAGGCGGACACTGGGAGGGCTTGGTACGCCCGTAGCGTCGAGTTACTCATCCTTGTTGCGGGACTTCATTACGCTCTCCTTTAGCTTGACTCAAGTCCCGTGAGTCTACCTCGCGTAGGTTGATGAATAAAAGCTGACCAAACCTCGCTGTAGCATTCTTTATGTCTTCCATCTCATGGAATGTGAGATTTTCTACCAAACCCACCCTCCATACACAGGCATTGGCGACAAATGCAGCAGGGATGAGGTTGCGGCTGCCACGGCTACCCAGTTCAGCATTCTAGGAATGACGACAACCTTGTGTGGTACGACCCAGGTAACCAATCTTTGCACTTCATACGCGACTCTAACTGTCTCTAGGGACGTTGAACTTGTTTGTTGCTGGATGGCTAGCCAAGAGGCTTGGCCCCAGAGCTGCCCTTCTTATTCAAACGCTCGTCCCAGCTATTCGGGCAAGTGCCCAAATTCTAGGCGTCACAGCTGGGGGTTGGCCTGGCATAATCATCTTTCAGTGCACACAGCTGATTGCCATCGTTGGCGGCCCTGCTGGCTATGTGTAAGTCACTACAGACCGGGCGGCCGAGATTATTTCCTGACCTCCTAACCTAGGTTGATCGTCAACATCATGGTGAGTGAGGTTGTTGAACCCATTCGACGGACCAGTGTATTCGGCAAGCTTTAGGGCTGTATCATGCTTGGACAAGGCGTGGGATACTTGGGTATGGATCCAAAACTCCTACGGAATAGCGCCCATTAACAATATCCACCAGCGGGAGGAATGATTGGAGGCGTGTTTGGAATTCAGCGGCCATTCGAAGTAGCGTTCTTGTGTTTCCTCCTCGCCACCATGTACGCCAGGATCGCCCTCCCTTACATTGCCCCCGAGGCCACGCTCGACAGCCAGACAATCAGCAGAGGGCCATCAGGATTCTTTAGCCCTCTCAAGATTCTGCTACCTCAGAGGATCCGGCTCCAGAGCGGCCAAATTGCCAAACATTATGGAGTGCTTTTGCTCTGCTGTGGTGTCTTTCTTGGTGTGGTAAGTCAAATATCGGTGATATTTACCACACAGTCACTGATTAAATCCTGTTGCAAATCCAGCTAGCCACGGACTATGCACCATTTATGATCCAGATGTACGCGACGGCTGAGTTCAACTTTAACCAGGCAGAAAATGGATGGCTCATGTCTGGCTGGGCGGTCATGAGGAGCATCTTTCTTCTGCTTCTCTTTCCATACATTATAGCGCAGGGCCGTACGGACATGGTTCGCGTCAAGGGGGTCTAATTGAGTCGCCAATACTAACAAGCAGCCTTCTGACACGACTCCTCACTATGAAGACTTTGACGCTTTGATAGAATCCCGGGCGAGGGGTGAGGCGGCTTCAACTGACCCAGACTGCAGTCATCTTGGGTTTGATCTCTTTTTCCTTCGACGGAGCCTAGTCATTAATGGGGTCGTAACAACCGTTGCCGCATTCGCGACGCACAGATGGCATATCTATCTCGGTGAGTAGTGCCATGCTATACTTTTACATATTCTAAAGCTAACGGGCGATTGCAAGCTGCATTCCTACTTCCCTTGGGTTCTGGCTCAGCACCCGCCGCGAAAGGAGTCATCACAGACATGTGCTCCTCGTCGCAGCGAGCCGATGCCCTCAACGCCATCACTCTCGTAGAGAATATTGCCCGACTTGCTACCCAGGGTCTTTTCGGATTTCTTTTTGCTTTCCTCGCTGGAGTCGGCAAAGCATATCTTACATTTTTCAATGCGGTACGTATCGTTCATAGATTACCCTACGTGCTGGATCAAGACGCTAAGAGCATCCTTTATCGACTATAGGCTATAGCGGTTCTGGGAATGGGCGTACTTTTCCTCTCTCATCTTCCTCCCCTTGGAAGTGAACTTATGGAGGAGGACGACGCAATCAACACGACGAGCACCCGTGAAGGGGACGTCCAAGGGTCAAGCCATAGCTGAGGCAAAAGCCATAATGGATAGGCTTCTCGCCTTCTTTACTGATAGCTTGCTTTATCGGAGACTGTAAAAGACAACAAGTTTTGGATGATCTGGTATGATGGGGAGCATCCAGGGAGAATCACTGAATATGGCGGGTTTTAAGGAGAGTCCAGGAAAATATGGCCATCTGAATGTCGCGTTAAGTGCATCGCCGCCTAGAACTCATTCAGTCCGAGGTATATCACTTTGATCTGACATATTGACAACCATGGCGACGTTAAGCCTCTCCAATTGAGCCGTATGTAACTATGTATGTAGTATGAACAACCCTTGCACTCAAAGGGAGCTGCTGAACGGCTCACTTGTGCGATAGCTTCACCGCGCTCGACAGGTCCTCTTCCAAAATCTCTAAAAATCTCCGTCGTTGAGGCTTGTAGCCCAACAGCTTCCGGGCTCGATCTGGCTTGGACCGCGAGTTCGATCCGAAGAGTAGGCGTGCGGTGCCATCCAGTGGAATGTAGGTAAGCATAGAGTCCAGCTCTTCCAGTGAAACCTGTCTCGGGACCTAGCTTGGCAGTTGGCCCTTTGCCTTGAGGATCTTTTCAACTGCCGCGGCAATGTCGTACTGGGAGACTTCTTCGACTGTTGTAAAGTAGTAGCCCTGGTAGCCAATATTCAGCACATAATCTTCAGCAATCTGAGCAAGGCCGCAGAGGCCAGAGATTTATACTTACTTGGCGACCCCACTCAGCACCCCGCCCACCATCTACGGCGGCTTCAACAAGCTTAAGGAACACCTGCGTCACGTCTTCAACGTGGGCTCTAGAGTAAATGTTAGACCCCGAGCCTACGTAAAACGCTGCCCCCAGTTTCACGCTCTCGGACCAAAAAGAGGGCACATAGAAACTGTCAACCCGACCAGGGCCGGTACCTGTGCCGTGCATGTTGGGCGGGCAGACAATGGCCGTCTTGAGATTGTCTCCATACTTGGTCCATGCCTCCTGAATCAGAAGTTCCGTTTCTCGGTGAATAGCCACGGCTGGGAATGACCATATAGCGTCCAGGTCATCGACATCTGACCATACCTTTGGGCCCAGTTCGCCGAGATTGTTGTAGTCGGCAATTATAGCTGTACCACCCAGATGGATGTAAAATGCTAGCTTTGAAGCTGGGGCACGCTCAATGACACCCGCGATCAGTGCTTTGACAGCTGGCGCATAGTCCGAGTTACCGTGATCTTGAATCCATCAGTCAACACTGCTCTGAGCCTTTCAAAGGGTACAAGTGTTTTGCGTACGAATTACAATGTCGGCTTTCGAAGCGGCCTCCTTTAAAATCTCGGTGCTATCAAAGTCATCCAGGAGAACCTTCACGCCAGGGTGCGCATCTGAGAAAGAGGCGAGTGGCTTTCGGAGGAGAACCGTGATGTCGTATTCAGGATGAGCCGTCACGAGAGTGTTGAGAACGGTTCCGCCTGTGTATCCGGTGGCTCCAGTGCTATAGAGTGTGATCAGTGCTCTATCAATCATAAGGAAGCACATTAAAAGATGTTTCAGGGCATACAGAAAGATTGAAGGGGTCATGGTAGAATAATCTTTGGAAGGATGCTAATGAGGTGGACGATGTGAACGACTGTTCTCTAATAATTAATCGGTGAAGCGGAGCCTTTCAGATGTTAACTTACGAAAAGGAACTACATGCCATGATGCTTTGATTCAATATATACACTTTCTTAAGGAGTACAGCTCAATGTAGTCCACGAGCATTGTCAAGCTCGGGGATTGTATTCGTCCGTAGCTAGTTGTTCGTCCGTCCCTAGCGATTAAGACGTCCGTAGTCACTCCGTCTTCATCGGGTTGATCATAGAAGTTCCACCCCGGAAGCGAGAGCGAAGGCGAGAGCGAAGAAACCTATTCGATGACTATGCATAATGCCGACTAAAAGGAATGCTGGGTTTATAAAGGTTTGGAACGTGCATCCTCAACCACAGCAAAATATGCTCTCCAGCCTATCCATAGCAGATGAGAGTCCAACTTAATTTGATACATCATGATCCATTCCTACATCCAACCATTTGGTACCGAATCCAACCTCCTCCCAAATCGCTTAGAATGCCAGCATAGCGCCAAAAATCAGAGCAAAGATCGATACACAGACGATCGGACCAGCCAACTGCGGGGCTGCCCCAGGGACACTGCTTGCGGAGGCTGCAGCTGAGCCCGAAGCAGTCGAGGTCCCGGTTCCCGACGACTCAGAGGTCGTCGTTGTCGTAGTAGATGCGGACCCGGTGTTGGATTTGCTGCTGAGGGTGCCACCAAACGCAGCCTTTGGGCTGGTGCTCTTGTCAGTTTTCGCTGCAGCACTTTGATACTCCTTGAGGGTGTCAGAGCCCTGGTTAATAACACCTGCCATTCCGGCCTGGCAATGGCCTTCAATGGCGCAGTAGAAGAAGATGGGATCAGTGTTGTTGACAGTAATTGAGAAGAATGACTTGTGAGGGGAAGATTAGCCGTGGACCAAGGAATGCAAGAGATGTCAAAGAATATAGTCTTACGTTTCCTTCTCCAGGAAGATCGCCAGAATAGAATCCTCCACTGGCAGCTGGAGTACATGGCTTGTTGAAGTCGCCGGCAGTAACTGTGTGCATGGAGTCGAAGTGAAACTCGATGATGTCTCCCTTGGTAGCCTTAATGGTATTCGGGTTGTAATTGAGCCCACCCTTGCCGACCTCAACCTTGTGAGTTGCGGCAGATGCTCCTACAGCAAGCAGGGCGAGGAGAGCGACGCTTAGGCTCGTGAAATGCATGTTGACGATCTGAAAATCCGTCTGTTTAGTAATGCTTGTAATCTTGGCAAAGCTTTCTCAACACCGGTGAACAGGCGCCAATTAATTTATTATATACATGTGTTTCTCGCCTTTGAGATCCCGTGTTATAACGCTAGCTGGCTCGCTCTGATGATCGTGGCTAGCTTTCGTCCTGTGGTCAACACACAGTGGCTTGCGGGCACCAATCATTGCCTTGACGGGTCACCAACGCTAGAGCCTCTGGCATAGCGCCCGTCGTAATCTTCCACTGCTCCGCCCCTTTGGCCTCGTATTTTGCTGTCAAGGTTCTAACATTTGTTGCGGGCTATGGCTTTTGGGCGTCGTCGAGATGCCGACAGCCGGTTTGGGTTGTACTGTGGTTGCAGGCGGCCGCCCAAAACCGCAGCCCTCTTGATGGGAATGCCTATTTTAATCTCATCATTACCACTAGCGCCGGATGATGGCCTGCCGAGCCTTTGCAGTTCCTGGAGTCGGGCTGGTCCTCTATCCGCGCGAGTTCGGTCGGAGGTATACTGAACGGTCAAAGTCGGCGAGTGTTTCTTTCCATCCGCTGACATGAAACAGAATTGGAGTAAGCAGTTCATGTTTGTTTTTCTGCAATCTCGACAACGACACTTCTTAGAGGCCTATACAAAGCATATTTCATAACTGAAAAGTAATAATCACGATGAAGACGGATCTTGCCTCTGTTCTTGGCGGCGAATCAGTCTTGTGAACATCTTGATGTTTCTCTTAGTATCCCAAAAAGAGTAATCACTCCGGATAGCGTCCTCTAGATGCTCTTCCCTGTGCCGCTCAAGAATCCCCAGGCGCTCATATGCCGTGTCCAGGATCAGGCGCATCCTTTAGAGCGTTAGGCTAGTTAGGGGAGGGAATGGGTCCAATGTGAGGGGGCGCCCATAAGCCATTTTACACATGCCTTCTTCTTTTTCCTGTCTCCGCACTCTTGCTGGAGCCATTCTTTGAACACCTCTGGCAAGGTATCCATGGGATAGGTGCGACCACTTGTCTCCCGATATTGCAACTTGCCATCGATCACCATCAAATACCGCGTGGCAACGTCAGAGCCGTCAACCATAATCACGTCGGTGTCGGGCCTGGCCTGATGCTGAATGAAGCCATCTTGCGAGCTAGTGGCAGTCAAATCTGCCGTGTTCTGGATAGGAAACGACATGCTGCTTAAAGTTTTCGGATGTGGGAAAGCGCACGAAGAGGTCGATGCGATGTGTTCAAGGTTGTTGTTGTAGTTGGCCTCAATGACGCCGCCGTCAGTCACAGTATCAAAGACGCAATAGAGGGTTTAGATGAGTGAATGAGGGTGAGTGATTGATGAGAGAGTGTTAGGAAGTCAATAAAAACTTGAGACAATGACTGATTTTATACTAAAGCTTGGACTAGTTAGCAAGTCGACATTGTCCTTACTCACTGTCGTCCTCTGGAACAATTGCCTTAGTGCTGGTCGGACGAAGGAACTGTTCGAGAGCAGAGCCATGTTCGCCAGGATTGGGCTGGCAGCGAACAAGACTATCAGAAAGCGAGAAGCTACCAAATTAAAATGTCAGAGACTCCACAACAACTTTTCGTGTTCGACGGCTCATGAAACACCGCAGGGCTATCAGAGAATGCCAAAATAGCATTGCACAATGGAATCCAGAGAGGCTGAAGGCCAGAGTGATATACCTGAACAAGCGCGCAATATACTTTCACAAAGAGATCTAACAGAATGGCGCCCTGTCCTTAAACGGTGAAGTCTTGCCCAGGCGTAGTGGTCCGCGTAGTGTCTGCGTCGACCAACATAACAAAATTGACAGACGGTCTCACCCTGCGAGGGAGCAGCTCGTTTCAGGCCTATCTGGTTTGTTGTGGTATATACTTGTTGCATTTGACCACGCCGGTATTTCAATTTTCTGCCGGATGGTATGACTAAATGTTCCTTCTCATGCCTCACGGTTGGTGCTAGCGGGCATCCTCCTCCCACTGCACTCTCAACATCTCAACAGCTCTAGTTTCCTCCATCCTTATCGCGTCCCAAAAGACAAACCCCCAGCGCCGGATTTCCTGCGGGATATGCCACCCGTAAAGGTTGCAGTACACACCTCCCCATATAATCGTCCAGCCAAGTGGAGGTGCATCCGGCTCTCCGTCTCCACGAAAGGGGAACGGGGTTTTCTCCTGTCGCATTCGATCTCGCTCAGACGGGTGACTCAGTCGCCATTTGGCCTGCTTAAGGTGTCCAAAGATCCCCGCAACCATGCCGAGAGAGATATGGCTTTTCCTCATATGCCGCTCCATGGTGGAGACAACAAGTTCGCGGTCCACACGGTGGAAAAAGATTACTTCGAGGGGAGAAAGACCAGCCAATGCTGTCCCCTCTACATAGTCACACCGCAGCCCTACTTGATAGTGAGTAACACTACAAAAAGACCACATGAAAGGGGACTTACAACCCTGATCAAGCTCATAGGAGCCCCTAGAAATAAACCTCTGGCCTCTTCCGTTAGACTTGGGGTTTTTCGGGTTTAGATCCCAAGATATGTCTGCAAAGACTTTGTGGTAGGTGGACTGTAGATATTGGTAAAAGGCAAAAGCCTCCTCGGTCTCCCACGGCTCAAGCATATTGATAAAGTCTTGAGCAATCTGTGTACGAAGTAGCTCAATACTCGTGTCAGAAAGATCGACGAGCAAGGACAAGAGCTGGAATCGATATATAGCCCTTCTGAACCGCATAGTCTCGGAGCTGCTGAGGACATGTCCTGATTTACGATGAAAAGAGTGCTTCTCGAGGTTTCTCGACAGGCAAGATAATGTTTCATAAGCATAATACTCTGCAACAGGGTCTGCCAGGCGAAAGAAGAAGATGGCCATATCTATTGCTGCGGCTTCGGTGATGTCATCTGAATGAGGTAGACGTCGTGCCTTGGTCACTTTGGAATACCACTGTAAGAAATCGAGCCGACCAGGCTTGGGACTCTGGGTTGCGAGTAAAAGAACGGCGTAGGCGTCAACGATGACACTGCCCAATGTTTGCTCGAGGCTCTTGCGGAGGATGTATTTCCGGTCGTGCCGGTATTGGCGGTGAAAGCTCGGTGAGGCGTGAATTACAGCCCGTAGCTGATGCAGATCTAAGAGGCAAAGGATCTGGAACTGGAGCTCGGGTAGCAGGCTTTCAAAGTTGGTGCTACCAGCGTGGTTGGCATCACCTATTTCGAGGGTCGTATTAGGCGCACAGTCAATCTCACAAGTTGTCTGTTCTAGGGCTTGTGTTGCGTTTTTAGAAACGCCAGCACCAGTCCTTGGGGTTTCAAGAAGGGATTCCATGTCTTGAAGTGTAAAAAAAGGCTATGAAGAAGATGTGTCTTGCGGCAAGTCACAACGCATGATCAAAATTAGGATCCGAGCATAGCCTCGGGAGGTTGGTCCGTAAAGTCACGTGCGACCCCGGTTGTGGTTGAATACCTGGGTGGGTAGTAAGTCAGCAACCCTACACAACGGAGTTTTCTTCCGTCGGACCTGAGATTGGCACACAAAGCCCTAGAGATACTGCCAGAGCTAGGAAGTCAGAGTGTGTACAATTAGCGAGCCTCTTGGACAAATCGAGGCTCGCTGCAAGAAAGAAGGACATATATACAGACAGGCATGAACATGATCTAGATGAGCCATAATTTGAAAGGGGGACGCTCACGCTCTTTAAAGATAAATGGGATTACAGGGGTTAACGAATTCACGCCTGCGCTATCCATGTTTAGTTTGTTTTGAGCTTGGTAATATTACTTCACCGTGGCGTGCAAATGACACTTTTCCAGTGAGAAAATGCAATCATGCTACTATATGCAATCAACTCTAGATAGATACCTCGTGTGCTATCTCTTCAGTGCAAGTTCTAGCTAAGCGTGACGCGACATTGGCCACACCTGTAATCAAGACTCGCCATCCTTCTCGAGGGATTTGCCGATGACCATGGTGTACCACTCGACGTCTTTTTTGGCCGATCGATAGTTGAAGTCCAATTGCAATGCCTCGTCCAGCTTCATATTTCTCTCGACCTTGAAACATTGCATGTCACAATACATGTTGTTCAGATCATCGAGGGACTGGTGAACTGCCGACTTTAACCCTTCTGGGGATTCAATGTCACTGTGAGGCGTCATAGAAGCGCCGCCGAATTGGTTCGGGTCCAACGGGGCCTCCATCAGCCACTTGATCCATTCATCCTTCTTGCGCGTATCCCGGCACTCGTCCCTGACCCATTGTTTGAGCTCCTCTGGTGTGGCTTTCACGGGACGGATGTGTCCGCTCCTTTCCCAATAATGCAACTTCCCATCGATCATGGTAAGGACCACTTCAGCTTTCTCTTCACTATCAGCAGCCCTGTTCATGCCTTTGGCGCTGTCCAAATCCATGTCATTGGTGTTAGTATTGGTGCTGATGCTATCGTTGGCGTCGTTGGCGGTGCGGAGGCCGAGCATTTCATTGATCCTTTCGAGCGTAGGGTCGCCGGACACACGTAGCTCATAGCCCTCCCAATCACCCCCCGAGAGCACAATCGTCTGAACAGGAGACAACATGTTGGTTGAGCTTTTCAAAGGTTGGGTTGCGTGGTGTTCAATGTTGTTATAGAAGAATTGTTGTTGAGATAGTGTTTGAGAGTAAGTGAGCAAAAGGTCAAGGTATGCAATTATTATATACTCAGCCCCGACCTAGTCATGGAGTTGGTAGCGGTTTTTGTACACTGCCGTGTTTCAGAACAGTAGCATTCCCGCTAATGAGACAAAGGGAGCGTTCGGATTGTGTTGATGCTCATGCATTGTCGAATATTACACCGTACAAAGGGAATGGCAATGTTTAAATCAGTGAGTGCTTAAATCAGTGAGCAAGGGCATAATTTGCTTCCTCAAAGAACTCTCCATGTCAAGATGAAGCAGCCTGAGGAATCTTAGCATTACAACGAAACAGCAATAAGCCAGCCCTTCAAACATCCAACCTCTCCTAGGCATGTTCATTTGCATGGAGCCTACAACAAAGAATTCTACTGAGGTTTCCAGTCCCCGGCGGCCAAAGAAATCGTGACGTTCCAGGCCCACAATTCTGATCAACGTCACCCACCTCAGGATGGGTCAACAAAAGGCCTAGTTAGCACCCACAAATCAGCAAAAAAGAAACGGCAAAAAACATACAACAGCAGGGATTCGCTGGTCGTCACCGACCCAACTACTAATCTGCCCCTTACTGGCTTGTCTATGGGAGAGCAGACGGGATCCCGAATTCTCCAGTAGGTATGGTCGTATGTGAGAGAAGGACTTCCGAGTTGCAGCCAAATGCTGAACGGTGGGCTCCAGGGGACGAAAGGATGTGCGGGAACGGAAAAAGTGCTTAATTGAATTAGAAAGAGATATCAATTACGTCTATGGCATTGCCCCAGGTGTCTAACACACCTAGCCTAGGTCCCCGAGTGACACCACATAGAGGTTGCGATATCCCGCCTCGCTGCCCATTCTCGCTTCGTTGACAGCCATTCACCCTCATTCAGACCGGGTGGCAGTTTGATGACGTTGAGGCTAGGGTAGTTGCTCTAGCGTTGACCTCTTATCGTGTAGGGTAACGCTCCCTTTGACAGCTCGACAAACCCGCACAGTGGTCTGCTAACCTGTAGTTGTCAGACCCACATTAATAGTCTTTCATCACTTGTCGACTGCAAGTGAAGACGGTCTTCATTATTGTACTACATTTCGCCGGAGGGGAATAACATGCTATGAAAAGGGAGACGATTCAAACGATGAGCTGTGATCGAGTCGTCACTTGTTGGATGCTTGTTGATTACTAGTAAAAATGGATGGTAATTAAAGCAGAAAGTGAGGCACAAGTAAAGCTTCCAGCCAAATAAATATTCATCGTGAAGATATAGATTTACCTGGCTTGTGTGGAGTGCGCCTTCCTTTCTGTTGACCTGCCCGGCCGAGGTGCTTGGGCACGGTCACGTGAGCTTCCGACCTGATATCGCCAATCACGTAAGCAAGATGCATGCAGCGGGGTCTCATACACGCACAGCCGGCTGTGCGTTTAATATCACGTGACTTTTGCGCACAGCCGGCTGTGCAAATAAGATTCGTTATGTAAGCCCGATACATGTGTGTGTGAGTAAGAGGGTCACCCCTTGATCAATTGAAATAGCATTGATTCACGCCATTGAGAGATGAGATGATCACATGTAGCTACAGTCATTTCAATACATTACATATGATCTATTCTCATCTGCCTAGGACCGGTGAAGAAGACACAATGCCTCTCATGACACCACAGGCGCTACGGTACGAGTGAATCACTTCACATATCATAGTATATAAAGCAGAGGCTTCTCCCTCGTAGGAAGCTGTTCATTTTCATATCAATGCAGTGCAAGATACCGTCAAGATGTCTTACTTCAACCAAAACAACGCTCAGAATGTGCCCATCTACATCTGCCCCCAAACATCAACGCAACCTGGGCTAACTTACGCCTCTAATCAGAACCAACAGTTTGTTCTTCAGCCTATTGCCAACAATCAACAGCAACCGCCGCGTGGTATGGGTCATCCAATGCAGAACCCAATGACATATCAGCATTGGTGGAATCAGCATACCTTGCCAAGTGACCCAAGGTCCCCCAATTCCCTGTACAGGCAGAACCCTCAAGCCCTGGTAGCAGCACGGAATACCGTATACGGTCCTCAAGGTGATGCCCTTCGCGAGGTACCACGGCCGGGGGGGTATCACCTTGAAGGAGAGTGGCATGTTGGGTACCTCGGTCATCAGATAACCCAACGGCAACAGCGCACTGACCCTGATGTAAATCCAGTGTGGCTAACAAACCGACCGACCTAGACCGGCCCCTTCGGTCTGTCGGTCTGGGTTCACCAAGACTCTCGGTCTGTCGGTCTAGGTCTGTCTGGGCCAGCAGCCTGGTCGGTCTTGGTCTGATTAGCTGATTCTCTCATTGGCTACCTTTGCCCTGCCCCACTTATTTTGGCACTGCGAAACTCGAACGGCCGAACAAGTGGGGATGGCACGGGTACCTGAAGGCTGAGTCGACCAATGGGACGCCTGGAAACCACTAACCCAGACCGACTCAGACCACCCAATCCGACCGGCAGCTCTGGTCTGTCGGTCTGACGAGAATGGCCGGTCGGTCGGACTGCGGTCTGAAGGTGGTCTGTCAGACGGTCTGTCAGACGGTCGGTTTGTTAGCCACACTGTGTAAATCCGATGTGGACTCGAGGCCATCTGCAGCAGATGGATCAATTCTATCGCCAACAGGCAATTGGCGTCCCGGGCGTGAATTGGCCCTCTCCAGCTGTAGGTATGACCAACTATCAACCAGCCCTTTACGCCGCAGAGATGTCGGGGATTCATGTGTGCAATGTTGATCGAAATGGCTACGTTCAGTGGATTTGGCAAGGGAGGCAGTGAGGTCACAGAATAGCTCAATGAATACATTGCTTTAGTACTTACTATATCTCTAACTACACAGCCTACTTGACCCTACATGTGAACTCGGCCATAACCCCATTAAATCGAGCCATTGGGTCACGGTATATATACTCGGAGTTTTGCCTTTCTTTTCTGATTCGAATGATATATACCACTTACCTTTCCCGTCAATACTGCAAATGTTCTTAAGGGGGTTCCCGCCACTAGAGCCCCCCCCCTTGTAATCTAACATCTCTCTTAGTAGCCTCCCAGACATGCTTGACTCCTCTGTGCCGTGAGAAAGGCTGCTCATCTATTTCTTTCTGTATCCTCTCCTCAACCCGCTTGGTCTCAGCTTTATCCCAATCAATATAACTCATCATCTCCTCCTGCCTCCAGTCCCTTGATTCCTCCTGGCAACGGGGCCCCATTTGCTTATAATTAAGGCACCATTCATATTCACGTTTTGCATATTTCTGAGGCAGCTTCATAGCCTTCCGGTACAGTTGATCGGTCTTCTGAGCTCTCCTGGTCAATGTAGCATACCAGGCCTCTCGTGCCTCTTTGTATCGTTGGAAGATAACAAGGGCATGATCACCTCGCAATGGGGACTTCTCTCTTGCACCGCCTGCAGCAACAGTTGCTGATCTAGTTACCGGAGGAGATAGTACCTGAGTTGTTGTGTGTGTTGTTGTATGTGTTGTTGTGCAGGCTATAGTCTCAGATACCACAGAGGACCCTGATGGGGATAGCGAGCGGGTCACAGAGCGAGTGGTTGAATGTGTTGTGATATGTGTTGTTGTAGAGGTTTGAGTAGGAGCCGGCAATAGATCGTCGTAACGCAAAAGGCATGCTTTAGAGTTCATCTTATGGCCTCGTATACCACACTTCGAACACTTTGGCGGTGCCTTTCGCTGTAGTGCTTTCTCAACACGTTCAGATGCACACGGCTCACGCTGTGTGCTTGTTGGTGGAAGCTTTGAACTAGCTGCTAGGCGATCAAATTGCTTGTGAGGCTCAATGATAAGCCGGGGGGTTCCTGGGCGATGGAGAAGCCAATGTGTGTGGAAATGATGTAGCAGAAGGGGTTGATCTTGCTGTAGCAAGGGCTGAATCATATGAGCACAGGGCAGACCAAGAGTCCTCATAGTGACTCCTGTACATGCAGGATATTCTCTCAATAGTCGTTGCCGTTGAGCATCAACCAGCCGCAGGGCTTCATGTGATAGCCAACCACGGATATTACTATACAGTGGCCCAGATATATCAATAGGTATGCTGGCCTGCTGCTGAGCTTGGTTTCCCTCGAGCTGGTTGAGCTGGTTTGATAGGATGAGCTTGATGATATTCCAGGCCCCAAAAAGGTCAATTGCTGAGGTCTTCATGTGAGATTTGATGAGCTGATGAATGCCCTCGGCCCGTGACGTGACGAATTGATCGAAGTGAAGGTGTTGATGAACCCAGGCCTTAACAAACTTCCCCTTATGGAGGTCCAGCCAAGTCTCTATGATGTAGCCCACCTCGTTGAGGTGGTCAGGGGTGTAGCGTTGCTTGAACTTCTCAAGCCTCTCGTTGTAGATATCCTCAGTCGTTGAGGCCACAATCTGATGCCAAGACTTGAAGAACGCATCCCACTCTTCTTGCCCTTGAGTATCGTCTTTATCTCGAGTGAATCCAGGCCTGCAATGGCTCAGGACCGCTCTATTGATATGCCATAGGCATAGCAATAAGGCTGACTCAGGGAAACAAGAAGGAGAAGAAACAGCATTCATACAAGCTAGGCAGCGATCTGTGAGTATCACAGATGGAAGGGCTACTCCATAATGCTCATATATATACCGCAACCGTTCAAGGACCCAGATGAAGTCCCCTTCTTCCTCGCCACTAAGAAAGGCGAATGCAATACAGAAGGATCGTTGACAAGCATCAATACCAACTATATCGAGAAGAGGCATGCTGTACTTGTTGATCTTGTATGTACAGTCCAAGATAAGTACTTCAGGGTATAGCTTGAGGTATCTCAATGAGCTTGGGTGTGCAAATAACACTGATGTGACTCTGCCACTCTCGTCAAGGCGTATCTGACTCCAGAAGCCCTCATTCTCAAGTTCATTGGCAAAGGCATGCATGTTGCTTTGACCCTTAGCAAGCTCTCGCTTGCCTTGTGCAATGCAGTTGTAGATATCCTGCTGTGTAGCAAGTGTATCTGTGTTCATGCGTAGATAGGATTGGATCTTCTTTGGCTCAATGCCGGCATTGCTGAGTTGATGGACCGTCAACCTATCTGGGGATGATAGCTGACGATGTACTGGATGTGCTAGTTCACTGAAGCTTGGTTCGTGATTGTGTTGATCAAAGCCGGCCCCGGGGCGATGCGTGAGATTCCACATAGTCCCACATAGGCTCTCCTTTGCTGTGATAGAGAAGGTGCATCCTGTACGGCGTGTTGTGGTCTTCCGTTTCCGTTTCTTCGTCGGATTGACCTTAGGGGGTCTCCCTGCTCCGCGGTCACAGTTGTAGATAACCCCAGTTCTTCCATTGGGGGTCTTCCAAGAGGTCTTGACTGAAAAGGCATAGCCTCGAGGCGCTGCCCAAGCATTGATTGCGGCGAATAGTTCCTCCCGTGAGCTATACTGGCCTTCAGGAGGCATAGCATCATCAGGGAAGGCAGTGGGAACGCCAATTGGGTTCATCATAGCTGAAAGAAGGCGCGGCAAGTTAAATTGATGTCACAGAAGCTGTTGATCGTTGAATTGGGGCCCCAAATTGCACCAATTTGCAGTATGTTACCCCTTTTTGGGCTTACATAACGAATCTTATTTGCACAGCCGGCTGTGCGCAAAAGTCACGTGATATTAAACGCACAGCCGGCTGTGCGTGTATGAGACCCCGCATGCAGCGAATCACCAAGACCACACAACACCATCGGCATCATCCTGGACCAAAACAGCATTAAAAAAAAATCGGAAAAAAATGCAAAAAGAAATGCTGATAGGCGTATGAGAGCGATGCTCCCGACAGGGCTTGAACTTGAGATATAACCCGAGTTTAACAAGTTCGCCCGTAAAGGGAGACCTCTCCTTGCCTACCTAGGGTATAGTATAACATATGGCAAAAAATAAGGCAAGGTCTCTAAAAAAAAATATAAGATACCTATACAAGGGAATCTTGTATACACCTGCTTCCGCCTGGGCTTGAACCAGAGGCCTTCGCATTACAGAACACTCGGATGAAGTATTAGTACGACGCTCTAACCAACTGAGCTACGGAAGCCAATCAACTGTTGAGAACCGACGACGTTGCCAGGGACTGAGAGCTCCGAGGACACCGAACGACACGACATCGCTCTCAGATCTGAGCTCTATCTCACGCCGACTTTTCATAGGGATTTCTGATCCTAGGGTGGAGTCGAGATCTGGTTTGATAATGACGCTGGAGTGATTTCTCCTGACCATCCTAACCTCTGTGTTACGCTGATAGACCCAAATCGAAACCACAGTCAATATTTGGTCGACTTCGACTGCACAACACTATTCAGTGAAGAGTGCTCAAGTTCGAGATTTTACACATGTCAAATGCCGGTGCTCGTCAGTGCCTGGAACAGAAGCTGGTCTAATGGCATCCTGGGGTCATACCCCGAGGTCTACCCCGCTACTCACTGCTCGAACCTCGTACAATAGATATCATGCAGAATGAAAATGCAACTCGTTTCACTTCATTCATTCTAATCCTTCTATCTCCACATATTGCACTTATCCCGTTGCTTCCCTGCACGAGCAAGCATCCTGATGTGGCCCTTCGTCCAACCCCTAGATCGAATCCATGATAGATCCTCAGAAGTTTCTGCAAATGCATGATCACCAATACCAGAGAGTAGGTCAATAAAGTACGCCGCCGTATTTTCGTACCCAGGAAACTCCACCTGTCCCGGCCTAACCTCCACAAAATCCTGATCGTAATCGTAAAAGACCGGATTACAGTCTTTGCCTTTCTCTGAGGACCAGACAGCGCCATGATCAATAAGCCAGACCTCGAGGTACATGGATTTAAAAGCCCGATGATCATGGGCCAAAGTAAACATGGCATCTGCAATAAAGCCTCTGGCCGAAGATTCAGTGATCAAGTCGGATATTTTTTGAGGAAAATCGAGGTTCCAACTCGGGTCAAACTCGAGGGCCATGTTCTTGATCGGGACGTGGCCAGATAGGAAGGTCGTAAATGGCATGTCGATGAAAAATTCTGACCACTGTAGCTAACTTCGAGCGAATTGCCAGTCTTTGCTCTTGAAACAAAACATGTCCATGATTGGCTGGACTATAAGTTCCCAGCCCTCATGCCCTCGTTGAGCCATCGTCTTGGCTGGGTAGCCGAAGTGTCTTCCTTGACTTAGCTCGCCCTTCAATAGAAAAAGGTCAAGGGCATGCGTTAGTTCGCCCTGACGCCGACTCATCTCCTACTTGTGCATTCGGAAGTGCTTCATCATGACGTCCCTCGACTCGACGCATGCCGTCTAAAGTCCCGCGTCCCAAAGGTAGACGGATTTGTTGTTATTGGTGGGGACGGTGGCGGTGTGCTGAGGCCGCCATGCTGAGTGAGGGTGCTGCAGTCCAAAGTCTTCCTGGTTGTCGTCTTCTTGCTTTATGATGGTAAAGTGGTGTAAGCCATGTTTCTCGTTGGTTGGACGGATTGCCAGTTCCCAAATATCCAGCCGAAGCTCTGGTGGGAGCATCGGGAATGAGTGAAACGTGGATGGCGCCATGTTGATAATGTAGTATAAAAGATTGCTGGTAATGAATTAATGAGGTTGAAGCGAGATGTCTCACAGGAAATATTTGAACTGGTGGATTTGTAAAAGGTTGCGTTCGGATGGGGGGAGGGCATCTATTTTATATCTAACAGTTCGTGTTGAGGTTCTCACATGACAAGGTATCTGACTTTGACCATCATGCAAGAGCAAACCTAGGCAGCATTGAAGTCCTCACAAGTGGCAATATCACAGTCCGTAATGGAAGGACTCCCAAGTTGGACTGGAGTCAGGGGTGCAGGGAGTGAAGTAGAGGAAATAAAATCTTGAAAATGACAATGAAATCGAGGATAAGCTAGAACGTGACTGAAAAGTTTTAATTATCTTTAGTTTTTACAAAAACATGACTAGAACCCAGCGAGAAGGCTTTATCGAGATTGTTTCAAGGTTTATCAAAGCCACGTGCCTTTTTTGCACATGAGTTTGCCAAGAAGCCGGCTCTGGTATGAGGCCTAACGGGACTCTGGAGCTGAGTCTTTTTCCTCCTCCTCCTTTTTCGCCCATGGTACCGGCTCTGGGAAGGACATTAGCCATGGTAACAAGAATTTAGCTGTGTACACATACTGGAAGTAAAGTCGTAATAAAGCCTGTCCGGGTCATATTGAGGCATCTGCTTCCATGTCAGCTTTCATTCTTTTGCCATCCTGTTGAAAGGCTACAGGGGGTCACTCACTGGGCAATCATTCAAGCGTCCAGGGTCCTAAACCCAAAGCAACATGGGGTCTGTGATGCACACACATTCTCCCTTCTTGTTCATTTCCCTCTGACGGCTACGACATTTGCATGTGGACATGCCCTTGATCCATTCGGTGTCGGGATTGAGGCAGTCACACCGCTTCTTTCTGGCGTTCATTTGGCGCCCTTGCCTTTGTAGTGATAGTTGAGCCTCTCCTCGTCCCACTAGGCATCTTCGCCGCAGTCGCTGGGGAGACTGAATGGCTCGAGTTTGTCCTTTCTGTTCTTCTTGTGACATGGGCTGGCGAGGGTCATGGTTGCACTTGTTAGGGCAAGAATTGCCGGAAGAAGAGTTTGAAAATGCATAATGTGTGATTTATCGAGTTCTGAGTCGTAAAGATATGGAAATGATGTGGGAGGGCGTGGAGGTGAGGTATCTTGACGGCACGTTAGGGATGGGCCGGTCAAGCAAAAGCTGAGGAGGCTCGCTTCGGGGGGGGGGGGCCTCGCACTAAATGCTACAGGGAACTCGTGCTACAAAGTACTTATCGGTAACTAACACTTCTAGAAACTCTAGTTCGGCTTAATATCTGATAAGGTTGGTTGGGGTCAGCCTGTGATGGCAGAGAAGGGATTTAGCTTTAGTGAACTTTGTAGTGAGCATGACTGCAAATGCCGGAACTATGTCCACGCCCCCGGAACAGCGTGAAAAATCACCCGTTGCGCTCTGGATCACATGTAATATCATTGATACTATATTTTTTAATGCTTTTTTGTTTAAAACGGGTCATGAAAGTCAGCAACATTTTACGTCGATTGAGAGACTTGGTTGCAATTCCAACATAGTGTCACGGACTCCCAACGATAATGTTTGCAGCCGTCCTATCGTTTGATAGAACGGTCTTGACGAGTACCATGTCAGATCAACTCGATAGACGTTCAATTTAGCTCATGTTTACCTTTGCCGCCAACAGGGCCGTCCTGGCCAACGGCCTCCACTGATATTACTTTGCGTCTTGGCTACTCATGTCGAGGCTAGGGCGCACGCTTCCCTTGCAGCACAAACACCTTGTGTTTGGAAATTTATTTCCATTGTAATTTACCCATCATGTGAAATTGTTAGTCTTGTTTTCTCTTCTTCTCGGTGATTACCAGAATTAGTATAAATTCTGTCCCAGAATGCTCGCCGGCAGCCTCTTCGAAGCACCGCCTCCCTTCCCCCCAATTCGGCAAGATACTGCCCAATACATTGGTAAGGCAGAAGACACATTGGAGCTTATCAATCGAACCATCGTGGGCTGTCGGATCTCTCTCAACTGAGAATGGGGCTTAGCGATGCACGTCGAGATTGCTGCGCCTCTCCGGCAAGGGTCTGCTGATTAGGCAATGAAAGAGCCTCGACCTGTTAGGAAATATTGGTAACAGTATCAAAATGCCTAGCGCATCATTTTGCCCGATTGAACAGGCTTTGATCCTGGTCATGATACTCACCGCGAGGCCTCTGCCTTCACCCAACACGATACCAAGTGATAGTTTAGGGCCCAGCGGTAGATAAAAACCGAGATATTCACCCACTGAAGATATCATCAAACTCATCACTATCTCAATTCTGGACTAGACCCGCCATGTGCATCACTCAAATCTTGCTTATCATCGCCAATGGCCTCCCTTTGGTCGTTGCGCAAACCCCAGCCACCCCGATGCGCCCCTCAGGGCCCATTTCGCCCTACCAAACCCCATGCCAACGGGTGTTGTCATCTGTCGTAGCCAAGATGACCGGCGCACCCGCGCCAGACGTGGCAATCTCTGAACTCGCCGTCTCCTTTGCAATCGGGGAGTACCACAACACCCAGGACCCTTGCCAACTCCCCGTTGTCACTGGCTCTGCAGCTGAGGTCTTCTCAGAGTGGGCGTCAAGTTGGACGAGCTGGCAGAGCAAGAATATCCCAGGGTACAGGGAGATTTGGACTGCATGCAGCAAGGAGAACCTGGTTGGAGATATTGTGCCTGTTGGAACGAATGTGTGCAGCAAGCTTGCTGCGGCAATCACCCAAGATGATGACAAGGACAAGGACAAGGACAAGACTGAAACCACGAGCAAGACTGCTGGAGGGAGCGAAGAAACCAGCACACAGGCCGAGGAAACCAGTAAAAGAACTGGCGCACAGAGCGTGGCGACCACTACAGAGGGCGACTCTCCAGGCTCTCGACAAACGGGCTCTCTTGGTATGGTCGGCGTGGTGGCAGGTATGGTCGTTGCGGGGCTGTATTAGAGGTTTCGGTCTCAATAACACATCGCCTCTCCATCCTAAGTGTGAAGGTCATTCTCCTGCTTCATAATAGGGAATATACGACCGTGACTTATTTTCCATGAACCAACACATAAGACAAGTTGTCCCAAGTCTGCACACCAGGCTTAACTCGTGGAAATTTTGTCAACTCAGATGAGCCTTCGGATCAAGTGTACTCCATTATCTGCAAAGGATGATAAACCCCGGGTCATTCAAAAGATACATTCTTAACCCTAGCTAACAAGCCACCGCCCTCTACCATTTCCAAGTCAATGCGTATCTCCATCGCGATCTTCCGCAAAACACTCTAAACACCCTTCTTTACTCGCAGGTAGACAACCTCTGGCTTTCCCACTCCGGGACTACGGCGCTCAATCACAAACATGTCTGTGGCAGCGATGAGTTCATTGAGTTTAGCAAACCCATATGTGCGATAGTCAAAGCTGGGATGCCGCTTTGTGACAAGATTGCCGACATCGGCGAGGCGAGCCCATTCTTCTTCGGCCGTTATCGCCTCTACAGCCTCTCGTAGTATCTTCTTGACTTGTTCGTTGACACTGGCTCGTGTTGCTTCTTTCGGTGCTTCCGTCGTTGTCGTTGGTCCCGTCGTTGTCGTTGGTTCTGTTGCTGTTGTTGTTGGTTCGGTTATTGTTGTTGGTGTGAGGTTCTCAATGTAGATGAACTTGTCGCAAGCCCTGACAAGTGAGTTGGGAGTCTTTCTTTCCCCAAAGCCGTACACGACCAGGCCAGACTCGCGAATTCGGGAGGCCAGCCGAGTAAAGTCGCTGTCGCTCGAGACGAGACAGAAACCATCAAATTTGTTGGAATACAAAAGATCCATGGCGTCGATGATCATGGCTGAGTCGGTTGAATTCTTGCCCTTGGTGTAGGAAAACTGCTGTATTGGCTGGATTGAGTTATCGAGCAGATGGTCCTTCCAACTGTTAAGGCCTGGGCCAGTCCAGTCGCCATAGGCTCTCTTGACAAAGGCAATGCCATACTTGGCGACCTCTGCGAGCACCTGGCCGGCCACTCTGGGTGTCACGTTGTCTGAGTCTATGAGGACAGCAAGTTTGGCCGTTCCGTCGGTAGTCATGGTAATGGTGGGATATGGGGCAACTATTGAGGCGATAGTTTAGCTTCTGAGAGAGGGCTAGTTGCAGTCAACAACTTGTAGGTTGAAAGCAGCAAGGTGTGTACCTTGCAATGCTATTCCATGCCCCAGGAGCGGGGTAACTAAACAGTCCACGGATGACTAAGGTAGTCCTACAGCCGCAATGTCCAGACTCAGCCTATGAACTGGGGCTTTTCAACCCCTGTCGAAGCTGACACTTTCTCGTTGGCTACATACCAGCCACAATCGGGCAGAGAAGCCCAAAGCAAAATCCAGCTCATTACTACTCAACCAAAGTCTGGGCATAGAAAGCGTCTCTTGTTGTCTCCGCCAGTCCTTCGTGATGTTGTATCTGTGATGGGAGGTCGAAATGACCGGCTTATAACCGCTGGCTAACGAGTGGTTAGTGTGGTCTGGTTTATCCTTCGAGCCGGAGGTTTAAGCATTCATGCCGGCCCTGCGACAGCTCTAGTTCCGCCTGCCCATGCAAGGCTTTCTGACAACAGGTGCTCCGGTGAAGTGGACAGGATGAAGTAGGGTCTGGGGAAAAGTGGAGAGGGCTGGGACAAAGAGGCAGCGTTTTTGACCCGGCTGAGAAACATACCTAGCGTCCGGGAACATAATCGACAAATATGATGGGTCAAGGGTCATGAACTAACATGAATACTCTGCCAAAGACAGAGTATCGTGGAATAGTCTAACCGATTTCTCTGACGTCAGAACTCGCCGGTTAACCCTCCGGTCAGACCCACTTGCTCGGACATCCACACCGGCCATCGTTAGCTTGCAGATAGGACTAGGCATGATCAGGCAAGTCGAGCCGCGGCTCCTATCCAAGATGGGCTTGTATTGTGGTGCCGATAAACGATACTTCATAGGATAGGTAGGTACTTATCGCTACTAAAGTCGCCCACTTGGAGAGAGCATCTGGTCTTCCCATTTGCAGCCTCGCTGATTGTCACCAACCACACGAAACATCTGTTGAAATGTCCGAATCAAGTCTGCAACTGGATCTTACAGCGCCCAATGGCCGGCAGATATCTCTCAATCGAGGGCTGTTTATTGACAACAAGTTTGTCTCGTCAACTGGAGGCGAGAGTTTGAGCCCTATCGATCCCACGTAAGTAACCAAGCGAGCACGGAAACGTGGGCATGAAATTATCTGTAAATTAACGGAAAATAGTACTGAAGTAGAAATCTGTCAAGTTGATGCGGCAAACGAGGACGATATCGATCGCGCTGTCAAAGCAGCTCAGCGAGCCCTTAATAACCCGTCATGGCGCGACATCTCGGGCACCGAGAGAGGATCGATGATGACAAGGCTTGCAGACCTCATGGAACAGAACCTCTTGGCTCTAGCGACCCTAGAGTCTTGGAACGCCGGCAAACCATACACTTCGGTCCTCAACTTCGAACTTCCTGCTGCCATCGGTTGCATCCGTTACTATGCCGGCTGGGCGGACAAGCTTCATGGCCAGACGATCCCGACGCATTCCAAAAAGTTTGCCTATACTGTCAAGCAACCTATTGGAGTCTGTGGCCAGATAATTCCCTGGAACTATCCCGTGTTGATGGCGGCGTGGAAGCTGGGTCCGGCTCTTGCGACGGGAAACACGATTGTGTTGAAGCCAGCCGAGCAAACGCCTCTTTCTATGCTGTACGTGGCAGACCTGGTTGTTCGCGCTGGATTCCCGCCTGGCGTTCTTAATATTGTCAACGGCTATGGAAGGACTGCCGGTCATGCCCTTGTGTCTCATCCCAGAGTGGCCAAGATTGCATTCACTGGATCGACAATCACAGGTCGACTCATCCAACAGACAGCAGGAGCTACGTTGAAAAAGGTCACACTTGAAACCGGCGGCAAGTCACCTCTTCTCGTGTTCAACGACGCCGACATTGAGCAAGCAGCAAAGTGGGCGCACTGTGGAATCATGAGCAACCAAGGGCAAATCTGCACAGCAAACTCCAGACTGTTGGTTCAGTCGGGAGTATACAAGCAGTTTATCAAGAGGTTCGTTGAACTTGTCGAGGCTCATAAGGTTGGAAATCCTTTTCATGACGACACTTTTCAGGGCCCCCAGATCACCAAGTCACACCTAGAAAAGATTCTGTCTTATGCCAAAGGTGCTGTTGAGGAGGGTGCCAGGCTGGAGACTGGAGGAGATAAATGGGGAGAGAAGGGATTTTTCATGCAGCCCACCGTCTTCTCCGACGTCTCTCCAAGCATGAAGATCTTCCGTGAGGAAATTTTCGGGCCTGTAGTGGCCATTTCATCGTTTGACGAGGAAGAGGAAGCCATCAGTATGGCCAATGACAGTGAGTTTGGCCTGGCGGCGTCTGTCTTTACTCGAGACATGCAGCGGTCACATAGGGTCTCGACGCGGCTCGACGCCGGTATGGTGTGGGTGAATTCGTCTACGGACTCGGACTTTCGGGTTCCGTTTGGGGGGATGAAGCAGAGCGGGGTTGGGAGGGAACTAGGTGAAGCTGGTCTAGAGGGGTACATGCAGGTCAAGTCGGTTCATGTCAATGTGGGTTTAGAATTGTGAGATAGGGCAAGGTGCAAGACGTGAAGGGCTTGTTTCTTGACAGGGGCGAATCTTTCAATATAGATGCCATAGACAGAAGAAAAAATTGTAAACCAAGAATTTCACGCAGCATGTATGATAAATCAAGTGTTCATGTCCCACGATTTGGGGCAGGTCAACTTCGCAATGGGGCCCGGGACTTGGCCGTGTCCACATGCCGAGCTCCCCGGACCAAAAGATAAGCGTGCCAAAAGAAGAAAAGCGGCTGGCGATGGATTGCGGGGAAACAAGCATCCTAGCCTCAGCGAGCATCTCCCTTATCTCTGCAAACTCAAGAAAAAGAGCAACTGAAAGAAAGCTCGTTATCATTATCATCTCTCCAACACACACTTACCATGCCTCCTGTCGGATCCCGCCGCGCTTGTGACCGCTGTCATTCGCTCAAGGAGCGATGCCACTGGCGACAAGACCAGGGTTCATGTGCTCGCTGCCATCGTCTTGGCTTTGAGTGCCTGGTCGATCGACCCGCCCGCAAACCTGGCCGCCCACGTCGTTATGCCACATCACTAACGAGGGCACCTCTCCCTGGCGACTCCTCACCAAACCAGGCAAAATGCCTGGGATCCGTCTATTCCACCTTGGGTCCCATGATCCCTCGGTGTCTCCCTCTGCTCAACGACCTTACATACTCGGATCAACGCCTCCTCCAGGACATTCTGTTTGGTGATGCCGCATTGAACGTTTTCCTGATAGGCCCAACTTTTAAAGAACGACACCGTGGACTTCTCATCTCCCACTTTGTTGTGTCGCGACACACATTGGAGGATGCCTTTCTTGCCTTGGCTCTCGCCTTCAGCCACGACGCGGCATTAGCTCAACGCAACACTGAAGTACAGTACAAGCACGCGTCCTCGGCTATCAGGCATTTGCGCGAGTACAAGGTCCGCAATAGCCATGGCGTCTCCGAGTGTCTAGCACTAGGCGCCCTCATCATATCATTTACTCACTACCGCTCGTCATCACCGGATTCGTCACCAATATGCAGGCAGACCCTCAGCTTGATTAAGGACATGTACGAGTCAGACGAGGACCTGGAACCGGATGACCTGGTCTTTGTTCCGTGTCTCATATTGCCCGAGATAATCGACTGTATGATGCAAGGATCGGTGCCCACATTGAGGTTCCGCTGTCGGCCTGGAGCCGAAGACTACGTCGACCGATATACCGGTCTCTTCTGTCCGATGCTTCCGAGCTTGTACGACATTTGTGAGCTCAATAATGCTCTCTCACATGCAGACCATCAAGATTTGCACGACATATTGGAAGCTATTGATCGCATCGAGCTGACGGTGACGGCCTGGCAACCACACATCCCAGAGGGCTTTGCTACCCGCTTCACGACAAATGAGGTCTCTCACATGCTCTGTCAGGCCCAGGTGGTCAGGCTCGGAGCCCTTCTTCTCCTCCATCGACTACGATATCCTTTTGGCACAAACAATGGCCCAGCACTAGCCCTTGCCACGGCCATCCTCACACAACTCGACCTGACACGAGCCGCAACCAACCACAGCATCTTATCCATTGCACTGCCACTATTGGCGGCATGTTTTGAGATCAAAGAGGAAACGGACAGGAATATGTGGCTCTCAAAGATACCGGGCCTGGTGGGCTATTCTCTAGACTTTTCGCAGTATCTGCAGGCCCGTGTATCAAAGTTTTGGGAACTTGTGGATGATGTGCAGGTTGTATCTTGGTATAATATTAGGGACATGCTTCAGCTGTATAATTGAAACATGACACACTTGCAACTAGTAATGTTGTCTCTCAATTCAGGACATTGTCGACGACGGACGAAATGGCGATACATTCCTCGTCCCGCATTGAGCTCGTGAAGACTTGAATGGAACACGGCGCTCCCTCAGTCAATTCAGCATCATCTGTTCTCATTAGCACCATACAAACTTTCTGAAAGAAGGGACGCACAAGGGGGGGCTGCTTGATCAGGGTTTAGTCTAAAGACTTCGCCAGGGACAGGCTTTGCGCTCTCAAATGGAATCACGCAGGCTGGATACTACAAAGTGTCAGTACAGGAAATAGCTTCAAAAATTCAGTCATGACTCACGTTCAATACGTTGAGGAAACAAGTATATGGCGGGACCCCGTATAGATCATGCTGCACCGCCGTATTCTGGGCAGACGGTCCAATAACAGCGTCGAGACGGTGGCTTTGCCAGATCCTCCGCCAGGCTTCAACGGCTGCGGCCTTCTTGATGTTGAGTGTCGCCAGCTTGTCCAAGTCGTCAAGTCCAGTCAGATCTGGTACGTAATCTGACTTCAGTCTCTTCAATTCGTCAACGATTCTCTGTCTGGATGGGATGCACGGCTCTCCTGCGTCGGTTACGATACGACTGGCTGTTTTGTCCAGTGCAAAGGTGCCCCAGGCGACATCGTTGATACCGTCAATGAGGCACTCTTTGGGGTCCAAGTCGACGAGGATATGTCCTTCAGCCCGTAACTTGGCGACAGCTTGCGAGATGGCATTTCTGACAGGTGGGTGTAGAGGATAAGATGGGTCTTCTGGGAGAACCCCCAGCCTTAGCTTCTTTCCTGAAAAAGCAGGAATGTTTCTCCAGGGAACATCCATTGCCGTTGAGTCAAGATCAGCTGGTCGACTGTCTACAACAGCCTTGGTGAAGATGCCGAGGCTCTGCATGTCGTTGGCCAAGGGACCAGCGCAGGCGAGGATGAACTTGAGGCCGGGATTGCTGCAGCCCCTTTGGCCACCATATGGGATACGTCCCGCTGTTGGTTTAAAGCCGTAGGTTCCACAGCAAAGGGAGGGTATTCGGATAGATCCTATGTCATGTGTAAGACCCTGGTGAGCTCAAGAATGGCAATTCTTAGAAACATACCTGCAATGTCTGTCCCAACTCCGATGGGCGACCCTCGAAATGCAACCAACGCGCCTTCGCCACCGGATGAGCCGCCTGCTCCAAGAGCCGTGTTTCTCGGATTCAAAGTACGGCCAAACACGTTATTGTGCGAATCCGCCGTCTGAAGAATGTCATAAATATTAGTCCTCTGCTCTACACACGCCTGATCATCACTTACCATCATGGTCTGTGGGACATTGGTCTTGACGAACGGGACTGCACCCAGGGAGAGCAAAATCTCGACAAGGGGAGAATTGGTCTTGGAAAACTCATCGAGGTATGCAACCAGGCCGATCGTGGCTTGGGTACCAACAATATGGAAGGTATCTTTAAGACTGACGGGCAGACCGTGAAGAGGACCGGCAAGTTTACCGTCTTGTCGCAGCTCGTCGAGCTGCTGAGCGCGTGATTTAGCTTGATCGAAAAATGTTTCAGTGAGGCAATTGGTCTATCACAGTAAGCACATTACACATTACTGAGTGTCTTGAATAGACGAGCGCACCAATTGCTGAGCAATGGCTGCTCTCTTTGAAAACGCAGTGACTACCTGCGTAGCTGTAAAGGAGCCATCAGCCAGCTTTGCCAGCAAGCTGCTAACATTGTAGTTCTCGGTGATATCAAGCTCCAAATCATTAAGGATACCAGAGCGACGGGGGATATCGAGCGAGATGAGGTCATTTTTGCTCGTCTCTAGCGGTGTCTTGACAGTATCCAGGACGCTAGAGGGGAGGCGCCAGGGCTTTGGTATGGCGTCGGCACAGCGGGCACGCTTCTCTGCGGCTCGAGCCTCCCAGGGAGCAGATGGAAGCTGTGGGGGGTCGATAGTCATGGCTGTAGTTGGGTTGAGATGCTGAGTTGATTGAATTGCAGTGTGTTTATCGAGGGAAGCTTTCAATAACCAAGAATGGATAGGATTCACAGTATTTATTCATGGTGATGCTGCCAAGTATGGGCCTTCTTAAATTGAGGAATTACGCCGGCGGCAGACAACGGTAGATGAGCCGGCGAATTCTCTCGTAGCGTCAAGAGGACCGGCCAATTTTTCTGGTGGATGGCTGGCTGAGTCGACCTGAAATCGGCCGGCTCTGCGGGGTCAGGGTTGCATTTGGGATGAGCCAAGATCTCTCTCATGTCCGATTAGCTAGTGTCACTTGCTTTCAAGGCGGGGAAGAACTGAAGGTGGTTGATTTGATCCACTTGCCTCGGCCATTAGAGACGATTGCGAATCTGTAGCATGGGGTGCTGAGTACTAACAGCAATTCAAGGCAAGTACGTTTATTCCTAAGCATCGGCCACTAGCTCGTCAAGCTGCTAGTACTCCTTATTCGCCTTCAATCCTTTAAGGGTAGATTTATATCATGAATTCTGTCATTGACTGTAGAATATGGCACACAAGGAGACAGCAGTAACAGTCAAGTCTAAGAACACTTAACAAGCGCTCACAAATTCGACGACTCATCAGTAAACAAGCTCATCATTCCGTCAGCAGCAGCATCCAATGTGCATCCCTTCAATCTCTCCTCACTGACGAGGAACGATTCCGGTAGCCAACACGGCACGTCCTCGCCGAGTGCCATCTTTGCCACTGCTTGCCCACTCAACCAACACTTGTCCATGCCGTGGCCGTTGAAACCTGCAGCAATCCACTCATCGCTGCCTGTCCTCCCAGTTGTTTTGCGGCTCAGGTTTCCTATCATAGGCAGATTATCCGCAGTAAACCCCATGATTCCAGACCACACCTTCTTCGTCTTGGCATCATCCGCGTCGAGGAAGATCTTCGGGACGATCGATGAAATATGGTCTCTAGCTGAAGCTGCGACTTGGGAATCATCGCTCGTTAGGAGGTTTTCAATCTCTTGACTCTCCCCTCCAATAACAATCTCGCCAGTCTTTGCGTTCTGTTGGGCATAATAAAGGCCAGTGGTGAAGCGTCTAGTTTTGGGATCGTACCCGCCGCTGTGAATCTTGGTCCACGAATACTTGTCGCCGAGCCTGGGGAATGAGAGTCCCGGGTCTTGGACCGAAACCGTTCCTCTCAGAGGATAAAGGCTTCCGGTCAGGCTCGGCAACAAATGGGAAGAATATCCGTTGGTGCAATGAATTACCTTGCGTGCTCTAATGGCGCCTCTTGGTGTCTGTAGCACATACTCAGGCTCATTTTGAGATACATTCTCGTCACAAGATATCGAAACAACGGGGGTGTTGGTCTCCAAGCTGAAGCGACTTCCATGAGTATCCAGCAGATGTTTCTGAAGAATTGTGATGAGCCGGTAGGGCCATAGAGCACCGGCTCCCTCTTGCTCAAAAACAACAAGCCCATCGCGGTACTTGTACTTTTTCTAAGCACAGATTCCATTAGCTTCCATTGCCACTGCCTAACATGTTTCCAGCCAGATCACTTACACGGATGGTCTCTCTATCTTCCACAACTCTATACCCCAGTGTCGTTTTATTGACTGCCTCCTGCAACAGACTCAAAGAACGTCTCAGGCTGTCCACGATAGGCTTGTCGGCGATAGTACTGCTGGCGATGACTTGACGGAATTCCACGGCTTCCTTTTCTGGCTCACTCAGATGATCGATCAAAGCCTTGAGCTCTTTAATGTTGTCCTCGGAGAATCGCAGAATTTTGACGGCCTCTTCAGGGCCCAAAGAAGCAACTAGGTGCTCGAAATGGCCACAGGTGTCCGAGATGAGATGGCCGCCATTACGACCCGTAGCCCCGCTGCAAGCATTCCGAGCCTCCAAGATGGTCACTCGCAGGTTGAAAGCTCGGGGGTGGTTGAGCAAGGTGTGAGCAACACTTGTACCGGTAATGCCAGAACCGATGATGGCGATGTCTGTTACAGGCGGAAGCGTCTCGGACTGAATAGTAGCGATTGAGGCAGCCGGCTCTTGCCAAGCAGATGAGGTCGGATGAGCCGAAGGTAAGTCAGCCGTGAGACACAGTCGGTCTTTGATCTGCTGCTTGAGCGCTATTGAACAAGATGTTAGTGTTGGCCTTGAAGCCGTAGGGCCGGCTGTGGACTCCGAGACATACATGTCGAGGCCATGTTACGCGCAAGTGTGAGGGGGAAAAGGTGGTCAGTATCGGTTGTAAGATGCTAGATCCGAGATGAGTAGCATAAACAAGTAAATGAATGTGATATAGATACTGCAGTTGTTCTCTTGACTGATGCCCCGCCTCCGCAAAGAAAATCCCCCGCCGGCTGGTTCGTTCTACATGCATGATTCGGCCGGTGACGATCCAACTAGACCATTTGAGGCCATAAGATTGCATGTCTGCCTGGCTGATCCATGACCAGCGGGCTCCCTTGGCAGTGACTCTGTTTGGCATGATGATCATAGTGCCAGCGAACCAGGTTATCCCGATTATGGTGATACCTGGGTTCAGCTCAAGGGAGCTCGGAATTGGGTTGACCAATCAGTGGCTGAAGAAGTGGCCGGTCCCACAACACGGGGCAACGGAGAGACGGCCAGCCAGGTGGGTCCTGCAACGTGCAGCCCCTCCGTACGCGGCCCCACTTCTTCCGCACTTCCCGCGTACGTTAGTGTAGGGTAGCTGATTTCTCAGTACGGCCTGGAGCATCATTAACGTTGAACGAGTTTGGTCAAAGTAACGGGTGGTTTCGATTATTGAATTTGGAGTGGGCCCAAAACTATAAGAAACCTACTTATTGATTCCCTCTTCCGCATCCAAGTTCTCCATATCAGAAATGAGGTCACGCCTGTGGCACATCTTCAGATATAGTGAGGCAACACAAACGGTCTAGGATATGAACTAAAGATACTAAAAGGCGCAGAATTAAGTGCCTTGTCGGCGAACAAAGGCTAAAATATCTTCCAGCAGTTTTTCCGAATGTGACAAGACAAGCACTGGATTTGTAAGCAAAGTACCCCTTGAGACCAGGTCTGAGATACTCACCATGCCCGCCGCCATCGTAGACAGTCAATCTTGCATCCGGTATGAGTTTCTGGATTCGATGTGCACTCGCAGCCAGGGGGACTCCTCCGTCAGCCCCTCCATGAATCAGCAACAGCTCACCCGATTTGACCTTGCCGAACTCGGCCAGCTCTCGCGAGAGGTCTTCAGAAGTAAATATTTGGGCCGCTCGCTCGATGGCTAGAGCATCTGCGGCGTCAAACATCCGTTCAAACATCTCGATATCCTTGTCTGAAACCTCGCCGGCCGCTCCGACTCCCAGTGGACCGCGGAAATTGCTCGAAACGAACTGGGATCGGTGAGTCCTAAGTGAGCCGAGAACATGATCCCATAGCGCTCTAGGTGGAGCATCTGGAAAGCTCGGTGACGCAACAGGAAGAGGGAGGGAAGTGCTGATCCAGATGTAGCCCTGCTAATGTTATTGAACAGTCCCGATGTGCAGCCGGTACTAAGGTGCCTGACATACCTTGCAATTATATCTGACATACTCACTGAGGCCATGCGCAAGGACAGTCTCTCCAGTGCCCATACTTGCGGCGATGAAGACGAAAGGCCCCGGCTTGATCTTTTCCAGCAACGCAACGACGTCACAGGCCAGCACACTGTAGTCAATGTCCCCGCTGTGCTCTGGCCCGGACCAGTCACTCTGGCCAAAGCCTCGCCTATCGATCGCGATGCAGCGGAACCGATGGCTTTCACAAAGGCTGACAAGCAACGGGTCATACATCCGAGATGACAGAGGCCATTGATGGAGAAATACTAGAGTCGGCTCTCCGCCTATTTCTGCGCCGTGAGCAACATTGAAGGGAGGAGGGTTCTGTGTTGGAACAAAATCGCGATAGAAGAGCTGGGCCCCATCAAATGGGCTGGTGTACCGTGGCATGTTGATTATCTTGGCAGTTCTTGATGGTAGCAGATGTTTGATGAAACTTGACGACCAACGCGGGGGCATACGATGCTGGGTTATAAAATACTTCGAACACCCGTTAAGTTGCCAAGGCAAGGGACTTAACGGCTGAATATTCAGCCCGAAGGGTAAATACCGTCTACCTGCTATTAAACTCTTCTGGGAGGCCCCCTTTCGACTGTGGCGATAACCAGCTATCAGAACCACTTCAAACCTGTAGTAAGGGAGTTGACTGATAGACATAGGGGTCCCTCTACCACTTCCTTCCAGGCCCAATCAACTATATTCTGTATATCGAGTTCCCCCTTCCCTGTAGCTTATAGGAAAACGTCGTTTAGTCAATGTACCGTGGTGGATATGGCGGATCGATCAGCAGCTGAGCCTGACGGCGTTGTTGGTCAGCAAGGCGCATCTTCATCCCTGCTTTGTAGTTAGCCATAATCGCAGTACGTAGGAAACGCAGGCGTATAAACCTTCCGTGGGCGTGTGGTTATAGAGGCTGTGACGATCGAAAGGCGCCTCAAGCAGTAGGCCTTTCAGCGAGGTAACTCGTGAGACAGCAACATAACTAATACCGGCCTGGAAGTCGCGTGTAGCGAGGTCAGTAACTATCTGATCCTTCGTTAGACTCTGGCATTTGTGAACAGTGATAGCAAATGCCACGATCAGGGGAAACTGCTTGCGAGCGCAAGTCTCGTTGCCCACTAGGAAATCACGCGTGACTGGAAGGATGGGTACGATTTTCCTGCCCTCGTTAGTTGTTAGATACGGCGGTCCATCGTAGCTATCGAAATCCACCATAATAACGGCCGGAGGGTCTTCCCATGGTTTGGCGCCTTCATTCCAGGCGATATCGTATATCGTACCCTGGGCGCCATTAACCAGGCCAGCTGGTTGCCACAAATTAGTTGTGAGCATTACCCTGGCACCTCTAGCAACAGCAAACTTGTTGGATAGATTGCCAGCATGGTCGCTTGGCGCCTGCCCCGCGCCTTTGCCCAGGTTCTTTGCCTCCACCTGTATTGCCGGGGCGTTGAGGTGCACTATATGCTCGTAATTGTATTCGTTGACCTGGGCCTTCGTAGAATACACCCGCATAGCGGCCTTGAATCTGTCAACCTCGCTCTGCGTTAGCTTGGCCTGCACCCGACTGCTAAGGAGGTCCCAGGAGGGTATAGATAACTTGACTTCACGCAGTTCTTGCAAGGCCTGGCGGAACCGGGCCTGATCATCACCAGTCTGGCGCTGCACCGTGGTCAGGAAGACGGTGCGGTCAAACAGCCGGTAGGCCACCTGTCCTCTCCTTTCCAACGAAGACAGGCCAGTGCTGGCGGTTGAATACAGCGGCTTTTGTCGGACGGGTGGTAGCTGGAAGAAATCGCCCACAAGCAAGACGCTCACACCACCAAAGAACTCGAGGCTACGCTGTGGAAAGGCCTGTCGCAGGCGAGAATCAATTCGCCCGAGCTGCTCAAGTCCTAGCATGCTCTTTTCATCGATGACGAGGTACCTGACGTGCCGTAGGCGGGACTGAAGGGCAGCAGCGTCAGCTGGGCGAAGCTCGGTAAAGGCACCGCCTACTGGGAGACGGAGCAGCGAATGTATGGTGCTGCCCTGTATCTGGTTACTCGCAACGCCTGTTGGCGCTACGCGGCAAATAGGACTAGGATTGGGCAGGGCAGCCGCCTGAAGGTGGGAGGAAAGCACCTTGATAAGGAAGGACTTGCCCGTGCCACCGCCGCCGTCAACGTGGAGAAGGATTTGAGTAGGATTTTGCGCCTGGAAGTGACCCATGAAGGTATCGTACACTAACCGCTGTTGCGGGTTGAGCTGATCACGCCAGTGAGGGCCAAGGACCTCCACATCGTTGGCTATAGGGTTGCTAGCGATGAGGTCTTTCCAGTAGCTGTCTCGAAACTCTGAATAAGTGCCCACATGCCGTGTCCAGTCGTAATTGACATCGATATCGCGGCGGCCAAGTAGGTCAAGACCTTCCTGGGTAAGGGGGTTGTCAGGTAAAAGGGCGGCGAGACGGATCCAGTCTTCGTCATCAAATTCCTCCTCCACTGGCAGAGCCTCGTACTGATCCTCTTGAGGTTGTAATCGAACCTCTTTTGGCCGGCCGTAATGGTCATCACCATGACTGTGGTGCTGCCAATAATAGGAGAAGGCCTGAGCGTGAGAATTAAAACGATGGCCGTCAAACATGAGGAGCTCATCATGCCGACGATGTGGGTGGTTCAATGCCAGCTTTACGCGGCAGTACTCTGGCCACTGTTGGCCTTCTGGATCAGCCTGATAGCGAGGAAAGTAGACCAATACACGCGGCCTGCCGTTGACGTTGGCTGGCTGCCATTGCTTCCACTTGGAAGGGTCCCTAGAGTGGAAATTCCAGTATTTGAGAAAGGAAACATAGGTCAGGTCCTCTAGGGATTCGGGGCGTTGACAGTACTTTTCGTAGACGTTGGGGGCCTCGTCAACCTCATCGGCGTCAATCCGTAAAGAGCGGGAATGCATGTCAGGATTACGGCAATCAATGTGTAAGCAGGTTCGTGAGCCCTCTTGTAACGGCAGACCGAGGAGCAAGTGGCTAACCTCTTGCTTCGAGTAGTCTCGCTCAGCAACTAGCTGATTTAGGAGCTTTGACGTGAAGGAAATCAGCGGGTTGTGGTCCTTGACCCGGGGCATCAGGGCCTTCCCAATCTGGGCAAAAGACTCACTCTTCTTCTCCGACTTGGAGCAGTATTTAGCTGCGTAATCGATCACCTGCTGCAGGCTCGTGCAGGGTGAGACATCTGTATTGGCTAGCCACGCAACGGCAAGTAAGCGGTTGTAGTGGTTCATCTGGCTATCGTTCCGCTCGCCCCTAAAGCTCCAGTGCTTAGAATGAGGAACCTTTTTAAGGGAGGCTAGCAGGCGCTGCCCGTGAGGAAATCCAAAGCGGCACTCCACCTGCTTGGTATGCTTGCTGAGCTGCATATAGTAGTTGTTGCAGCGATGGCGCTGCACGCGGTTTACCACCATCGACAGGAACTGGACGGTAAGGGGATGTTCCAATAGATTACTGATCAAGGGATTCCCTTCCCCAGGTGCCTGCACCCTCTGAGGCTCTGGGTTGACAGCGGATACGTGATATCCCCAGATTCGGGCAAATCGCTCCCGGGACTGGCTGTCATCGGGATCTAAGTCCGGGTGGCCACTTAGCCAATATAGGCCGTGGTGGTGACTGGAACCCCTGCCCTGCCACTCGTAGCGACCCCAAAAGTCCGTTAGGTTGAACTTCTGCCTCAGGACAATAGTCCTAAAGAGCGTATATCGCTTATGGAAGTGATAAGCGGCAATGTGGGCGTTGTCTCGCAGCAGTTGCCGGGATAGAGCCATTCGCGCCGCCTCAGGAGCTGCTTTCCACTCCTGGAATCGAGGCATATGACGATATAGGGACTCCCAGTGGTAATCAGCCGCACTTGCTGTAACGAAAAGGCCAGGCCTGCCTAGATTGTAGGCACATGCCTCCAATTCCTTCCTTTGCTTATACCAATATGGACGGGTGCCCCTGATTACGGCGGCTTGGCGCGTGATCGACTGGATCAGGGCCTGAGCCTCTGGCTCGTCAGGCTTAGCCATCGCTTCCTCTATGTCAGCGCGCGTAAGGGGTTGACGGCGGCGGCCTTCGTGTTGCTTGACCGAGTAGTTGCTCCGCTTTCTGACCTGCGCACGTAATAGCGTGTTGAGGGCGACAAAAGGCCACGTCTTATGCCGGGCAAAACGTCCGTCTTGCCATCTCATCGCATGGGCAAGGTAGTCCTGGTACGTGACGCTCCGTAGGCGAGGCTCCACGAAGTCCGCCTTGCCGTCGGGGTAGAGGGTGGGGAACGCGAGCGTCAACAGCGGCTGGGAACGGTTGAATTCGTTGATAGGAGTCCTGCGAATGGAAGGTAGTGGCATCTGGTGTTGAGCCTGCGCGTTAGGCGGTATATGCTCAAGATCGGCCATACGCTCAGGGTCAGGGGTACCATGAAGCAATCGGGACTGCAGGGCGTTTAATTCGGTGTCTGTAACCTGCAAATCGGGGATCGCCGATGCATCTGCATCTGCTGGATCCTCTTCTACATCCTCCTCAACGGGACCTTGGGGGGCCTCGCCGTCAGGTATGTCAGCCACTTGGCTAGCAACGGAAGCAACTATGCTGCCGTCAAGAGGAAGCCGTTGCAAGCGATCCTGCCTCACAACGATATCGCGATAGCCCGGGTGGTGGCGCTGTAGGTAATGCAGCCAGGTCAACAGGCATGAGCGGCGTACCCGGAAATCGCGAGCAAACTGCTGCTGGAAGTGAGGGTCGCCCTCCATATTAGGAGGCCGCAGGAGCATGATATCTAGCTCTTCAGGTAGGACCGGGAGCTCTTCAAATAGCCTACCAACATTGCGAAGGAAGTGGACAATATGGCCGCGGTATTTATACTGAGAGCCACGTACCTGTAGGACCTTCACGTGTACGTGAACCCTAGCAATCAGCATCTCCTCAACCATCGTTAGGCTAGGTAGATTACCGGGGACTTCCCCGAAGTCAAGGCTATTCGCAGCGCTAAAGAAGTAGGGCTCGTCAGCGGTTCTCTCCCTATCTCGACTAATGCAGCGGCTGCAGACTCCTAAGCTGTTTTTCTTCATATCGAACTAATGCTCCCGGCAGCGAATGCAACTATGCATCTTGTCGTCATTCAGGGCAGTATAGAACTCCCGCACAAGCGCCCGATCCTCCTCACTAAGGGCAGGCAAATCAAGGTCCCCTGTAAAAGGTGGATCAACTATCTGATCAAACTGTCGTTCTTGAAGCTGTGGCCGTGGCCGTCGGTTCACGATGCCTTGACGTGTATAGCGGCCGCGGCGATGACCCTGTGGCAGTAATGAAGCAGTGGTAGGGAACGATTCCTGTGGCACAGGCGTGCCTAGCATAATAGGAGCCGTTGTGGTCGTGTCACTAGGAATCGGCGTGCCCAGAACTACTCTTGGCGGGCTTAAGGTGGGAGGGATAGGGAGGGCTCCTTCCGCTGCGCTTGAGGTAGATGGGCCCAGCAGAGGTCTAGGCAGTCCCTGGAGGACGGGCGCCAGACCACGGAATACAGCAGGCGTTGCAGGGGGTTGTGAGCTATTGATGGACACGAGCGCTTGCGCGTTTCGCCGTGGAGGCGTCAATTGAGCCTGAGAATCGGTCCTCTTCGTCGTTCTGCGCGGCGATAGCCTCGAGGCGATGTTCCGCATGGCGGCAACGGCGGCTCGGGATTCGGCCACTCGCTCCTTTTGGCGTGCCCTACAGCTACTACACTGTCTCGTAAGCCTCGCAGGGTCCTTGACGCTTCGAAACTCGACCTCGGGCAGGTCTTGCTTGCAAGTATGGCAGTTCCGAACTGCCTGGGGTATATCATTCTCCATCCGGCTGCATATATTGTTATCCGCCTCTTACCCATGCAGACGACCGGGTAGGTACCGCTTGGGCAGCGAGGGTTTGCTTAGATGTACCGTAGCGTGACAGATCTCGATATGGGAGGTTGTCTGTAGGGTGTTTTGATTAGGTTCGAACGATCAGGGAAGGAGGGGACACTTCACCGCTCGACCGGAGGCAGGTGATACGTGAGCCGAGACGTCGTTAGCAACCTCGTAAGGTTTGGTGGATAATAGTTTTGACGGCAAAGGGAAAGCAGACGCCATGTCGGTGCTCCGGCCAGAATCGCGCTTGGAGGCCGGAGTTGATTGAAGGACAACCTTAAAGCTCCTGGAGAGCTTGCCAAAAGCGTTACCTAGTCAACGATCGCGGGCTTTCCCATGTAGTGGCGTCGTTAGCGTTGACAACTGACCAATTCAAGCACGAGTTGAGCATAGACCATGCCAATTAGCCAATCAGAAAAAGTTTTATGCTCTTTTTTTCTGACTGAGTAAAACGCCCTTCGGGCTGAATCAATAATCAACGTCTCCAAGATCTCCGCATCGGGCAATGGACCGGGTGATCGTCAACTCCACGTTCCCCCGCGTTTCGAAAACTCCGTCGGACTTTGAGATGTAGCTCCTTACTTTCTTTCAATGAGGATAGCCGTTACTCTGTGGCAGTAGTATCAGGATGTCAAGGAGGGTGGGCACAGTAGCCGGTGAAGAATAGTTACTGTCGTTCTACTAGGAACCTCGGCATTATGCTACGTTCGGTGTTACCACTATACTCCTCATCAAACGGTGGATTGCAAGTTATTTAATAGCCTAGTTTACAGATAAGATTCCTTCGAATTGTCGACCTTTCTCACTATGCTGGTGATGTTGGTCAAAGTTACGCTCAGCAAGGCTATCTTACATGTACTAACCACTACAAAGCCAGTTGCACATCAAAGACGTAGAAACTTGATTGCAAAGAGCGAGAGTTCTGGCTCGTCAACATCTTTCTGTTGCCTCTCGCTTCCATGCATCTATACACTCAAAGCTTTCGATCTATCCGTTACGTCGGCAAGTCGGCACCTCGGGAGAGGGCGAGGACTCAGATCGATGCCGGAGCCAGCTCACATGCCGTACGACGTCAGTTCGGTATTATTTGATAATATGCCCGGCCATAGTCTGAATACACCGAATATCACTATTCAATTGTCCGTACTGGAGGCTACTATACTAAGGCTCGGTCCTCCGGCAACAAGTGGGGCCGCCGAGGTTCGTACAAGCCCCGTCCTCAGGTTCCCCGTATTCCCCGAATCTATCTGCACTGTGTGTCTTCCCCACGGGGTTGCAATGAGATATTCATGGTCGTATGGCCTCTATATAACACGTCTGTTCTGACATGGAATACGTCTTCTCATGCAACATCATCGCCTCCATCATTGAACATCAAACTAAACACTTCAGAATCTCAAACACCATTTACAACATGTCGACTCAAACTCATCAGTACCAAGTCCTCATCACCTCAGAGGAGACAAAGGAGGTGGCTGAAAAGCGCCGTACACTCTACATCCGCCCCTTCTTCCTCTTCTGGCTCAACTCCTTCATATTCGAAGTGACGATGCTCATCATCAGCATCTTTGTCCTCTCAGGCTTCAAAGACATGTTTCCTAGGCTAATGTGGACAATCTTCTTCTGTCCACTCGGGATGGGGGGAGCCATGGGCGGGCTTGTCAACGCGTTCATCGTCGACAAGCATTACGGAAGCAAGGCCGTCCACTTTTGCGCCATCATGAGCTTGCTGGTGTTGGGCGCCTGCAATGACCTCTGCTATAATTTGGATCTTGTGTTTGGCTGGTTTGGGGCGCACGATCACTTTTGGTGGTGGCATTGCCGGTACCCTCTTATTTACGGTGTCGGATTCATGACTGGCAAGCTGTTGTTTACGAATAAGGGACAGGAGAAACTTGCTGCCTGGGGTGTATAAACGCAGAGGATGTAGATCAGAACTCGGAATGTAATATCTACCTTTGTCACGCGGGAGGTAGCCACGAGGGTTGGATGTCTCATGCAGACATAGTTGGAGCAGTGTGTTTCTGTCAATTAGCTATGGCATCTGATCCATGTTCTTCCTTGGTCTGCGTATGTAGCTACAGCAACCTTGATCTGGTACGCAATGTCCAAATGGCGAGTGAATTTATGGCCAATACCGACCACTTATCGTCGCGACGTGAACTAGATCATTGATCACCGCCATTGGCGACGCGGCCGCAAGGTCCATTGCTGAGAACATAGTTCAAGCCACCATCCTGAGATGTCTCAAAAGACGTTCCCATGGCATCTTGCGGGTTGCACGTCTGTCCAACAACAACCTCACAACCGCCGGCGTTGTCGTAGTATGAGAAGATGCAGTTGTTAGTTTGCAGGCAGCTCACGCAGCAGTCGTAAGCCGAGTTAGCAGTCCTGCTGAAGACCTGGTTCTGACCACCAGGAGAGTTGACGTTGATGGCCGAAAACTGGTGGCCACCGTTGGCGGATGAGACCTGGTTACTGGCGCCGCATGCAGCGTAGACAGTCTGAGCTGGGGCGGTCTCGGTTATCGTGGCTAGAGTAAGAATGGTCAACTAGCTGTTCAAGGATGAAGGATAGAGATGAGGATGACATACTAGTAGCAGTGGTAGTAGTGGTGACCGTCGCGGTTACGGTAGTTTGGCCTGTGACGGTGGGGCTGACGGTGACAGTGACGGCAGTAGCAGTTGGAACCGTAACCGTGGTAGTGACAACCGCAGTGGCGGTCGTGAGAGCGGTCGAGGTGCTGGTTGCAAGTGTGACGGTGGTAGACCTGGCCCGAACGCAGGTCGCGGGCACGACGGTGCTGACGCTCACTGTTTTGACAATCTTGAAGCATCTAACAGACTGGGGGTATCGTCTCTGGGCGATTCGGATGGGGTTGAGATTGGAGTTGGAGCCGGAGTCGGGGCTGGAGCCAGAGCCAGAATCAGAGCCGGAGCCAGTTCTGGACTTTTTCTTTGTGCATGGAGCTCGCTTCAGGAGTGGGATGCGTCCTGCTAGGGAACGCTTCTTCTTCTTCTTGGCAACGTAATCTGGCTCGTCAGACAGAGCAGTGAAGCCCGGTGGTGGCGGCTGCGTGACTGTCGAAGTGGTGGTCTGGGTGACAGTTGAGGTGCTGCCAGTCGTGGCGGTGCTCGTCACGGTAACGGTGTTAAAGACGGTAACTAATATGGTCAGCAAGAGGGCCCAAAATGTGAGCCATGGGAAACTTGCCAGGATCGACGGTCACAAAGCTCGTGTCAGTACCAGTAAGCTGGACGGTAGTAACGGTGCTGAACGCCGTGACGCTCACCGTAGATGTGGTAGTGACAAAAGGTGGTGTAACAGTTGTGGTAGCAGTGCGAGGCGCTGGGCAGACGGTGGTGCGAAAGGTCAAGCCAGTAAACGAGGTGATGGTGGTACGACGGATTGGGCTAACAGAGACTCGCCCAGTCGAGGTCACACAGACCTGTGAGCTGAAGACGGTGGTCTGCGCAGCGGCGAAGCCCTGAAGGGCGGCCAGGGCCAGGAGTTTGAGCTGCATGTCTGCGGCTCAGAGGTGTTGAGATAGGGACTGGATCAAGTGAAGTGATGCTCTCATGTGGTGGCAGTGATGCCGTCAAGATGAGATGTCTCTTCAGCTTGGGGAACGACAAGGACACCGTGGTAAGAGGGTATTTATATCTGTCGATGGTACATCGCCAAATCTCCAGTCGTCGATCGCTTGTGAAAGTCGACGGACTTGACCGATTGGATTCAGTCCTTTTTGTTCATCTGCACAGCTCTTCATGCGCGGGGTTCCTTCTGTCCTGAAGAAGGCCATGTCGGCATTGAAACCAATGACAATAACTTCTCTCTTTCATACAACCGTATCTTTTGGCCATGTACATGATCTTGACGTCTTTTGCATCATGTCAACATCACTACATGGTACGCAAGATATTGCAACGCCAGTTGGGTAACCAGGAGTATCTTGGTGCTAATTGAGTTGATGGTGATGCTATTCCCACATATTTGGGCGGCAGCCATGGTGCGAGCGCCTGCCTAGGCTTGCAACTCATCACATTTAAACACTGAGTTTGCCAAGCCAAGAACAATCGTCTCGTAAACTTCAAGCAGCCATATATCGTCATGATGTATGCCACGCATTGGTCTCGCAGCATGCAGCAATAAAAGAGCGGTCAATGGTAAGCTGGTGGGAAGTGTGGTTTATATCAAGCCGAGATGCTACATGACGACCTAAACGCCATTATCTCTTACATGTTATCTCTGCTGTTATTTCGAAATATAATCTGCCAGTACAATAGCTTCTAGGATAGGTTCTGCCTTACGACTTTCCCCGACCTTAGTACGCAACTCTTACACGTATTAAGCATGAACTAACCATACAAAAGTGGGATGTGACTTGAGTCCCCAGTCTGTGGGAGAGCCACAAAGCGGCTAGAAACTCTCAACGACTTTAATCTCACAACACAGTCTCATTAGATCGGAAACTCAAACCACGATGAACAAGTTTGACAGCCATCCGTACTCCCCAACCACTCTCTAAACGGTATCCCAAGACTTCCCAACAGGCTCCCTTGCCGACAGAAGCCACCACATCCACAGGCATGAAACAGGTCATTGAATTGTATGCTTTCGGCCGAATGAAAAATGAGGCTGTCTGTGCATCCTTCTTCAACGCTGAGTACTGGATTAGGCTTGTGAGGCGTTGGTGGCGGTTCTCGGCCTTAATGAGCCAGAGGGAATGAAGGCTATACGGTTTGCATCAATGCCATGTTACACATTAACTTGGCCCAGGAGCATTGATTCCGAGCATTAATGTGAACTCGGTCACAAATCCAGGACTCAAATGTCCAGATGTTGAATACCATCATTCAATCAGGATAACAACGATAGAGGACAGATTGAGGCTGAGCAAAGCCACTGGCTTGAACCTAGAGCTGAAAGAAGCTTTCGTGGATATCTCCACGTACTGAAAAGGTTAATCAATCAGGAAGACTGGTATCGGCGTCAAGAAAGGGTCCGTAGACGCATGAGGCTTATCGTACGTAGGTTCGTGTTACTAAGTAGCCAAGTAATGAGCTCATCCCGTTGATGACAAGTGTTCTAATAGTTACTAATCAGGGGGAAATGATTTATGAAATCATACAGAGTCTCACAATATGCCAGGCCCAGTGTGATCCTCATTGCTGGCTGAGAGACAACGCTATGGGGATTGTTTTCCCGTCCAAGCAAGACTGTAGCCACTGTTTGTTCTGCCCTTGTGTATTCGCTAGACTGTAGGTGTATGCTTTAAGGCATTGTTCAAAACATTGCAGAATGAATGGTCTCTTTGTTCTGGGTAGCGGCTAAGTGTATGGAACCCATGTCTGTCCAAGAAGCGCTGCTCATCTGAGTCCTAGTCTTTGTTCTTTAATATTTTCCTTCATTATTCCTAACAGATTTAACCGAAAGCTGTTTATCGGCAGGACGTGCCCATGTTCAACCTATAGTCACCTGTATTCGCAACTTGTTTGGGGTTTCATCCTCCATACATATTCAGAACTCCATTTCATTAGATGGTAAATGTCAAGGATAAATACGGCCGCCAAGAATGCGTTCTTATCGTCCAGTTGCCGACATCAAAGCCGTCCTACTGAGCTATTCAACTAGAAAGTAGTCTTGAGAATTCTCTCCATTTTCACCATGGGTTCGCTGTTCACGGTTATCCCCCACGTTGATGGCGGAGAAGGAGTGCCAATCACAGTGGAAGATTTCGCAGAACGTTCCGCTGCAGTGAGTCGCAGATACTTCCACCAGATGTACTATCAACTCCATATTGAGCTGCTACAGCGCTTTGGAGGAACGAGTTGCCATCCTTCAGAATTTGTCTCCGCGAGATACCGTGCTCGTCGTGCTCACCGGGTGCTTCTTCATTTCCGAGAATGCGGAGACCGATACCATCTGTTGGATACAGTTGAGGATGGCTGGTACAGACTTCGAGCACTTGCTCAGTTGATGCCCCCAGATGAGGAAGTCAGCGAATGGCCCCAGAAGTCTTACAGGTCTAGACGGTTCAGGTCTTGGTTCAAGAACGAGCTTCGCCATTGGCTCCAAGCCCTGCCTCCATTCCTCGTCCAGGAAGCAGGCGCCCTCCGGGTGATTGATAATCGGGAGGACCTGTTTCTTTATCGCCTTGGCTTCTTGAGTCGTGAGAATAGCATGGCGACTACCGAAGACGACGACGCATCGTCTGTGTTTTCCTGTTCGTCCGTCGTCGGCGAGCTGAGGTTGCTCCAAAGATGAGCAGCTTAGAATGGGAAGTCTTCAGGACATCTTGTCATTCCATTTTTATTTCTTTTGTACCCCATCTGTTCATTCTCATGCGCATCTAGGACAGTTCATGGCCCCCCCCTCGCGCTCATATGTTCTCACTTCCCAGTAACAACGGCAACTTGATGTCTCGTAGATCCTTCTGCTAGAGATAATTCGATTAGAGTATTTAATATCAACAATTAACACCTCAAACCTTTCCTTTGGACTGATACTGGTAGCTGGTTAGCGCCCTTGGCTCATCAACTTGGTGACAGTGTGTGATCGCCTCGTCCTGCAAAGAAGCGACTACACGCCTCTGAACTCGCCGATGTCTCGAAATTTTGAGAACCTCAGTGACGTTTCGGTATATGATCAGCAATTTGGTGGGGGACACAAGGCGGACAAATGATCGGAGCGCTGCAACTGTCAAGGGTGTGCATGAAAAGTTGTCATGTCATTCTCAACCCCTCCTTTCTTCCCCTCTCAATCACGAAAGAATCTCTCTCAAGGCCATCACTGATATCTGCTCCGAAATCATGTCTAGTAGTGCCGCTCCCGCCTCTGGACCAGCTGAAACCGAAGCTGCCGGCGTCACTGAGCCGGTTGCTGCGGCTACTGGCCAGCCTCCGGTGTGCCCCCCGAATCCCCGGAGTTCATGCAGAGCATATGCACTAACCCCCCACAGGCTGTGAGCACCGAAGATCGAGACTCTGGTCAGGATGATGACGAGTTGGCTGAGTCAACCACATCGATAAGCGATAGTGTTCTCCAGTATCGAACCATCCATGGCCGGACGTATCACAGCGAAAGAGGGAACGCCCAGTACTGGTAAAATCACTTGAAGCATCCCATTCTCAGTGTGCGACTAATATTCTAGAAGGGGTTCGAACGATGAGCAACAGAATGAGTCTATGGGTATCAAGTGAGTCAAGGCTCTTTCCACATTGAAACGAATGACGTTGACACAGCAAGCCATCATCTTCTCACTCTCGCTATTGGCGACAAGCTTCATCTAGCGCCACTCAAAAAGGATATCGAGGTCAGTTCAGCCGGCCTTTAACTGATCTCATTATGTTGTTAATTAGACCACTCCAGAATGCGGTTGATATCGGCACTGGGACAGGTATCTGGGCTATGTGAGTCCTCCTCCGTCCGCGAAGCCGCAAGCTAACGTCGTTTGCCACAGCGACTTTGCAGATGAGCATCCTGGATGCAAAGTAATCGGCACCGATATATCACCTATTCAACCAGGTTGGGTGCCGCCCAACTTGGAGTTGTACGCATAGCTCAGAGCGCCTTGTATTTACAGTCACTAATCTGTGCTAGTCACATCGATGACTGTACATAAGAGTGGACTTTTTCGCCCGATTCTCTCGACTACGTGCATATGCGATATCTGACTGGCAGCATTGTCGATTGGGGGGCCTTGTTCCACGAAGCTTTCAGATGTTGCAAGCCGGGAGGATACATCGAGAGCCTAGAATCAGCACCATGGCTAGAGAGTGACGACGGCACCGTCACAGATAAGACGGCTATGTGTCAATGGGGGAAGCTCTTTGTTCAAGGTGGTCTCAAAATCGGTCGTTCATTCACTTTAGTGGACGACGAGGAGCAACGGAAGGGGATGAAAGCCGCTGGTTTCGTCGACATTCAAGAGTTCAACATCAAGGTTAGCTTTTTACCATTTTCACACTACAAAGTCTTGCTAACTTCATGGCATAGGTTCCTCTTGGAGACTGGCCCAAAGACCCGAAGTTGAAAGAAATGGGCCGATTCTCACGAGCCACTTTAGAGCAAGACACCGAAGGTTACGTCCTCTATATGGCTACTTCGGAAGGTTGGTCGAGAGAGGAAGTCTCAGTCTACGCTGCGAGGCTGCGGCGTGAAATGCGAAACAGCAAGATTCACGCCTATTTCCGCATGAAGGTGGTCTGGGGTAAAAAGCCCGAATAGCTTCGATAGTCAGTCTAGCCGTGTTTGGTGATGGTGTCTCAGCACGGTTAAAATAAGCTTGTCAACATGAAACAACACAATTAACAGGCCCGGACAATCCGGACATGAGCTGATTTACTGTCACTGCTACCAAACATCCTGACACTCAGAAACCTTCTCAATCACGTTGTCTAAGACGATGCAAATACCAAAGCAGACCAGATTCTGCACCCCGGACTTGGGCCAAGCCGGCATAACCCAGCGGCAGTAACATCGCCAACGCTTCCACCTCCCGCATTCAGCGTCCGCGGCATTTTAAGTCGAGCAAAGACTCGAGTCTATTGCCGATAGGTGGAAACGCGTAGATTGGGGGTCACCACTCGGAGAAGGTCATTCCGTCACCCTCTTTGTGGGCCGCACACCGCCGGTCCTTGACCATTTGAGAGATGGTTCTCTCGGCTCCGGTTGGAGGATTCTGGGAGGACCCCTGTTGCGAACAGGGACTAGTAGGAAGCTTATAATGACACCTTAAAACATAATACCATGGGGAGCATAAAAGGGACGGATGTCGCTCGTGTTGTCGCTGTAGAAGGAACTGCTCAGTGTCTTTGTTCTCAACTCTATCTTTTGAGTATCAGCTCGGTAAAGGCAACATCATGGTTCATCTGTCTTCCATCGCTACGGCGGCTCTGGCATTTGCCAGCGCTGTCAACGCCGCCTGTGGTGACGGCAGCCCTCAGGCTACTGTCACTGGCTCTGGCACCTATACCGCCAGGGTCGGCGGATCCAGCGTCTACTCTGGATCCGACTATCGTCTTGCCATTCAGACGGCCCTTGATCGCATCAGCAGCGGTCAGCGTGTTGTCGTTTCTGCCTCGGGTAGCATCGGCGCCAATACTCTTACCATCACCAGCGGGAAGACGTTTGAGGTCTGCGGCACCATCAACGTCTCCACCAGGTCCGGCCGTGGCGCCATTGAGGTCACCAACCAGAATGATGTCAAGATCCCTTACCTCAAGATGACCGGAAACCCCTACTTCGGTCTTCGCTTCTCGGGCACCAAGAACCTGAACCTGGGTGAGATCACCATGAACCTCAGTGGCGGTATCGGCATCCGTTTCGACCGAGATCTTGCCGCCAACTCCAACGTCAAAATGGGTACCATCACCGTTACCGGCGCCGGCAGCCACGCCGTTGAAACCTGGAACATTGACGGCCTGACCATCGGCTCCGTCATTGCCCGCGATTGCGGCGAGTGCGGTCTGCTCCTCCAGAAGACCACCAACGCCCAGGTCGGCTACGTTGAGGGCAACAACGTCGGCACCGGAACCGGCTATGCCACCCTTCGCTTCGCCAACAACAACGGACAGCTCTCCAACGGCCAGTACACCACGACCAACGTCTTCATCGACAAGGTTTACTCACGAGGCGGCGGCCGCGGTATCTTCTGCGTCTCCATGTCCGGTGCTGCCGAGATCAAGCAGATTGATCTCGCCAACAACGGAAACAACGCTATCCTGATTGAGAACTGCTACAACCTTGCTATCCGAGACGGAACCGTCAACGGCGGAGGAGAGGTGCGCGTTGCTGCTCGCAGCGAGTTCCCCAACAACAGCGGTATCTATGTCAAGGCCAAGATTGACAACACCTCTGTTCGGGAGTCTCCTTGTGCCGAGAACATTTTCTGGGGCATCACTGGCAATGCTGCCAAGAACGTCTGTTAAGCGGACTTGCGGGGTATTCGTCTCTGAGGCAGGCAAAGGACATCAGTTTGTACATAGTGTCATTTCTAGATGCCGAGCTAGTATATATCGAGATGTCTCGTTGTCAAAAAAGTGCCCCCAAACAGGAAATATTGTGATCGTCGTCCGGGACTCGCATGACCTCGGTGGCCTTTACCCCGACATACCGACCTCCCACTTTAACATCTTGGCTCGGCCCGTCACTCGTGTGTAGCGTGGCTAAGACCAGGACAAGCATCTGCTTGGTGGATATTATGAAACACAGCTCACTAGCTATGCAGGTGGGTTACAGTTAGTAATGGTGTGGGCAACCTGGCTATTGGTGCGCCTTATGACCCTGGTCTGTCACAAAAATGCCCGGAGGAAAGGTGATCGGACAACGACTTGAATGGGCGATAGTCCGTAGTAAACGGGATGTCGCAATTCGCACTTGAAATTCTACATACCTTCACAGACGGTACACGGAGGCGGTGTATCACATGTGAATGAAAAGTTCGTGCTTTCTTATGCCTATCACGTGTGCTAAGCGTCCATAGAGTATTGCAGCTGTTCAGTGAAGCCCGAGGCAGTACTTCGGATCTCCTAGAAGCGCACATTCACTGTCTCTGGGTAATAGACGGCATGCCTGAAGAATATCAATTGTAAATGGCATCTCTAGGTGACCAAACGCTAGGCGAGAGACCATCTCACTGGTAGACTATGTAGGGCAAGCTAGCAAAGAGATGCCCTCTAAAATCATTGATCTCTACCAAGACCTGATACCTAGATGTTTGCTTTGGAGGTTATCTAGAGCATTTGCATTCTTCACAAGTAAAATCAATATGTATCGCTCTTATTTGGTGGCCTGGGACTGGGGCTAGCATTTTAGGCAGCAAACTTCCCAGGTCGCGATGCCCTCACTCAACAACCACTCCGCCTTGGTGATACCTATCGGGCCGACGATCAAGTACATCGTTCCTTCTTTTCACAATATGGTTCGACGGCCCATCACATGACACAATTACATTTCCTCCAGCGTAGTGTTTCTACACTTTGCATCCATGCGCAACAACAAAAACACGCCATCAGATTACATTCTTCGAGTATTTCATCAAGAGCACCTTGATTCTCAGCATCTCCTTTTCCTCATTTCGCTTTCAACATGCCCGACACCGACGACAGCCCGCTGTGTGTCGAGTCCAATACGAACGACCAGACCAGCAAGTGCCCAACGGTTGAGGAGCTTCTGACCGAAAAGACCCAATCTACGGTCCAGGAAGAGGCCAAGATCCCAGATGCAGCGAAAGAAAAGGCCAGCGACTCTCCAGAAGATCCAACCGAAGAGGACGAATATATCGCATTCGACAAGTGGGTAGAGTCGTTCAAGGCTGACCCCGACGGTGCTTGGGAGGAAATGGTGGCTAAATTCGATGCCATGCTGGCCGCCGAGGCTGAGGCTGGCATGCCCGGAGACCGTGAACAAGATGAGGAAGATGCAGGTAAACTATCACCCGACTGTCTCCCTTTCTAACGAACAGTATCCAAACTGATCACGAGATCCAGAAGTCGCAGATAAGCCTCCCACGACTTCAAGAAGAACAAGAAGCACAAGAACGACAAGAACGACAAGAACGACGAGAGCGACGAGAGCGACAGGAACAACAGGAACGACCAAATTTCAGCCGCTAGACCCCATAGGCGAAGACCTCCCGAAACACGAAGATGACTGCGATTCCTGTGACTGCGAGAACCCGGGTTTGCCACCAGATTACCCAAAAGACCTCCTCGAGTTGGCGAAAAAAATTTGTCCAGACGAGTCGTGAGACGTCTGATTCGGGTTTGAGACGGGCAAAAAGACATACGGCAGGTCATGGAACTAGGCTCGTATACAATACATGTCATCAGTTAAATAACTGGCCTGCGTACTTTCGCAGACATGGCTTTGTGGCTGGCTGGACCAACAAAGCCGTAATCGCCGGCATATGATGGCGTCTTCTCTCACAACAGGGGCAGGTCCATCAAGGCGTGGGGGAAACAAGGTGCGGCCATTGGCCTTCGTTGCAAGGGAAGCCTATCTTGCTAAGCTGCCTGGGCAGATTGGGAACTAAACTACAAAGAAGACATGACAACAAAGCCAGAGTATCTCAAACAACAACGGGCACTTCGAGCTTGGTTGAGTCAGTGGGAGGGTGGCTTGGTGGTGTCAGAGCTCTCGCTTGACTTCAAAATGCTACAAGGATCAAGACAGAGAAGACAAAGTCGGATAGAAACAGCGTACAGGAATAGAAACAATTATGATCAACATTAGTCAAGCCGGCCGTGCGAGAGTTGTCACTTGAAAGAATGTCTTTGAGAAGTCCAAATTTCAATTTCCCAGACCAAGGCCTTGCACTTCCTTTGTTGATATCACATAAACAAAGAGACGCTTCCTAAACACTTTAATCTAAATACTTAATTCCTCCATGAGGTTTTCTTCCACTCTTGTTCTTTACTATTCTCATCTTCTCACTACCTTCAAGCAACAACACATCTTTAACACACTTCAAACTTCAACACTACCCTACCATTTTCGTAAAGATGGCCAGTTCTGGACAAGCCGGAAATGCCCAACCCGAGAACGCGGCCGTGGCCCTAATGGACGACGTGCCAAGGCCATGGAGGTCTACTCTCAAGCATCTATCCAGAGGAGATGAAACGCTCTCAAAGGCAGACCTCTTCTCGTGTCTAACTTTCTTCGAGAGGCCCGAGAGCTGGATCTTTTTCATCGTCGACAAGGGAGCTACTCCGCCCCCTGTAATTAATCTGCAGTTGTACCGGCATGTTGTCTTCATCATCATGCTGGAGCACTGGGTTGTTGTCCATGTGGACCTCATCGACATGGAGGCGGGTTATCTGGACCCCAGGAGCTCCGACAGATCCAACCATCCCATCCGTCTCAGACACATGTTGGTGCGCTGGCTGGAAAAGCATCTTGACCATGGTGATATCCACAAAACACTCAATTTTTTCCAAAAGGTATATCCTAAACAACGATCGCATGCCCTCGCCTTAACTAACTTCAATTATATAGGAATGCCAAGATACTCGGAGACGAAACTCAAGCACACTAAAATCCATTTCCGTTTCTAGAGCTAAGTTCCTGCCGCTCTAAGCTAAATTGGTACTAAGCTCGGGCTAAGGAGGCCTAAGTTAAGGTTAGGGTAGGCTAAGCTTAGGCTAAGCTTAGGCTAAGGTGCCTATATAAGCCCACTTTTAGGATCGCATACCCCTATAAGGCCTTAGATCTAAGATAATACCTTATTTTTAGCCCCGGTTAGATTTACCCGTATTAAGAATCTAGGCCCCTTAAACCTAAACTTGCGAGACTTAGGCAATATAATCCTAGTTCCTATTAGGTTTAGTCTTAGCCTCTAAGGTATCTAATAACTCCTTTACTAATATAGTCAGTCGGTTAAGGTAAGATCGCATAAACAGGGCCATAGGTTTCATCTAGCCTCTAAATATCCTATTTAATACTTATTGCCATATAGTAAACGCTCCTCGCATACCCCTAAGATACTACTATAGAGGTAGTTATACCGCCTCTAATATCGAGCCATGGGATTATAAGAAAGATTTTACGATTCATAGGTCATCCTATCCTCTAATAGAATAACTAGCACTGCCTTATATTTTATATATCCTCTCTTGCGCCTTCTTGCCTAACTCCTACATAGGAATAAAATCCTAGGGCTTATAATAGACCCTAGGAATATAAACGAGAATAGCCTTAGGTTTTAGGGCTAACTTACTAAGTTAAGGAAGAAAGATTATCGCTTAATTACCTATTAATAGCTTAGTCTTAGAGGTAATTATATTAATAGCGGAATTATATAATATTATTCCTTAGATAGGAATATTATAGCGACCGCGGCTATATTATAATTATTCTAGGCTACCGAGATTAATTAAAAGGAAAAATACCGACCTAATTACTCCTTTAAGAGTAAGCTTAATATTAAAGGTTTTAAGATAATCATAGAGAGGAAATATAAGATAGAAATATTAATAGCTAGTTAAGAAGGTAAAGTTTATAGCCTTATAGGCGAGGTTATAATAAGATCTTAGTAGCTAAGGAAAGAAATAAGATATTTCTAGGTAAAGGATCTTTCTTATTATATACTAATATTACTTACTATATATAAAAGCCTTACTATATTATATAGATATAAGGTATCTATCCTTATCCTTAGCTTAACTAAAAGTTCTATATAATTAGTAAAAGGACTATAATACTTTAGGCTTTCTAATTAGCTATACTTAAAGCTCTTATAATAATATATATTATTGCCCCTAATTACTAGGAGTATTCCTTCTAGGTCCTAAGGCTTACTAAGTTTAGGGCTTTTTATTAATAACCCCTTATTACTAATTTTATATAAGTATTCCCCTAACTAGCCAAATAACTAAGATCTATTAAAAGTATCGCTATATATCTCTATTAATACTTATTCCCCTTCTACTTGCCTTAGTAGGCCCCCCTCTAGGCCGATACTATTAGCCCCCTAAGGCAAGGGTAAACATGCTCGATTAGCCTAATATCCCATACCTTTATAGCTAAGGTCAGGGCCTAGCAAGGTCACTATACTCTTAATAGTAATATCCCAATAAATCCCCTAGAAAGCTATATAACCATAATAATAGGCTTAGTTCGGCTTCTTAGAGAACTCTGCCTTACTAGTAGCAAGGATTTAATCCCTAATAATATATAAGATGAGATAATAAGGATTATATATATAAGCGAAGCTATACTAATATAACCCGGCAGTTTAATAATTTATATAAATCCTTAAGTTAATACTAAAAGGCCTCTAGAGCCTTATAAGAAGATACCAAGTCCCAATACTAGAGAATATAAGAATAGATTTACATATAGCCTTATCCACCTAAGAGACAACTAGGCTTTTATATCCTCATTAATGCCTTTCCTCTTTCCTCCTTTTTAAGAAAGCTCATAGTCTCTAGGTCTATAACTACCCGCGCAGTAGAATTAGCCCTATTTATTATTTATTATACCTATTTATTTTACTCCTTTAATTTATTCCTATATATACTATTATAGCATCGACTAACTCTATCTCAGAGACGCAAAGTAAAAATCCACCCCGGATAATATTAGATATTTAGCTATCTAATCCCACTTTATTATACTCCTAAAAACAAATATTATATACAAAAGAGTCAAAAGAGAAACTAAGAAAAGTAAGATTATCTAGGATATATTAGGTAAGGTTAAGCACCGAGGCCTAAAAGAAGGGCAAGGGCAATAAGAGATATATTAAGAATCTACTAGATAAGTACTCATAGGCGACCACCTATAATATAGCTAAGAAGGAGCGATATAATTATAATATAATTAAGGTCAGTTTTCCTAATACTACTTATAACCTAATAACCAAGTCTTATTTTAAACTCATTTAACAAACGGGGCCAGATAATAAAGTAAATAACAATATTACTAATAAAGGTAATAATAACCTACTAGATATTTTAGGATTATTAAAATACGTTATAGCCTCTAGGAAACGCAAAATACATCATAAAACTATTAATTTAACTAAGGAGGCGCTTACTCTAGAGCTAAATAGTAATATTAATTACCCTATAAAACATTCGCGAGGAGGGCTATTATTAGCAAAAGAAATATAATAAATAGCGATAGCTAATAAAGTCTTAGAGTAATTATAACTAAAAGGTTAAAGACTAAAAGATAATATTTTATAGTTTATTATAAAAGTCTTATTTACTATCTTCTAGCTATACCATAGGGATAATAAGTCTGCCTATATAGTATACCTACTCTAGTTTAATATAGATAAAGAGATACTACTATAAGAGCTCTAAGACTTTAAGAATTATAATATTATTTTTTTTCTAATTTACTATAAAGAAATAAAATACTAGACGATAGGTATATTATATATTATAAAGCATATGATTTACTATGATTTCTATAATTCTATGACTAATATAATAAGCGCCGCAAAGGTCAAAGAGCGCCTTAAAGCCTAGATAGAAAAAAGCAATTTATCCCATATTATTTCTTTTAAAAATAAGATAAGTTCTTAGTATTATTTTATAATTTATTATACTTAATCGAAATAGATATACGCGAGGCAAAATAATAGAGTTAATTATAGTATTTTTATATTAATAAATCTTAGGCGTCTATTTAGGGGCAAGCCTATCTATGACGATCGTATGGGATCTAAGGGATAAACCGGTCGTATTGGTTTATATTAGCACTAGATTATATTACGTAGCCTTAAAGGTTAGTATAGCGTTACGTCTAGTAATATGCTTAAAAGTATTAAGTATAACTAAGTTATATTAATAGCTAGGGTAGTTAATACCTAAGAAAGTATAATAAATATATTCTATATACTTATATAATTTAAGTAGCTTATATTTTAGATTATAAGGCTTATAATCTAAAGGGTAAGGCTTATATTTGGAATAGTAAGTGATGTTATAATAGGTTAGGATAAAAAGAGAAACTATAGGGCTTTAGTTCCTATGTGATATAAGGCCTATTAGGTTATAATATAATCTCCCCTCTTCTAGTAGTTCTCGTCCTTGAGACCTTTTATTAGGCTAGGGTCTTTTAACCGGTTAGTCCTAACTTCCTCTTATAATTATTTCCGCGCTACTAATATAATATTAAGAAGGATTAAGAAATTATATAAGAATAATACTTTCGACTAATAATCTTTATTATAATATTTTACTCGAAATTTTATTATCGCTAATATGCCTTATACTTATTATTTTAAGAAAAAGATTACTTATAAGATAGATAATTCTAGTCGTTCGGGGAAATATAAGTAGTATATAAGGCAGGGTTATCTTTATAATAGGGTTCGCGTCGTATTATTATATGCATAGGTCTCTTTTTATTTCTTATATATATATAGCTAATTTTAGTAGTAAATAAGCTAATTAATTAGTAAGAAAAGTTAGATCGAGAGGAAGATAAGGCGGGTAATTAAGTCTTCTTCCTTTATAATTAGTTAGCAGAGCTTTAGTCGTTGCTAGCTAAGGCTATGGCTTATCTATAGAGGATTTGAAAGATAAAGAAGAAGGTTAAGGAGCAGAGTGCGGATTTATTTAAATAGGGTATATTAGAGCTTAAGGTAAAGGATAATCTTATCTTAGCCCTTAATGCTTATAAATAATATATAATATAAGATCTTTAGTCCTTAGGTATTCCTAATAAGATAGATTAATCTTTATTAGGCCTAGGGGAGGATTTTAATAATATTTCCTTACCTATTATTAGTAAAAGTTCTTTAGAAGGTATTATATATTAGTAAGGTATTCTAGGGGTTCCTAGGTATTTTCTAAGTCGGGGTAGTCTTTTTATTTAATAAAATATATTATTTTATTATTGATTTTATTTATATCGAGGATAATCTCTATAATATATTCTTTTAGTTTATTAACTTTTATATTGGGCTTATTGCCTATTTTTACTTAGATAATATCTTATATTAATTTAAGTAATAAAATATAAAAGATTAAATAGAGCTTAACCTTAGGTAATAAGTCTAATTTATAGTTATATTTCGAGATTTTTTTTTTAATTTTATATAATCTAATATATTTATAATTAAGTTTTTTATTTTATTATTTTATTTTAATATTTTTTATTATAAGGTAGACTATATCTCCCTCCGAGAAGGTTAATCTTTTAATCCTTTTCTTATTAATATAGTTTATTATTTTATTCCTAATAAACTTAAGTTCTATTTACATTTCTTTATATAGATTATATAATTAATCGCTAGTAAGGATTACTTTAGGGTTAATAATAATATCTTATAATTATTAGTAAATATCTAGAGTAAATCTAAAATTAGCATATACTAATATAATCTTTATGCTTTTATTTATAGCTATATTATAGGCTAGCTAAGTAGCTAATAGCTTCTTAACCTAGTTAGTTTATTTATAGTTAATATAGTATTAAAGGTATTATTCTAGTATCTAATTTATATATTCCATTTAACCGTCTATCTCCTTATAATATGCTATAGAGAGCTTATAGTTAATTCCTAAGTATCCTATAAGGCTTTACTAAAACTTTAAAGTAAATAATAGTCCTCTATCTATAATAATTTCAAATAATATATTATATATCTTAGTAATATAAAAATAAAAAAGGTAAGTAAATTCTTTAGTTATTATTAATTCTTTATAAGGTATAAAATAAGAAAATTTCATAAGTTTATCTATAATAATAAGAATATTATTATAGAAGTTTCTAGTAGCTAATTCTTCTAATAGGGGTAGTTTCGTGATAAAGTCTATTATAATAGCTTCCTATAGTAATTAAGGTATTAATAAGGGTTATAGTTTACCGTAGGGTTTATAGCGTTATACCTTAGTCTTTATGTAAAGGTTATATTAGCTAATAATTATTAAAATAGTTTTTTTTATATTAGGAAAAATATATATTATCTTAATTTATTCTAGGGTTTTATTAATTCCTTAG